GCTGGCAGTGGAGGTACATCTGCAGCATCATCAGGTCCTCTTTCTTGACCTGCTCCCTCTGGAACAGCTTCGTCTGGTTTGCTGGCAGATGCTGGTTTTCCAGAACCAGGTCTACCTGAACCAGGTCTGCCTGAGCCAGGTCTGCCAGAAGCTGGTCTGTCTGAACCAGCTTTACCAGAACCTGGCCTGCCTGAACCAGCTTTGCCAGAACCAGGCCTTTCTGAACCAGCCTTACCAGAACCAGGTCTTTCTGAACCAGCTTTGCCAGAACCAGGTCTAGAGCCCTGCTGAGAAAGCCTCTCAGCCACAGACCCTTTGCCACTGGCAGGTCTGTCCTTTCCAGCAGAGCCACCTGAACCTGTGCGACTGGGAGGCTTCTGTGTAGCGGATCCTGGTCGAGAACCTGTGTAGAAACAGATGTAAAGCCATGAAAATTATAGTCAAAATCCTGAAACCCCGAGTAGTAATTTATCGAATGGGAATCAGCAACTTTCTTAATAACAACAATACCTTCTATATAAAAATAAATGAAACAACAACAAACAAACAAAAAATAATAATAATTATAATAATTATGGAATGTAGAAATATTCAATGGATTCTACCTGGTTTTCCTGAGCCTGGTCTGGATCCTGACTTGGCCGATATGGGCCTGGAGGGTGGTTTCTCTACTGCTGCTGGCTGCTCACCCTCTGCTGCATCCTCTGTACCATCTCCTGGTGCAGGCTCTGCCTCAGCATCTGCACCTTCTCCCTCAGCTAGTTGTTCAGGTGTTAGTGGACCAGTTTCAAACTGAAATTAAGTCCATTAACTTTAAAATATTAGTCATACCATGGTGGAGCTTTACTGAATTACAACTGCATAAATAGGTAGGAAGGTTAAATAAATTTTAAAGAATCATTCAAGTACTGAAGTAGTGCTGGTGGGGATTTCATAACAGAAAAAAGGGTTGAGCAACTAAAATATTTATTGAAATAATGGGGTTTCCATACACCTTAAAAACAAACTATTTTATTTCCCGAACATTCTAAACATATCTGACAACATTAACAATGCTTGTATCTATTTCCTACCTCTTGCAGAGCTTTTACTGTCACTTGTGATACAACTTCACCAACACTACAAAATAAAAACACATTATAATCATGGTGTTTAAAACTATTCCATCATTAACATGCAGATAAGAAAAAGAGTAGCAAGTTGTTCAATAAACTCTTTGTGACATGCATTTGGGCAAAACAGAGAAAGCTGGAAATTCCACATGAAAATTATCAGTAAAAACAAAAACTTGAAAAACATATGCAATACACATGTAAACTATTCTGAAATCAATATTCCATATCAAGTTTGAATTGTTTGTGATACCATATACAATAGATGAAGTCGAATACTGAAGATGAGCAGGGAAAAACTGAGAGTCCCAAAAATACCCACACCCATCACTGCATTATTATTTTTCACATAATTCAATAAATATCACAGGCAAAAGGGGTTTAAAAATCACAGTGGCATGCTCTCTTTACTCTACCTGCTCCTACTACGTTCCAAAGGTGGTCTGGGGAAGCTATTGAAACTAAATGAAGACAAATGTATTGGTACTACCCCGAGTAGACATGTGTGTTACCATTAAAGTTTGCTTCTTTTTGATAATAGGGTTTATTTTCTTATATTCTTTTGATGAATGTTTATTACATGTACTAATATAATTACACTGTTCCACGTTATTACTGCCAGTACTGGTATCATTAATGAAAATCATTTCAAAACATTTATTCACTAGTCTAAATTTGGTATTAGTCATTTGAGCAACAATAACCACAGTAACTTGGCATAGCCTCCTGTAAGCTGGTGTACATTTATGTTGTAGTAACTTACGAGCTGCGACGTTTAAAGTCAAAAGAGACGATCGAAATTATTTTTGGTTATTATTAAATTTACATTTAACGCATCTGATCCATACAAAAACAATGTTTATTCCCGTAAATAACTATCCAAAGGCTTAATTTTGCCCCTTAACTAATGCTTAATATTAGCTGAAAAAAATAAAGAGATTTTTCATTTCTTAAAAGAATTTCTTGCCATACATTTTTCTTATTTAATGGAGAAAACGTAAACACTCACTTTTCTTCGTCCGCCATGGTGTTTTGTTGCTATAACAGCAGCTTGTAGGGGGATTGTGGGAAGGCGAAATTACACTGGCCAACCAATAAGAAACGTCCTAACAAACAGTTGTGTCTGAGCACCGGAAGCGGAAATGAAATATGGCGACCAAAACAAGGTGGGTTTGTGGAGACAGCTGGCAAGCTTTAAGTAGTTATTATGAACAAAAACACCGTTCGATTTTTAAGAATATTTTACCAAAAAATTCGTAATATACAATTTGGAATTTAAGAGCTAAATCCATAACTCTGACCGTTTTATATGATTTATTGAGAACAATTCATCTCAGTGACAGCGAGTTCTTTGTGCTGTACTTTGTAAGTTTGAAGCCTTCGTTTTGCAATGTGCCACACACACAGTGTCACACTCGGTCATGTGCATTCAAATAGTGAACAAAGGAACTGATTGTGATACTGGACTGGATCACTTAAAATTGCCTGGTCTATCAATCTGTTACATTTGTGACCATACACATATGAAAGGACCGGTGTTAGATCACCCAAATACTGGCCATAAATACTGTACCCCAACTAAATGGAACGTAGGCTTAAAAAATTATTTCTTAAGAGCAGTGTTGTAAGTTTATAAAAATGTTTATTTGTTCATTGAAGTGGTAGCCCATCTTCAAAGATAGGCATACTTAAACAGTCTGTGCCATAACCTTTTCAGCTTACTGGCCATTTGGACCACCAGTTTCCTAAAATCTACAGGTCTGTATCAGGATTCACTGGTTCAGATAAAAAAATTCAATAATACAGGACATTTTCCCCTATTGAATTTATATTAGTTATAACAATACTTTGATATTGTTGTATATTTTTAAATTATGTATTTTCAAAAATAATTAAATCAAATCTTAATTCAAATCTGTAGCTGAAATCTAAAGCCAAAATCTATAAAGCTCTCTTTTGACAACTTGTAAAAAAACATAATGATACTGTTGGACCTCAAAATTAATACATTCTGAAAAATCTACAGGTCCAAAGAAAAGTTTACTGGTTTTAGGAATAGTGGCTAGCATCGCAGACTGCTGAAAATTATTATAATATTGGATCATATGTAAATCAGTTACCCAATACATCTGTAAGCTTAAATATTCACCTTCATCATCTTAAAGCCATGTTAGTGAACAATAGTTGATAAAATAAAAATAGATTGTGATTAGTAACTAGTCCTGTATGTGTGTGCATTTGTAAATTTATGACTACTGAACAAAGAAGTTTCTAAAATGGTAAAAAAAGTTCATAAATGAAAATTATCAAACACAAGCTGAAAATAGTTTATATCGTTGTAAAAACCTCAATTTGATATTTTTGAGAAAAAAGTCTACACAGTGTGCTCATTTAGTCAACAAGCTTAGCTCAAGATTTTAGTTTTTAAATTAATGTCACAAAAGTATGTTTATTTATTTATTTTATTATTTTTTTGTCAATGTTAATAATTTTAAAGCATTTTTTATCCCTGCATTTTAGAAAAATTAAGTGATGTGTAAGCCTACTTATTTGAACCACTTTGGTTTGATCTCTAGCAGAGGTCAGACAAGGTTCATCTCCCACCTCACCCCATGAAACAATCTCCAGATCAAACTGTAGTAGGACAATTCAAGGAGACCATGATCTGGGTTTTAGTGGAAAACAGACAAGCAAACAAAGCTACAACAGTAACAGATAAACAGATTCTACAGTACTCACTGACTTATTTAGCACAGAGCTTGAAATCTGTTTTTTTTATCAGATGACTCAATGTAGGAGGAAAACTAATACATGCAGTTATTGTAATTTTTTCTTTTTTTGAATTCAGTTTCCTTTTTTAAAAAGTTTTTTTAGTTTCATTTATTGAAAATGAAATAACTTGCCTGTGAATTATAATTATTTGCCATTGATTAAACATATGGATGATTCAAAAACATGAACAGTCTATCTCTGGCTCTCATAATTTTCAATTTACCTGGTATGCTAAAACAAGAAATACCAACCTTTATCTCAACTACACATGTATCTCTGTATAGCTATGTGAAGAATATGGTTCATTATACTTTATTGAAATATTTGTAATTTAATATTTGTAATAGGATACAAAGTCAGAAAACAAAAATACAATTCAGGGAAATATTGCTAGCGATTCCCTTTTTTACAACCCTGAGTGTCAGAGCAACGTAAAAGCTAGCTTGCTAAATATACCTTGTGGTGCAGTCGCTTTTAGTAGTCGCCTGGTATTGCTACTATGGGTTATATATGAAATCAAGATCGAGCTGGCAATACCGGAATCTAGAACCTAGGGTATTTTTTACAGACTGTGTAATATACCTGTGGTGTAAAGTGATATGGAGTATAAAGTTTATTATATAAGAGAAATCTGAGTTTGACAAACACACTTTTTAATGTCTCTTTATTATATTTATTTATTTATTTATTTATTTATTTATTTATTTATATATTTTCAAAAAAAAAAACAGTTTGTTAAACAAAACATTTGGTACAATCATCCTTTCACTAGTTCAGTGTTTCATTTTATAATGATTAATGAGAACACCCAATGATCAATGATTCTCATATTTTATTGTCCTCATCAGATATTTGTTTGTATAATTTTTTTCATGTTATAAGTGACATTGATATGTAACTGGTCTCTTATCAATTAACTGATAATAGTAATGACAGTACCTATTACCGAACTATGCATTAATGTTTCATTAGTTTCAGACATTTCTCTACAGAAGCAGTCTTTCAACCAATTTATCCTTCAGAGACCCCTGTCGGAGTGTTAGATGTATCTAGTGGATTAAAATATTATTTTCCTATGCTACTCATTCCCAAGTATTATGGATGATTTCCTGTTCTCCCCATAGTCATTTGTTTTCAAATTGGAGACTTGTGCAAAGATACAAATCCTTTGCTTTAGTGAATGAGGCAGCTGCAGACGAAAATAATCAATAATTGCTATGTAATGCATGCCATGCCATGCCATCCAGGTTTATATTAAGGTATGTTGCAGCTGTATTGGCCACCTGAGCTTTGACATGTTATACATATGTGCTAAGTACAATTTCATTTCCAGCTCTTGCAATTTTCATCATGATAATTCACAGTTTAGGATAGGCTAGATCTGTTATTGTGCTTGCTGTCATATGATTTTTGTATAATTGATAGTCTAATGGACCCAGTGCACAACTATTATTAATGGATTTGTGGTGTGTGCAATTATTAAATGGATAGTTTTTAATCTGCATGTGAGACTATTATGATACACACACACACACACACACACACACACACACACACACACACACACACACACACACGTGGATGCACATGTGCAAACACATGCACATATACCCTAAGCATGTTTATGTGCAGAGTGTTCTTGATAACATCATTATGATGACATATCAGGTGATGTTAAATCAGGTGATGATATCAGATTATATCACATAACATAAATAAAATAAATAAGTGAAAATAACGTGTCCTGTCTGAATGCATTAATTCTCCAGATAATAAAATAAAAATATCAAAGGAAAGTGATTCTTCATTTTTTGCCACTGTGACTAATAACAAACAGTTACTAGTATACACCTACTTAAAAAGGTTTTTAAATTGCAGTTTGAAGTGACATTCTAGTGGAAAATCATGTAAAATTTTGCTGATGTATAACAAAGAAGTGGAGAAACTAATTTTTTCATTATCCTGTCTAAATCTAAAGGCCTAGTGAATGTTGAGGACAAATTGTCATCATTTGGGCTGGTTCAGTTATAACTTTTGCATGAAAGTGACTATACTTAAATACTACCTGTCAGTCATATACCCCATTTATCTATGGCGTGGGTGGTCTCTGTACAGGTAAAACAGGCTTATACATGCATAATTACATGTAATAGTATGCAAATTACAGGAGTGCATAGCACAGGTTCATTTAGCATACAATTCGTGATCAGTGATTTGTGTCCGACTCCTGACTGGGCTCAGGTGCAAATGATGTGAAGTGAGTGGTGGCTAAAGGCATTTAAACATAATGTGCCTGTCAGCTGCTTACACCTGGGCTTAACTACAGAAATAAGTTTAGGATTTAATTTACCCTGTGATATAAACATACATAATATAGGACAAGACCAGGTTGGTGTGTGCATGCTTGTGTATGTGTGTAAAGACAATATTCCTGGGCCAAATAGTGGAAATGTTGATTAACCTTCTTTTTATGCTGGTATTTGCTGCACATCAAAATTGATTTTGCCCAGAGATATAAAGGTAGTAGAATGAAAGCTTTCTTTATGCATTTAAAAGATGTGAAAAGTGATCTGTATTACATGAGTAAATAGACATTTTAAGGTTTGTTAACTTCTAGCATAGACTCTGTAGTTACAGAAAAGTTGTGTCAATACAATTTGTCATTAAACCCCCATGCATCTTGTCTATTCCCAGAGAAAAAAAACGTCAAAATCAATATCTCTGGAATAGTAATTGCTCATAATCAAACCTCACTCAGGAGCCCTTAAGATATCTTTACAGTAGAACTTTTTCCTCCCTGATAAAGAAATGCAATTGCTTTCTCTTTTGAAAGCTTGCCACTTCAGAGGCATTTTGTGGAGTTGCTTATATTACTTATAATATACTAAAGTCACCAGTAGGATTAATATGCTGAATATATTTCTATTGATATCTAGATGTCTCTGAAGTTGGATTGATCCAATCAGTTTTGATTGCCGTTTTTGTCATAAGCGCCACATGCAGCAACTGTGGAGTTTATCTGCAGTATTGTCTGTGGACAGGGCTGTATTTGTGTGATCAATACATTATACCGTGTGTGTGTGTGTGTGTGGGAGGTGGGAACATTAAGACAGACTACACATAATCAGGCTCTGAAGCACAGCTTATTAACGTGCTTGATATTTTTTTACAGCACGAAGAGCACTTGATCGAAGGACTCAAGCTTCAAAATGGGACTAAGATTTATGGACTAGTTGAATGAGTGGAACCTTTCAAATCTGTAACAACCCAACCACCTGATATTGAAATATTTGATTGTTATTTTTAGCTGTGCTGGCTACCACATAGAGGATGAACCTGGACCAGTTTCTTCCTGGGAGTCCTAGTCTACCCAGTCCTACCATGGCCTTCAGTAGTCTCTTCCGGAAAGCATCCAGTCTGCTGGGTTTGACCTCCCCGGACAGCCTCCACCCCCCTCCCCTGGACGGCGAGATTATATATTGTAAGAACAACGTGTGTGTCCATCCTCCAGCCTCCATTGGGGCAGATAAGAAACCGATTCCAGGCTACCTGTCCATACGCTGTCAGGGGGACGAGGTGAGAGTGACAAAGCACTGGCGTTTAGATGTGGAATATGTGCTGTTGTATGTGTGTTAATTATTGGTAAAATCCCAGTGCAGTTCAGTTCTCATTCTAGGCAGTTAGAAATGGTTTAAACCTTCCTCTGTTTCATTAGTGAAATAAATTACATTAATGAATTAACTGCAAAAATTCCTCAATACCTGGACTATTCACATGTTGCTGCTATGAGTTTCTGTTTTTAGGTTGCTTGGTTTCAGGTATTAGAATTGACCATTTGATTTCTTTTTACAAAAGTTTGAAACTGCAATATCCTTTTTTCAGTGTTTTTAATGCGTATTTACAGGCAAATTGAATCGGCAGGCTCATAATATACATGTATCTCTATCTAGAATGTATTACCAAGAATGTTCAACCAAAAGGGCCAAAATCAGCATGGAAAAATGCCCCTAAAGTGGATTCATTCTCAGTTGTAAGGTTGGTTTTTCATTACTGTAAACTCCTAAAGACTTTTTCTTTCCATAGAAGTGTGATTTCACATCTTTTCAATCTAAATCAGCATGAAAGTGACGTTTGAAAACGGCTCTAAAACACATCTTCTTTAAGTACTTCTTTAAGTACTCAAATGTGCGGAGACCATGCAAGCCAATTACAAGCTATAAATACAATACAATCAGAGCTTGCAGCATGACGGCACTCGCTTGCTAGACCTATGAATGTGCATGCATCCAGTTTGCAGCGAAAGCACAGTGTCTATTTATAGCCACTATTATTGGCTTCCGTGATCTACAGACATTTGAGCACCTATAGCTGGGGCTAGAATTTGCGTTTTAAAGCTGTTTTCAAGCATCCATTTTGTGCTGATTTATGTGTGAAACAATGTTGAAATGCAGTTCTATAAAAAGGTAAAACCTTCAGGAGTTTTCAGGTACCAGAAACGAAGCTTAAATCTGGGAATAAATTGACTTTAGGGGTCATTTTTCCATGTTGATCATGGCCATTTATGTCAAACATTTTTGGTAATACATTCTTGTTTCAATGTATAGACACCCCAATGCTTTTCACACAGTTTTGCTGTGGGTTATCCAATAATGTCTTTAAGTTAGTGAAGCTCATTTAAGTATCTATTGAATGGCCTGAGTTTTCTTAGAAAGAAATTGTATCCCTGGAGACAGTAGGCATGATGTAAATATTGATTGAGGTGGAGATGCTGTGCTTAGGGTCAGTTCATATTTCTTTATAACAGGAATTGATATTTGCCTGGGTGGATTCTTCTACCTTATTAAACACTAGGAAGGAAGAGAGTGGTGGAATAGAAGAGAGAGAGAGAGAGAGAGAGATTTGAACTAAAATGATGAAAATTTTGCTTACCGAGAGGTTGACTTCTTCAATTTTCTGTTGCTCATCTCCCTTGCCAGTCACTTATTCAGCTAACGCATCAAATAACTTCAGTGCACTGTCTGTCATCATTTATAAATCATTTTTGTTTTTCATTATAACAAATGCAACAGTTTCCTTTCTCTAATGAACAATATATGATAGTAAACAGAATTTAGCATAGATGAAGGAAATCCTGGTGGGAGTTTCACTTTATTATTGCTTGTCTTATTAACCGCCATGGCAACTGCACGTTGTCAGTTCAATGATATTGACCATGGGAAGGTAATGGGTTTATAAAGCAGCTTATCCTGGTTATTCAAACAGATCAAGGTATTTGAGACACCTCCAGGGCACCTGTCTAAGTGCCCTGATGTTTGACCATAAAACTATAAAACAATAAACTCGAGATTATAGTAAACAGAGAAAGGATATAGGTTTCTTTGTCAAGTGGTTAAGTATCCATTTACTTAGCTTTCTTTGTGTTGGCTGGAAATATTTTTGACTTGTTGATTTCCATTTTGAGTATGTGTAGATTCTACAATAGTCATATACAATAGTCATATGAGTTGAAAGTGTTGATGTTGGCCAAACTGGTGAAGACATAATGACATTATTGAATAAACCATTGTGTTCCTAACACAAATTTGATTAAATTTGTATTCTGCAGGGTCTTCCAATTTAGTAGTAGAAGTAGGCATCAGTTACCCAGTCCCATAATGAAATAAGCTAGCCCTTCTGCATAACTCTTATTATTATATTAACTTTCCCCTACAGATAAAAAATTTACCCTTTCTCTTAAGTTAATCATGGATTTAGTGAAAACTAGATATATTGTTTAACATAAGGTTTATACTTGTGTGAATTGAATATTTTATATTTAATACCATTTATAAGAGGATATGAAATTACTTGATGATTTCTTAATTTATTATTTTATGGTAGTTAAAGTCAGGATGAGTGAAGGAAATTGAGTTAAAATCAAATGAATAATGATGCTTTATGAACAATATCACTTAGTGTTGTATCAGTTTTAGAAATATCATTGAAATAATTTGCCTTAAAAGATAACTCAAATTCTGATTTATTATAAAAAGAATTAGAAAACTGATAACTCTGCTGGTTTTGTTTTACTGCAGCACCTTGGCTCCACACTCATATTGACCTGGATACCAAATTCTACCCTGAAAAAAAATCCAAGGAGTATACAGAATAGTCCATCACGACCTGGTGCTAGTCCTCGTATTAGTCCCCGGCGTGCCAAAAAACAAGAATTCACAGCATCAGCTTTGTCCTCACCCAGTAGTGAAGAAGCCAGTGGGAGTCAGGAAAGGAAATCCTCAAGTTATGGTGACAGAAACCATGGTGAAAAGGGTTGCCATGACCACAAGGCAAATGATAATATCAGTCTTTGCTCAGACATATCTACAGGAGAGCAAAGCAGAGATGCTCAAAAGCCCAAGCTCAGCACTAGTCTCAAATCTCAAGCTGATTCTGGTATTGGATCTGATGATATTATCAGCCATGTTCAAGGTTCTAAACAAACACAGTCATCTGCTTCCAAATTTTCCGAAGGTGCAGAGGAAGATGTGAGTTTCTCTTCAGAGAGTGCTAGTGACAGTCTATCTGCTGGTGCAAAACTAAAAGCGCTGATCAATAAAGATGTCCCCTCAAAGCCAAAACCTTCCCAAGCAAGTTCCTCAGATTCCCATGAGAATGTCAAAGAACGCACTAGCTCTACGGTATCCATAGAAATGGACGGTGATAAACTGGTTGTTGTTACAGAAGAAGTTGAAGACAATGTGATAATTGAAAGCAGTTCAACAAGCCATGATTTAGAAAAAGCAGAGACTGGCCAGAATACAGATGTTGATACCCAGAGTTTGAGTTCAGACTCCACTAATCCTAGTCCCAGTGGGGAGCATTATCAATCAATGATAAATGAAATAGCATCCAAGAACCTTGAACCCCCTAATGAATCTGCACTGGAAACTGTTGAAGAATCCACAGCTGAAGAAAATGGCCAGAAGGAAGAGGAAATGGACAGAAAAGCAAAAATGAAATCAGACATGGTGCTAGATTTACAGACAGTGGAGTCAGAGTATCAGCCCCCTGATATCAATATTACTACCATTCCTCGATCCTCTTCCTCCTCCTCTTCCACCACTACCTCCGGCCCTGATTCTAGACCTCCCACACCCTACGACTCAGACATAGATTCCTCACATAGCACACCTTCAGCAGACATGAAGTACCCACCTGTCATGGAGGGCAACCCTGAATCTTTTGCAGTCTCGTATAATTTAACGTTTCCTGAGAATTCTGTCACCTATACCAAGGCAGACAGCACCAAGAGTCCAGTGGCAGCTAAGAGTATCAGAGACCAGATGTGTGGGGTATTCTCTGTAGATTTAGGTGAGATATTGGGCTTATTCACAAAAGTTTAAATTTATTTCTACTGTATATAATAATTCTGAAAGTTAGTCAAGCTATAGGTCACAACATTTTCTACTAGGTGTCACTGGTTTAAACTTTCCCAAATGATTTGTAATCCTGTATAGATGAGTTTGCTTATACTGCTAGGTGCTGCCTTTGAAATACCCCTGCACAATGCTCTAGATATTTAATAATATACTCATATATTTTTGTACAAAATACAGCTCAATTGCACAAAAATCATTCACTGAAATCTGTAGTACTTTACCTGAATAAAAGTGTATGTTATAATCAGCTTTAAGAAAAAATAAAACTGAAAGGATATCATTATACAAAAAAATCATGGATTTCAAAGGAAAAAAATTAATTTTGTTTGCAAAACTCCAGGTCAGATGCGGTCTTTACGTCTGTTTTACAATGAGGACACGTGCACCAGTGGTCAGTTTGTGATAGCCAGTAGAGAGAGCCAGTACAAGATCCTCCACTTCCATCATGGAGGTCTGGACAAACTGGCTGAAGTTCTGGAAGACTGGAATCTTTTCAGAGAGAAGAAAGACAAGGTATATGTAACATTAAAATGGTATTGTCATGGATTCATTCTGGTTTCCTCCCTTTTGTGCTTTAAAGAGCATGAAGAAAGGTGCTAGGTCTTGTATGAAATTATCAGATATGTGGGAAATTATTGATTTCTTTGAACAAAAGATTGGTTAAGGGATAATAACTCTTCGTATGAGATCTATATTTCACAATAAAAACATTGTGAACAACTCATAGAAATATAATATATTCTGTTGTACCACAAAAACGGCAGTTATAGCTATTATTCTGATATCTGACCTTGTCTTTAGACCGCATGATTTTCATTGATGGCTATACTCTGTTATAATCTCTTAAGAGATTATAACAAAAAAACAAACTTTTTATAAAAAAAACAGGGACTAATTTTGAATGTAAAACCATTGGTAAGTATGGGAAAATTGCTGTTTACTCTAGGAAAATTCATTTTTTGGCCAAAACGAAGAGTTATTATCCCTTTAATATTAGGTAACTTAGCATTGGGTGTCATTAGGGAATACTGCAGGTCAAGGTCTCACTTAAATTGATCAAGTTAAGTCTTGCAGTACTTAAAATGATGTATAAAAGTGAATAAGTGAAAGATATTAAAACTGTAAGATTAAAGTGCAACATTTATCCTTTTTTGATAAAAATGAAAAAAAAAAAATCTGCCAGTTATATTGCCGCAGAGTGAAGTAAATAAGCAGAATGAAATAATGTCTGAAATAAGATGAATATAAATAAAACGATAAAAAATACTTAATGCTTAAGGTGACAAAGAAAATATTTTGCCTTCCAGGGTAAGAAGGATGTCTATGGTCAGATCAAGCAGTTCTCTGTGATGAGACCAGAGCTGGACACTGAGGAGTGTCACCCAGAGGAGGGCGTATACGGAGTGCTGAATGAAGACACCTGGAAACAACACATGGCAGAGGCCGGTCAGATTGTGGATGACTACCAGCTTAGGAAGGTCAGGCATAACAAGCAGACCAGCACTCTGACCATTTTGACCATCTTTGACCCTTTTCACACAGTGGTCAAGTTTTTTTTTTTTTTTTTTTTTGTAGTAGTAGTAGTAGTAGTAGTAGTTGTTGTTGTGCTGTGATGGAGGTGGAGAGTGTTTATTCTTTTTCACAAGCTCTAATGTACCAATCAAAATTAATCGGTTAACTGGCCAAGTCAATCACAGGAACTCCATTGAGTGGACTCTATGACGTTATAGCCAGGCTTCGGTTGTCAGTCTCTCAAACAGTGCCATACAGAAAGCTGTACTTCTCTATGTAAAATGGACCTTACATAGTCATATTGTTCATAGTTCCTTATCCAGATAAAAAATAACAAGCTGCACCAAACAAATTTTCTAAGTTGTAAACTTGGCCGTATCTTTGGTTAATTTTGGTTATGACTTTTGGTCAATTATGTCATTTAATTTCTACAAAATTTTGATTTCTCTGAACCTGTCATAATGTGAAGTGATTATGACATAATAGCATCTGATATTTATTCTAGGTAATATTCTTTGGAGGCCTTGACCCAGCACTGCGCCATGAAGCCTGGCCATTCCTGCTCCAGTTTTATCCTTTTGATTCCACTTTCGATGAGCGGGAACACATCAGAAATGACAAGTACATAGAATACCAGGGAATCAGGAAGAAAAGGTAGTCATTGTGCTCAAGTTATTCATTGCACTAGATAGGTCTTTGCTCAAGAATTTCTTCTTTTTTGTTAAAAACACTAACACACACACGCATGCATGCACACACACATGCATACATTCATACACACGTTCACATTTATAATCCTTGACAAATGAACTATAAAACTATCCTGGCATCAATATTCCAGAGAGTCAATGACCCCTGCTGAGCAGGAGCAGTTCTGGCGAGGTGTTCAGTGTACTGTAGAGAAAGATGTGGTGAGAACTGATCGCAGCAATCCATACTTCATGGGAGAAGATAATCCCAACATTGATGTCTTGAAGTAAGAAAATAGTGCAGCATGCATAAATTAAAATGCACTTTTATTTCTATCATATTCTTTCATATATATTGTGAGCCTAGGCTTTTTTTAAATTAGCTGAATTTGGCACCTGAGGCTATTGATGAAATAATAAAGATGTTCAGCTTAATTCTTCAACAGTTTATCCTCCAGTTGTTAAAACCTTGTTTAGAGAGGTTAGGCAATTCTTTATTGGTGCTTGGAATATGACACGCCCCTTTTTCACAGTAAGTCTATTGTCAGTGAGCTAGAATTTCTTTGTGATGCACATTTAGTTCAATATATCTTAGCAGGCTTTGGCTGGCAGATTCTGATTTTAGACAGCTGAAGATTATAGGCTTTAATTTTGTTAAACAATTAAAGACCTTGTTTGTATTCACCACAGTTCTTCAAATTATCTTTAACACGGAACAAGCAGCAATGGTTAATATTGTTCAAATTGTTGAAGTGTTTAAAGTCTCTCACACTGAAAACTCATCTCCGCAGATCTATCCTCCTGAACTATGCTGTCCAGCACCCTAAGATGGGCTACACCCAGGGCATGTCTGACTTGCTAGCCCCAGTGTTGGCTGAGGTCCAACATGAGGCAGACGCCTACTGGTGCTTTGAGGGACTGATGCAGAAGACAATATTTGTCAGCTCGCCAAAAGATGTCGACATGGATAAACAACTGGTAAGTTTTAACTAAATCAGAATGCATGCTGTAGTCTGTTGCATAACCAAATGCATAAATATTTTTCATCTTTTGGCTATGTTTTCACTCCACTAAATGTCTAGATGTGGATAAAGCATATCTGTTTGATTCTATTTCTGGTCTGCAGTATATCTTCTTTGTGAAACAAGTGTGTAGACATAATGCATTTGTATGAATTTTACGCATCAGCAGGATCAATTCCTTTGTTTTAAAGTGTAATTCTATAATAATACATATCAAACAAAATAATTAATCATTTCATAACAAAGATAGCATTGCTCATGGTCCAGGCTCAGAAATAATCTGCAGTGCTAAGTGTAGATCTATAAGTGTGTATGTGTTACAGGAGTACCTCCGTGAACTGCTAAGATTAATGCAGCCCAAGTTTTACCACCACCTGAGGACAGTCCAGGATGGCATGGAACTACTGTTTTGCCACAGGTAAATTTAATATGGCTTGTTTATAAAATAGTATTAAGGCAGTGTTTTTTTTTTCTTTTATCTTGATAGCCCCATTCTCTAGATTGAAGTTGAAATATTTACAGCATTTTCAATAGTAGCTGTTAATTGTGGAAAAAATTACTACTTCAATTAGCATAATATGGCTAATAAAATACTTCTGTGTATAAAAGTGATAAGAATTTAAGTCATAACAATTGTAATTGCCTAAAGGATGATACGTTACTGTTCTGCTACAGATAAATATGATACTTTTTGTCAGAAAATGTTTGAAGAGATTTCTAGTTTGACTATTGTGATTGTCTTAACACAGCTTGGTAGCACTATGGCATTCATAGTGTTACCAAGCTGTGTTAAGACAATCACAATAGTCAAACTAGAAATCTCTTCATATGCTTTGTATTTGCTACTTGCATAAGTGATGAAAAATTAAGTTTAAAAAAAAGAGAAAAAAAGAGATAAATAATAACATCTAGAATTTTATTTTTATTTTGTATGTACATTAATGGGTATACTGAATATTTTTAGAGATTCTTTTTGGACAAAATGATATGCTTCAAATAGCTTAAGTCAATATTTAGGCATTGCACCACTCTATGGAATATTTAATAAATAGGATGGACTAAACAGAAGGTTTAGGGACCAAAGTCAAACACATAAAGGAGGAACTTCTCCATCTGCTATCATTTTATGTGTTTGATATACAATGATCTGATGTGTCTCAGGGCAAATACTGATTTAAAATTTATCCATTTTAGCTGTGTGTAATGTTTCTGCCAGCATTAATCCTCATACAAAAACAGACTTTGATTTTTTCAAGTTAAGTTCTGTTGTAGAGATAGCTTGCAGCATGTGAATCTCTGATCCAGAATGTGATCTGCTCTTCTCATTATTGATGGGAAGGTTTTTCTGTACCTTGCAAATGTAGAATAATTTTTGGTAGCCATCTTGGAACTTTGGCACCCTCAGAGCGTAGATGATGGGATTACACACACTGTTCATGTAGCCCAGCCAGTAGCCCTGGAAAAGAAGAAACAAATGTTGTAGGAATTTACGAATATATTTTATGGTAACTGTTTTTATTTTACATTGGAAAGTGAGCCGCAATATAAGATCCACCTTTCATAGGGTGTAGACAAATAGGATAATAGAGATATCTTGTAAATTACTTTTTTCTCCAAATTTCAGTTTTAATAAAATAACTTGCAACATTAACTTTTTGGTTGTCAAGTCAAATCACACATTCATTCACATTGATTTTCTATAATATTTGAATTATAATTCTTTCTCTTCTTTCAATATTTAATTTATAAAATAGAAATTTAATAAACAGACTAACTTTGTGAGAACAAGTAAATCCCATCTTACCAGAGCGTGCAACTCATGCGGAATGGTTGTCTTGTCTTCCACAGCCGAGGCAAAGATACAGTAGACCATGAATGGGGTCCAGCAGACAAAGAACACGATAATCATGATCAGTAAAGTCACTGTCATTTGTTTCTCCTGACTTACAATCACATCATGGTCCTGGGTTGTGTTGGCTTTCATCCTGGACAGATGGGCCCTGATCTGGATAAATATACTGATGTATGAGCCCACCATCACTATGATGGGTACAAAATAACAGCTGAAGATGATGATGAATGCATATGCATGTTCTGGGGCCTCTGTAGGGTAGTTTGGCCCACACTGGGTGGCACCAGGTTTGAATGTAAAGTCTGAGAGCCAGAAGGCCCCCATGGAAGATGCAATCAGGCCCCAGATCCAAGGGGCCGCTATCATGTACCCCACCCGAGTCTTAGTCAACATCTTGCTCATTGGATGGGTGATGGTGATATACTTGAATACTGCTATGTACATCAGCGTGTGGACGGAGACGGTGAGGAAGAACACTACAGTGAATCCATTGAGAACACAAAGAGTGTCCCCAAACACCCATTCCCCCTCGATGACAGTGATGAGAGCCATAGGCATGTCGACAATGGCTACCAGTAGGTCTGCTACAGCTAGGTTAGCAATGAATGCATTGGTCTTAGTCTGCATATGTTTATTTTTGATAATGACTGTTAGAACCAGGATGTTCCCGGTGAACGTCAGGGCAATAAAAATTGCCATTGAAATACACAGTATTACCTTGGAGGGAGTGTCCCAGTATGAAATAACATCGGGAATCGGTCCAACGTCTCCATCGAGACATTTGTTTCTCCACTGAACACCAGACAAAGCAGACATATTGTGTTCTCTTTGTTGGCAATCTGGTGAATTGAAAGCTTGTGCTGAAGCAGACATGTTATACCGCTTGAGGATAAAATCTTTTACAAAAAATTTAATATTTTATCTTAAATCCTCAGGGTCATCCTGAAGCGCTAGCATCTTGATATATGGCATATATGCTTGGTATTTCCTCAGGAAAGTTTCTCTTTCATTTAGTGTTGTCAGATATCTGTTACAGCTGGCAGTATGTTGGCTTGGTAAAAAGCAGTTAATGTCACTTCCTTTACCTGCAAACAAACACAAGTTATTGATATTTGTTTGGTCTTTAATATGTATATATTAAATACATATTAGAGATAAGCGATTATATACAAATCAAATATGGTAAATTAGAGATAAAATTCTAATAATCTTATGGAAATTTTGATACTGTACAGACTGACCAACTTCATCAAGAGGCAGGCTTGACTTACCTAAGTTAGTACCTAAATGTTAAATGTTGTCACAGGCTGCTGATTCTTCTGATCAAATACTAGATTACTACTAAATTAGCTAATTACAAAAGCTTGTGAGCAGGCACTAGGGAATTTAGATGAACTTTTTACATAACTGATTTCATCAACTAGTCACAAAGGCAACTGGGAAAGCCAAGTATGGTTTCTACAGATTCTATACAAGGGCATTTATAGATAATTGTTATAGCAATTTAAACATTGCTCTTTGCCTTCTTGTTAATGACCATTTAGCATGATAAAGCTTGCAGTAAGTGACATGTGTTGAGGTCCTGTGAACACTTCATCAGATCAAGTTCCATGCCTTAAAAACAGCTGCTCTTTTTACATTAAATAAATATTGTATAGCTGTCAGCAGCAGTTTTTTTTTAAATACCAATATTGGTATGAATGTTGTTTAGAATAAATTATGAAAAATGGTATCCACCTATGGTTGCTTTGTGGAAAAATCAGAAATTTATGTCTGGTAATACTGTTTTTGAACAGAGTCAATAAAAATGTATATCATAGTTCAAGGGAACCCAATTAATCTCGGCAAAGATATCATGAATATGTTTTAGATCTGCTGATGAGGGTGTATTAACTGGGTTCTATTAACCAGTCATGGCCATATATCCAGTATATTCTTACCTGAACTGGAAAAACCCACAAACACACAGGCCTGTAGCGAACAATTTTAAAGGGGGGGGGGGGTATTTTTTTTTTTTTAGACAATTTGGACCTTTTTTATCCCCTTCATTGACCTAACCTAAGAAATACCAAAGAATGTAGATCAAATTTTGATTCAGAGTGGACCATATCTGACAAAAATGACAGTTCTTTTGAACCCCCTCCAACTGAACCCCTTGGGCACAGCATTTGTGTAAAATGTATGATACACCAGACAGACACACTGTATAAATGATCTGACAATGTGTATATAAATGTATATACATACGTGAGGTGGTATTTGTAGTGGCAAGATTTAATATTAAACACCAGCAACTAAACTCCTGTATCACAGGTAAGAACATACCTGTAGACTTGAACTTAATTTAATTTGAATAAACTCACCTTGATACATGAAGTGGAATGAATTTGATCCATCAAGATCCACTTCTTGATGTTTTGACTGTAGTGTACTATGCCCGCAGTGTATTTATGTCAGTGAGAGAGAACAGAGGTCATTTTACCATGACTAAAGCACAGCTCACTCACCTGTATTATTTACCTCATATGTCCTTCACCGCTTATTTCACCTGCATAACTTATTTAGATGTTTTAAAAGGCCACCTAAATAAATAAATGAATCAGCAGAGCAAAATCATTAAATCAGAATATGTGGTGTTGTACCCTTTACTTTGATAAGGTTTCTGTCAGTATATGTCTAATCAGGACCTTTTCTCTAAAGTCTTGGAAAAAAGACAATCTATTTTCATGCGAATACGGAAGTATGTCACTTCCTGTACTGAGTAGCTTCATCCAGTTCATTTGACCACTTGAGTTGGAGCTAGAAGCAGGATGTATTCTGCTGAAAAAAAAATTCCCACATTTTTTTTCAATGAACTATTATTTTTTTGCTTACCATCCTGATCATAAATATTAAACCAGGCAGTGAAATAGTGGAATTTGATAGAGCATGGAATTATGGTACTCAGAAAGCCTGGTGGAAATATTATTATATGCTGTTTTCTTTGAGATTAGAGTCTTGGGGCAGTTGAAATTGAGCCTTCACATTTTACCCTGAGCTCCTTTTTTTCTAGCATGGTGTATTACTTTTTATGTGATATTTTGTGTATTCCAACTTACATCGTTCTAGGTCATACATAGCCATCTGTCAGGCACCTTAGCCTAGTAACTGCCAAACACTGTGCCTCTTTTTCTTGAAATTTATTTGACGCTATTTTATATGGTAAAAATGTGGGCCAGCTAGGTTCAACATAAAGTATAAAGAAGTTAAACACTGTCCAAATAATCTAAGTCCCATCTGTTCAATTTTTTTATGGTTCATTTCTTTTGTGGTTGTGCTGTTATGGTTATATAAATAGCTTAGTTGTGAATGTCTCAACAAAAGATGTAAATAAGCTTACTGAATACGGAAAGGATAGATCATGCTGGTTAGACGTGACATTTCTTGTTGTGTTTGAAGTGGCTTTCATCATTGCTGGAGCTTTTAAATTAGAATATAGTAATATTTTACTCAACAATTTCAGACAAAATATATCGGGTTATTTTTTGTCTAAATAAAAGCAAAGTATTGTAATTATAGTACCTGAACATAATATAAAAGCTGATTCACTTGTGAAAAGTGAGTCAAGTGCTTGTCAGTAGGTATATTTTTGTTGTCTCTAAAAATGATGAATATTGAAAAAAAAAAAAAAAAAAAAAAAAAAAAACAGACACACAGTGTACATTGAGCCCCATAACTTGTTGCAGTCACAATTTATAGCTTTCATCTGAGGGGAAATGTGTCTGCCTGTCTGATGACTTATTGATTTTCCAGTTTCTCAGCTCATTTCCTTTCTTCTCTGGCCAATATGTGCTTATCGTTAGGGATTGAGGGGAAAACAAAAGCAGACTGGCAGTTTGCAATATTTATGAAAAGCTACCTAAAATGTTATAATATAAAGTTATGTTCAGTCTAGGAGAAAAAAACTTTTTTATCGTCCATTTTGGTACAGTGCAACATCAATTACACAAAGAAAAAAAAAGACATAAAAAGATGGCTTAGCATGCATGTTTGAGTATAATACAAATTAAATGAAAAGATTAGATAGAACACAGATTTGTTGTGCAATATGCACATGGTCCTAGCTCAGAGGGCATGTACAGTATATGAGAGACAAGAAGAAGAGTGGATAAACTTACTAACACACTGGCCAGTCATAAAAAATAATCTCTATGTCTGAAGATTTTTTTCTTCATTTTCAGGTGGATATTGCTGTGTTTTAAGAGAGAGTTTCCAGAGGCAGATGCTCTGAGGATCTGGGAGGCTTGCTGGGCCCACTACCAGACAGATTATTTCCACCTGTTTATCTGTGTGGCTATTATAGCAGTCTATGGAGCAGATGTGGTAGAGCAGAAGCTGCCAGCAGACGAGATGTTACTTCACTTCAGCAGCCTGGCCATGCACATGAGAGGAAATGTCATACTTCGCAAGGTATGGCGGAGACAGCGTACTGCATGGTTACCAGCTTTATAAATTCATGTGCATTCATCAAAATCTTCCCTATCTGTTCCCATTGTTTTAGATGTTATTTTATTGTTTATACCATTCTAACAAATAGAAATTACACATTTTGAGAACTGCAGTGTTGACAGCCATTGTGTGGATTTTGCCTAAGTTTATGTAGAAAGTGGGTCTTGTTTTGATTGATTACACTGGGGATGTTTTTTCGTTTGTTATTCAGAACCAGAGAAAACACCCTGTGATAGTATAACCTTTTTGTTGATGATTTAGCTTGCCATTTTTGTTTGGCTTGAGAAGATTGTTTGTGGGTTTAGCTATTTTTCTTTTTTTTTTCATGAGAATACTTTGCCTTGTTCATAACAAGGAGATAAAAAAAACCATTCTGTTCTAAACCCAAAAACTTTCATGTCAGTTGAACTTTTTTATCTTTCAGGCACGTGGTTTGTTGCATCAGTTCCGTGCACTCCCGAAGATCCCGTGCACTCTCCATGGTCTGTGTAGTCTGTGCGGTCCTGGGATGTGGGACAGCGGACATGTCCCAACAGTGGAGTGCACTGGTAACCATGGAGACAACATTTGTCCTCACAACACTTAAAAAATGGAGCAAGATTGTCAGGAGAATTAATAAAACTCTCTGGTTGAAGAAGTGCATGTACTGAATGATTAGGTAAAACGTTTTGGTAAAAGGTGTATCAGAACCTACTTAATTTTTTTTTTTTTTTTTGTTAGCTGTGTAAAGTGTGAGGTGACACAATTTTTACCAGTTTGTCTTTGCTAGCTCATGTTTTAGTGGACTTTATTTAATTTAAAATTTCTTTGTGATACTTGACTCTCCAGACTCCATTGGTTTTGTATGCACTGCATAAAATAATAAAGATAGGACGTATTGTGGGTGCATAGGGCAAGGAATATAGCGAAGGTGCGTTTTATGGCAAATTTTGTTTAAAAAATGGAAAGTGGAAGATGAAAGTCCAGATGCTTGTTAAGAGTAAGGTTTGATATCAATAATGGAGGGATGTTACTCTCATCCTTTGCCTACTTTGAAGAGTTGTTGTTGGCTATTTTATGGTAATCTTACTCTTCCAAGAGATCAAGATTAAGAAACAAATCTATTTTACACATAAAAGTATGTGAATGTTTTAAATGTTTGTATTTGTTTACATTTATTCTTTTTACTAAAAGAAATAATCATTAGATTTTGCAAAAGTCCCTTGCTGGTTATTCAGCTTAAAATGTTTGTATAATGTTTGTGGCTCTTTTTTTCCCTTAATGACTGACCATGCAAAATATTTCTCTTATTTAAGTTAACAAATATACCATTGATCTTTTGTCATTCAGTGTTTGATAAAACTTTTTTCTTTACGATTTATAAAGTTTAGATTAATTATTTATTTTTCTTATTGGCATTTATTTATTTATTTGTTGTGTGATTAAAGAGTTGTTCCAGCTACACAAAAAAAGAAAAAGTTTTTAACTGTTATATAAAATCCCCTCTTCCTAAGTCATTGTTAGCTTATCTTTCCATCTTTGGACTCAGTTGGTCAAGGAGAATAAACATATCACATTAAATTCAAGACACATATATATATATTGAAGAAGCTCTTTTTGCAGTACATGTCATATTAATATCTTACAAAAAAAACTTCAAAAATTCCAGGGAGTTAATTTTGTATTCTTCGTCTATTTTTTGCTTAAGGTGTTGGCTATCTTGGTAAGTTTTCAGTCGAAAAGTCACAATGGATCATTTAATCTGAATTTGGTTATTTTATCTTTATTATGGCAAAATGTTGAATGAGCAACATGTGATGAAGTTACTTAGTAAATCTGTATTGGATTTTAAGAAGAATGAAGATAAATTGATTTATATTGTAAATAAGCATTAAGATTATTATGATGCTATTTCTGTATAGAAAGCTTGTTAATCAAAAAGAATCTCAGTATAGGTTTACTGATATATATTTCAATTTCATGATTTATATTTGAGATCTACAGAGTTTGCAAAGCTATGATGAAGTGCAATAGATTTAAATCCAGTTAAATTTTGTCTTAAAAATGTGGGCAGGTTGATTGGTGTTGTGATTTAGAAATAAATATTCAGGCAATGAAGATGGTTTGTTTAAAATGGGGTTACTGCCAAAGGTTTTTCATTGCTTTTTCCTGTTTAAAGACTTTGATAGAACAGTTTTAATACACATGCTCTTTTACATTTGGCTTATTAAAAAAGCAGTGGATATCTGTTAGAATGAAATACTTGGACATACCACAAAAATGAAATCCCCTCAGCGATTAGGTTTGGTCTGCCACCAAACGGACATCAAGGGATAATTTTGTAAAAAAAAAAAAAAAGGGGGGGGGGTTTGTTACTCTCTACCAAAGGTTTTCCCTGCCTGTTTACAAGTTGTATATTTAGAAATATCCAGAGAAGACCTCTGGCAGAAGGAAGGGAAATTCAGGTATATTCAAAGCGACCCTTGGTTAAAGGTTCACTCCATGAGGTTTACCTGCCAACATGGATCCTCCTGGGAAAATGAGCAATTTCTTATTTATCTATCCCTCTCTACACTTGGATTCAACCTTGGATAAAATTTATAAAGTTTGATCTAAGCTTAAAATGATTGGCCAGTGTACTTGGCTGTCCTGTCAATCCTGGCATTCAGGTAGGCAGCAGGAGAGGCATGTTTTAAGACCTGTTGTTTTGATCTTAAATGTTTACAGTACATAATTGTATTTAAAAGTTGTTGATCTATTTTGGACATGGATAAATAAAGATAGAACAATAGATATTGGGGAGGCACAGAATGAATTGAGCATTAAGTCATAATATAATTTGGCAATACAAAGTACTTTTAAGTACTTTTAGAAACGTTAAAAACCATTGGGTAAATTAAGTTTTGAGGGTTTCTTTGAAACATGACCATTTTAAGGGGGAAAATGCTGCTTTGCAACTAACATCTATCACTAAATAAAGAAATGAATACTAAAAAAGGCAAATAGATTTTTGAGAAGTGACAAATTTATTTGATTCATACAGAGATCTCTTAATAACAGTGATTTCATACAAACACAATGTTAGAAATTGGTATATTTTCAAATTTAAATTCATTTTCAATAGAAATATGCTCAAAATAACTGCAAAGGTGCAAGGTGTTAAAAGGTACATCTGAAAATAAGTACTCCTGATTACAACCATACATATAGGTTAAAAAAAAGAAGAAATACAATTTTAAAATACTGTTCAATAATACCAAAGATATATACGAAGTAAGCTTCAGCAAAGTTGCCAATGCAAACAGTGCTTATATTAAAAGTCATACTTTAAAATACTTTACAGATGCAGACAAAAAGGCAAATAAAACAAAACAAAATTAAAATAAATAAATGTACAAAAGGATGTTAACACTTTTCCAAATATACATATAAATATATATAGTAAACATTTTCCTAGTGCATATTAAAAGTTATCAAATATGAGTAGGGCAGCTTCACAGATCAGTAATCTATTTTCTCCTCCCTTATCTCTCTCTCTCTCTCTCCACCAAAATATATTAAAGTAAATGTGAGAACTTCTGTAACCAACCACAAAACTAACTGTGTAACATATAGGTTGTTCAGTTTTTGAGTATTTGTAGTTGGCATCCCATGGTTCAGTCTATTACAGTTACAGGCTATCAACTATTGTAATGAAGGCACTATAGTTGTTGAGGAGTAAAGTAATTAATATTCCAACAGTCACTGATTGTTTAGAACCTTTTAGCAGTATATATTCACACAACACAAAAATATGGCTCACATGACAACACACATTCTATTTCTGTCACCACAAGTCAATGATACACACATTTGTAGACAATACTTCACATCAAAATCTTGAATATATATATAATATATATCTAGCATACAACACATCCAACATTCACAGAACGAAGAATGGAACAGTTCCACAGAATTCCATTCAAATGTTATATATGTCCTTATAATATATAATATACGAATATGAACAAAAAATGCATATACTAAGTATGGTAGCAAAAGATTCCTGATAATATGTTCCCCCATTCTGGTGTATACCTCATTTAATAGAAGGAGAATTGCTTTCCAGTTAAAATACCAACACAGCTATCACAGTATTAGAATATCACATATTGAACCTAACAATATTTTAAAATGAAAAAAAAATGGACAGCATCAAAAATAATGCTTTTATATCTGGAATGTTTCATAACCTAAAATGGACAGAGATGTATAAAATCTCACAATATATAAAAAGACTTGTTATGATTTTTTTCATAAGCTTCAGTTATCTTCATGTTGACCTTGGGTGTTCCTTTACAAGAGTTCCAGGTCAACCAGTAACCTTTGATCTTTTTGCATAGATCACGAATAAGCAGGTGGAGGAGGTGCATAGGCTGGATCTGAAACAATGAAACCCGATGTCACAAATGTCAAAGGCACAAAGGTTAAACTGTACCGAATTTTTCTAACCAGTTACTCTTTGAAATGACTTTTCTCCAGTAATCCAAAAATGGAAAAGGAATAAAAACTTGTTTAAGAAGTACTTTTACCATGTCCATCATCAGTTACTCATAATCAATTACTCATTATTAGTACTTGCAAAAATGTCTGTTTTGTCATCAAGCTCAGAGATACCTTCTGTTTTTAGTCAAAGTAAAATGACTATTGCCAGTCAAAGTGAAGAGTTAACTGACTGCATCAAGTCACATGTAACTGTCTTCACGTACCATTATTAGCTTGGCTGTAACCAGGAGGAGGCGGCTGTGTGCTGGAGTAGCCTGGGTCCACTGGTGCTGCCAGGCCTTGCTTCTGTTCTGTGGGAGGGTAGGCAGGGTCTAAACACACAGACAAGGCAAATATGATAGGTAACAGGCCTAAATGTGCAAAGGTTACCGAAAACAGCAACAGTCATGGTCAAGACAATCAAAAATTGTTCGTGTGGCATGTGTGGCACAGTTTAAAAGCTTCAAAAATGAACTAAGAAGCCTTAAGATAGTTTGCAAAACAATACATATTTAAATTAGCCGAGACCCATTTCAAAATTGTTAAGAGATTATCAACATGTAACAAGTTATCATGTTACTGATGTAATCAATGAGAACTAGGTTGCATTAATGATTACATTCCAGGTGCTTTTATCACCATGTTTCTGAAGAACCCAAACTAGCTGAATGTTTTCCTAAAATACTCTTTTCCATTTGTAAAATTTGGTGCTTCCTTACAGGTGAAATGTCTTGTCAACCCGTGAATACAGTAAGGCCCTTTTTTCATTGAGTGGTACCTTAACAAGGACCAATCCTTTAACGATGTGAAAAAGGTCTTAGGCCACATTCATAAAAGCAGACTAACAGATGTGTGGATCAAATATGGCCAACAGGCAATCCACCTGAATGCTTGTTGCATAATTCTCGCAGGGAATTATTCAGTGGGGAATAAAGCGATAAGCCTTTTAGTTGGTCACCATATTTGATCAGTGAATACCTTAGTACACTGATAGAGAACACTAGCATACCATTATATGTGTAGCCAGTAGGCTGCTGAGAGCCAGAGTAGAACATGTAGCTGGACTGAGCCTTCTGGTCTGGTGGAGGAGGGGGAGGACCACTGTAGCTTGCAAACTGGTGAGGATTGGAGTAGTTTGTGTTGAAGTGAGATGGTCTTCCCGAGCGTTCTGTCATAGATATCTCACTTCTATAAGTTCTTCCTTAAATTTAATACCATAGTTCAGTTGAGGTGATGAACATAACCATATTTTAAGTAAAAACCTGGGGCACATTTGGAACTAGACAACCACACATATCATACACTTTTTTGAATTTTGAACCTGCCACAAAAGTTTTTTAACAATATCTAAAAATATTAACATATCAATTGATTAACATGACAAAATGTAGATCCATGCAAGTAACCATAAGCTAATCTGGCATAATTCTGTATATAACAAGAAAACCACAGTTAGCTACTTTTATAATCATATTAGTCACCCAGTGACAGTAAATCTGATTTCATAAATCTATACACTAATATGTAAATATTACAGGAAAATACATGTAGCTCTCTCATACTACACATCCATATTAATAAAATATGACAATTTCTTTACTGGTTAGCAATGACAGAACAGAAGACACTTTCTGCTAAATTTTGTTGCTACTTTAACTTACTAGCATCTTACATGCTGATAGATACATTGAAATCTCAGTTTATTGTCAGTAATATTATGATATCATTTATTACTATTATTCATGCCATGATAAGCAAACTTTCACATTTTACCTGCCAATATCTCAAACACTTAAAATTTATTTTTCTAGGCTGCAAAATTAGGGCTTTATGGATACAGAAGGTTCCAAAATACTTACTTCTGATATTGCTTGAAGATGAAACTTTCATTTTCTTCACTTTACACATCCTCACCAGTATGACGATGACCACAATGACGAGTGTTGCAGCAATGATGGCCCCAAACACCACGCCCACAATATTCCCAGTGCTAAAATCAATACAGTAATGGTCCAGACATAAAGAAAATAACACTTATTATTTGAGACATTCACATTATAAATATGAAAATGTGACACATAAGCTCTTAAATCAATCAGTGACTTAAGGGGGGGGGGGGGGAATAGCAAAATGGATAAAATCATAGAAACAACGCCCTATTGTTAAGTTGTTAAAAAAAATAAATTATACTTCCCAAAAGACCAACTAAATACAAAGATTAAGTGCAGTGTCCAATGGGTGACGCTGTACTATTTTGGAGAGAAAAGAATTTTTTATTTGTTTTTTGGACCAATATCAGTGATTCAAACGGCATTGCAAGCTAAGTGAAAGCACTTAACCACAGGATACCAGGGAATACTATTTAACTATTTCATTCTGATTTTATCATCTTTAACTTCAAATTACCCCTTATTTCAATGGGTTATTAGCTTCAAAACGATAACTTTCAAACAATTTTGCTTAGACAGTGAAATAAACTTGAAACCGATTCACCTGTCATTCTGGAAAGCTGTTAAAATGACCAAAAAAAGGTTCACAGACATGTTAACAGAAATTATTAGTCAATTATGTAGCTGGGAAATTCACCTGCTATCGGTAATATGATCAGACAGAACCATTGCCAATTGTCAAAATATTGTTTGGATGCTCTGAAATGCCTGAAAATTGTGTTTTTGTAACATTTTCTGATCACACATTTGACTTGTGAGTAATATCATTCAATTCAAGTATGTTAACAAGTAGACCAAATGACCAATACTGACCAATAATGAAAATCCAATGTCCTAAACAGTCACTTTCATATTTCAACAATAAAAATTTTGCGAGTTTTGAGAGATCTAAAAAAAGTTAAACTTTTGAATCTCAGCTCAACTTCTTACTTGTCATTCCACCTGCAACAGTATTCAGAGTTTTCTTCTCCACAACACGAAGTAAAGTCTGCAGGTTCAAATGACAAAGGACATGTGAACAGACCCATGTAGGAGCCATTACTGTTGGCTTCATAGTTCTTACATACACCGGCAGCTAGAAGGAGAAAAATCACAATTTGGTATATTATCAACAAAATACAATAGATTTTTCTCATCCTCATCAACAAGTTTTACTGATATTGTGTTTGTAGTATACTGGTCACTTGAGGTGATATGTGATTGGGGTATGAGTGCACAGATGAAACAGTTACTTGAATATGAATGCAAGCAAGTTAAACCCCAGAAGATGTTACCAGGCTTTTTTTTTTAGTCAGAAACTTAATTTTTTAGACCCCTAAAACCTGTGAATTACACAGTCTGTTCATCTATAAATATGATAATAATTATCAAGTCATAGCATTTTATCACTTCTATGCATTTACCTAAAGAAGAATAGTAAGAAAAGTGCACTGACAGTCCTTGTACTGGACATTTCAGAGTCACACTGTTTGGTTAAAAAATCTTTTACAAAATCTGCAGTTCACCAACTCACTTGAGGAAGTTAAAGATGTTGACCTGGAGTATGCAGCACTGTGGTAGAAGTAAAGGTTGTGGTAGTAGTAGTACAGGTAGGTGGGTGCCCAGTAGGTGTAAGCTCTGGTGTACCTCACAGCCACATAAGACCTATAGGAATAGCTGCTGTAATAACTTCTGTAAGAAGAACTCCTGTAGGATGCTCTGTAAGAACTGAAATAGAATATCTTGATGTCATACAAAAGTGTGAAATTAGTAAGTGGCATATGTGGTTCTTTACTTTATTAATTAATCTATGAGACAGAAATTTCAAACTGGAAAGGGAGGTTTCTGAGAAGCAGTTCCAGATATAAACTTAAATATCACATATTTTCATCTATGTTTACCCTTAAGTAGGGTTATATTGTGTGCTAAATGAGCACAGTTTTGTTTGTGACTCATTTGTAAATCTATACTTTTTCACAAAACAAATCATTACAAAACTGCATATTGTTTGAAAAACGTGTGTGGAACTCCACATATGTCCCAATGAAACATAAAACACCAAATTCAATACGATACACTGCGTATCAATGGTCATTTGTAAGAGGATTGCAGATGATTCCGAAAGTATGAGTAAAAAACAAACCTTCCACCACCTCTTCTAGCTTCTGTGTCTGAAATAACCAACATTTTCATTGGTTAACATGTTACAGAAAAATTATGATGCTCTAGACTTGATATTCAAAAAAGCAATACATCTTCTTATTCAGTTAAGAATTCCACTAGCTATATCAGGTATGATTTTTACTTAAATTGACCTTAATATTTATAGACTTGACATTTAATATGGAATATTTTTTCCAAATCTTTCTTCTTTTATTTTTTTCCTTCTTTTCTGGCATATAATGAAAACAAGGATTTAAATCTTATTTTAATACTTTTAATAATCTGTTCAGTATAAGATTTGTTGTAGGACCAGTAAGCCACTGGTTCGGCAAGTACTGGCTACCTGCAGATTGTACATAGGCTTCAAATCTGACAATCTCAATGGCCATGGTAATTGCTGGGTCTGAAAGTAATCTGCAAATACGGGTGCTCTGCACGGACAGATATTTTCATCTTGTGAAGTGAAGTGAAAATTTTCCTGAGGTGCCCTCTAGCAAATGGGAGCAATTGGATTCTAGGATATTCCTGTATTTGATCTGGTTCAGGTTTTATTTGATGAGATAGGAACAGCCTGACTAGCAAAAGAGCCTGGACAAGCAAACCTGAGACAACGCATAACCTTAAATAGAACGCGCTGACGGTCTCACAATGGGTCAGACCTGGTACGACCTACTACTACTAAGTACTTTTATTTTACTTCAAATTTGCACTTTAAGGTTCTATTTCTATTAATTGCAAAACTGAACTAGTACATTCGGTCTTCTATTTTTGTCTTTTGTGACAGGACAAGACCTTGCGCGGCCTTTTGTTACAACCTAGGTTAGCCATATTTGCGAGATTGACAGATTATATTACATGAAAACTAGACTACTTCAACTCTCGTCATGAAAAAGAACGCTTTAAAACCCGTGACTGGTTCAATTGCCAACATATTTCGGTACACTACAAAATGAAAAATAGTATGATATATTATTGATAAAAAAATCTACTTACCGAAGACACACACAAGCAAAATTGTCAACAAGATACCCGTTCTAAGACTTCCCATCATGGCAGTTTGCTTACAGAATGACGTCACATCGCCAAGTGCTATGGGTGAAATAATAACACCGATACACTTACAGGATGAGCCTTGAGGAAACCAATGGGTGTAATGGGAGCACAGGAGTAATAGGGATGTGCAAGGTTTACAGTTATTGCAGATGTATTCATGTTCATTATCATTTTTACTTGTTCTTGTTTAGGCTTTTTAAAATTCTCCTTTAGTAAGAAAGTATAAATACTAATACATTATTTCAGAAATGCTGTGACATTTTATAATGTTATTGTAAAATAAAGCACATATTCCAACTTTAATACATAGAGAAGAGAATCCGAATGTGTTTCTTATCTTTTGATGTCTTTCGATGAAGATAATAATGCAACTGATAATATATTGAACTGATTTATTTACAACAGATGAGATATATTTTGACAGGGTTTGTTTCAAATCACCATAAATTAATGTATAACCACATTTAGGAAATACATTCTTGACGATAACAAAAGGTGTAATTTTGCTTAGTTATAATGGACACCTTTTGTGAAAGCAATATTTCAGTTCAGGGCATTTTTGCTATTCAATTCAATGTACACAAAGCTATTGATTCTCAGTTCAGGTGTAATTGTCTCCATGGGAAATCCAAATACTGTTATCATCAATGTTAAAATATTTCTCCACTTCAGTTTGTTTTCTTAAAATGTTCCTTTTTGTTATCCAGTAACGTATATATTAGATAAAGGCAACCAAAAACGGTGGAGCAAAGGGTGACTGTAGCAACCATGACACTGTCACATTTTTGTCCTACTGGGACTTTGAACTCCACATGGTCTGCAGCCTATAGTAATAAAAAGAGAAAAAGGAAACTTATGATACTAGTAGATTAACAATAAATCATATCACCAAACCAGGTGTCATGGATAAAAAAACTTAATTGGAGAAGCTTACATGCATATTTGTTCAAGTTTATTTATATCCAAATTAGATAAATGGTACAAAGAAGTATTTACCATTGCATGACACCCATTTAATCATCACAGCACAGTTTAAAGGTGCTATTTCACAGATTTTAATATTTAATATACTAGTACATCAATACCATATGAAACAAAATGGAAGTACTTTTCAAACATGGCGCTGCAAAAAAATAGACTTACACTTTTAAACTGAACTTCTCTCAGGAAATTGGATTTACTTTTAGGTGTTCCATTTCTTTGTTCTTTATTGTCTGGATCAATATCACCTAGAATGAATTCCATCATTATGTTGTTAGCAATGGTATGAAAATTGCAAATTCAAAATATATTCTACTAACCAGTGAAAGATGTTACTATAGGTAAGAAGTGAATTTGGTAAAGACATGCCCAAACATACACACATCCAGACAAAATTATAAACCACACCAGTGAGGAAAAATATTTAGGAATTGCTCACTTTCACATTCTAACTGCATTCTTGGATGTTTTATGTGAACCAAGGCATGGTCAGTTTCTCTGGTCTCTGATGGCCTGTGATATCTCAGATGTACAGGAAGAATGACAGATGCACTGAAAACTCCTGGACTGACTTGTCTTATGTTGGTATGTACACGTATGACATGGTTTGGTGATTCATGAGCAGGCTTCTCTGTGTCAATTGGCTCTAAACTCTCTACCTTGAAAGAAAGAAAGTAATAAATAAATAAATAAATTAATTAATTTACACAAATCTAAACACTTATGGTTAAATGATGAGAACATTTCTTAAATATCAAACTATGAAGAAATATTTAGCATGGCATTTTGGGGTACCAGTGATTTTCTCACATTGGCCTAAAAACCACAGGGAAAATGGAAATCTTCACAATGTAAGGATGTTTCTGAAAAAAAAAATGAAAAGCAACTTTTTCCTGACAAAAAAGGCATGCTATGAAGAACCAACAAGTTTAAATGGGCCTCTAACCTCAACCAAGCACAAATTTTTTTCAAAAAATTTTTTAAAAAAGCCTACTATGGCTTAAGAAAATCTGAAACATACTTAATCACATTTTTGTCATTTTCCTATCAGTTTTTCAAAATAGAAACCCATATGACTGACCCCAATGTCATTTTCTTAATTAACTTGAAAATTAAAACACTGATCTCCCTCCTTAGAGCTTTTTGGTTGAAAAACAAGGTATTACCTTTTGCAATGTGTTATTCCCTATGGAATGGATCTGATCCAAGTCAACATACAGACCCTGCGGCAAGACCTCAGTAAGGACAAGATGACATTCTGAAAAGTTTATTTCCACATCTTTCTTGTGTAGCCTTACTTCTGTGACAAGATCCCTGAAATGTAGAATCCATCCTATTGATTTTCCATAGTTTATATTATTTTTAAAGGGATAGCAACTCTTCGTATGACATCTACATTTCACAATGAATACATTGTAATCAACTCATAGAAATATAATATATTCTATTATATTTACCACGAAAATGGCAGTTATAGTAATTATTCTGATATTTGTTCTTGTCATTGGACCATGTGACCTCCATCGATGGTATATTCTGTAATAATCTCTTAAGAACTCACTCATTTCCCCCAAACCCTGCAAAACCTCTATTGAATTTAAGCCAAGTTGTGAGACTGAGGTAAGTAGAATTTCTATCTGACAACCACACAGTACATTCAATGATCAATATATATGTATATGGATCGTACCAGCACAAATCCCATACAAATGAAAGAGTACATACGTATACACTCTAGAACAAAGAGGAAGTAGAAAATAACTTACAACTTTAACTCTATAATATGAACGTGCAGTACGTACCTATGAAAACCCGCTTTCCTTGAAAATCTAACAAAGTCAACGGCATCTACTGTTGGTGAAGTTGCCGTTTTTGATGAGATTATGAGGAAGGCAGCTATGAGTGAAGCTTTGAACACCACGCCAACTGATGCCAGTGATGCCACTGGTGGCCTTAGAATCATCATACAGGTTTCACATTGAAATAGTTTAATGAGACGGTCCCCAGAAGTTCCAACTAGAAAATAAAAGTCTTACCATAAAGATTAAATCAGAAGTCAGACTGATCTACGGCAAGCATGCAAACTTACATAGAAATAACTATAACACTCCATGATAATCGGTGACAAATGATGATATAAGGGCGCTGCCATTTTGGTAAGCCTCGCAGTTATTGTGAAACTTGGTTCCTTTAAATTAAAATTAATATTTAGCTATATATTCATTACTGAGTTAGAAAATCAAAATGTTAATTAGGATATGTATCAAATGTTTTTTCTGACCCTAGTTATAGTATTATACAAAAATATGCACATACATTTACTGCGGACTCATATAAGGGGTTGACAAGGAAGCGGCCTTTGCATGTTGCTGTACATATGTACATGTTATTTGTAAACGAGTTTTAGAAAAAACATTTTATTCCTGTTTCAAGATCTAACAGTTAACGATTTGAAAATGGGAGGACTGTTCTCAAAATCAAAGAAAAAAGAATCAAGGGTGACAGAACAGGATAAAGCTGTGCTGGTAGGAGTCTGCAGCTCTAATCTATTCCTAACGTTACTTTCAAGTTGTTAATTGATTAATTTTGATTATAATGATAACTTAGATCATACAATTAGTACACTTGTTGACGAAGGTTGGTTATTTATAGTTAATTTATAGCTACTACCTGTAATGGGAAGTGTACATGTATATTTACACTGGACTAGTACAAATGGCCACTTCAATTCTTTGTTAAATTAATTTTCAAGAGAGATAAGAATGTTTATTTTTTTTTTGCAATTATCCCATTTCGCTTCATTTGTTATTATTTAATCCACTATCAGCATGAGTAAAGAAAATTGGAATACATTTAATTTTCTTTATTTTTTTCTCTTTTTACCAGCAATTAAAACAACAAAGGGATAAGCTGAAACAGTATCAGAAAAAAATAACTGTGCAGCTTGAAAAGGACAGAAATGTTGCTAAGCAGTTGCTAAAGGATGGAAAAAAAGAGTAAGGCTATGTTCATTGTTGACTATATCTAAATGATATACTGGTACAGTGTTTTTGTATTTGTATATATAAGAACTAAGTCCACACCAGGAACATTATATATATATATATATATATATATATATATATATATATATATTTGCTATAGTTTCTTTTTCTCTAGATAGCCATATGACTGTATAAGACAATTTAATTCTGAACTGGCTAAAGCTATAAAACATGTACTAAAAAGGTTGGCCTTCTGAAAATACATGTAATTCAATGATATCAGCAAAATATAAACTCTCTCTCTCTCTCTCTCTCATGACTGCTGTTGTGGCATAACTTTACTGCTTGTTTTTCTTCAGGAGAGCAAAACTACTTTTGCGAAAGAAAAGATTCCAAGAAGGTTTAATAGAGAAGACTGACAACCAGCTAGATAATATTGATAAAATGGTAGGTTTTAGTTTTGTTTCATGTAAAGCATACTGTATACAAATAGTTGCCTTAATAAATTGCTTGTACTGAAGCAGGTATCGCAAATTGACTCCTAAAAATTTAGAGGACACTGGAAAGTCACCTATCTACTATACACAAGCCTCTAATGTTTCCAGAAAACACCAGTGGGCAAGGATAGGTGAGTTTCTTGTGCCTTCTTCAATTTGGAGGGCAAATTGGGGAAAAGCCAATACTAGGTAGAAAGGAGTGTTTATTTCATCTTCTGTTGTGATACCAGTTTGCTGTTAAGTAGTTCTGTGTACATGTTCATACATATTGTGGTGTGTGTTTACTGATGTTGTGATATGCTGAAAATTTTATATATAAATTTGACTTATACAAGTCAAATCAACCAGTTTTTGTTTTGCCAACTTTGTCAATTTTAGAATTACGCTAAATTGATGAGCGTTAGCGCTACCCCAGTATTAATATATATATATTTGTGTATATATATATATATATATTTGTGTGTATATTGTTTCAGGTACATGATATTGAATTTGCTCAAATTGAAACACAAGTCATTGACGGACTAAAGCAGGGTAATGACTCGTTGAAAAAGCTCCATGAAATTTTATCCATAGAAAATGTTGAGAAAATTATGGAAGAAACACAAGAGGCAGTGCAGTACCAACAGGTAAAATGGTGGAGAATCATAGTTCATGATTTTTATGAGAAACATTTTTGTTAACTTAAAAGTAAACAAATTTATAGATTGAATTAAAACACTGATTAATTATTAACGCAGTGAATCTTACTTTTCTGAATGCAAGTACATGTAATACATACACTCTTATATGTGAATTAAATGGTTTATTCAAATAGGAAATTGATGACTTACTTGCTGGTGGCCTTTCTCAAGAGGATGAAGACGATGTTCTGGCAGAACTAGAAGAAATAACAAAGGTAAAAATCAGTTTTTCTATACAGACACTGATTGTGTCTGTATATATTATGACCACTGTGTCTATGTTGTCGCTATGTGGTCGCCGTTGAAACATCAGACTCTATAACTGCCATGCCACATTTTTGTTTTACTTTAAAACTGAGTGGCTTTAATTGTTTAAAAAACAGCATAATAGGATCATTTTTCTAAAAAACTATTTTTTGAATTTTATTTTAGTTTGCAGACTATTGCTTTGCTATATTTCTAAAATTGGAATTCATTCAAAGGATATCCATTAAATTACAGGAATCTTTACCAGAAGTGCCACAAGAGGAAGTACCAGCTATGCCTGAAGTTCCAAAAGCAGACATTGAAGGTACATTAAAAATTGAAATAGGCAGTCATCTAGAACTCATTCATTAAATTAGAATTGAATGAAACATTAAATCCAAGTGCAACTGCTTTTCCCCACAAGGAAAATTCATTTTGGCAGAAAAATTATTTACAGATTTCCTCAACTTTCTCACAATTTGTGCATTCACAGCAGCAGAAACATTGCAAACCTAACATTTATGATTATTTTTCAAATTTCAGAAGAAAAGGCGATATCCAAGGAAAAGAAAAGAGGAAAGGAAATGTTAGCTTCATGAGTTCAGCTGTAGAAATTCAAGAATTCAAAGCTTTATGTGTTTTATAGTCTCTCCTTCAAAGCATAAGGGGTGGATATTGGTGTGAAATACTACATTAATACAATGTAGTTGATCATACTTTGGATACTTAGTTCCCCAGTTACCCAGAGCATCAGGTCTATTATGTGCTGGCTTTTTCATTTTCAAATCTCCACATTTGCCTTTTTTCATGATAAAAATTTTTATTAGGGTAAAAAAAAATTGACATATTACACCATTAGAGTTACTGTAGGTGTTCTTCACTTTATTTTTTAAACAAATAAATGAAGTTTTAATGTTGAAAGCATCATAGAAAAAGGCAAATAGTGGTAATCAATCACACACAAACAAAAATGTATTATTACAAAAAAGGGGGGATGCTTCCTATAGTTTAAAAATCGATAAAGTCAGTTAAAATAGAATCCCAAGATGGTTAAAAAGATGAACATTTGATAAAATGCCAGTTGGGGAAAGAATAGGAATCCATAGTTTCCACACTGTTACAAAAGGACAGAAATTAAGAATCTAATCCCCATGGTTGCCGACTTTGTTTGGACCAGTTGTTTGACATGTTATAAAAAGTAGTTTAACTTGAAAACAATGGAAATCAAAACTGAAAAATGTGTGGAGTGCTATGTACTCATTATATTAATGTTGAGAGTTGGCAACCATGCAGTACATCTTATGTATACTAGTGTGCAAGTGGTGTATTTAAAATATTGAGTGTATGTAAAGGTCTGTGCAATATAGAATATAAGAAAAATAGTTGAAACATTAATCAGTATGAAATATTCATCAATACTTGGGTGCTAGGATGTATATTCAGGTTAAATTGATAGAAAACTTTGTTTAACTATAAGCAGCAGAAACATGCTTGACAGTATACATTGTTAATTTTGTTTAATATAGAAATTCCCTCAAAACTAAATATGGAATATCTTTGCAGGATATTCCTTAGGACACTTCAGAATTACCAGTTGTTGTTATTCTATCATTTGATATAAAAGCATATGATCTATATCAGAAACAGTAGAGGCTAGCTTCAGAGTACATAGAGAAATGACATTTCAAAATATATTGCTTTCCCATTGTATATGTATAAGACTTAAGTATGGTTCAGGTGTATTGCATAAAACTTATTAAATATACGTATATTTTTGGTTCTACTTTTCATTTTTAATGAAAAAGATTTTTTTGTCCAAAACAGATGCCACAAACACATTGCCTCTTTGTTTAGTGTTAATTTCATGAGCTGATTTCAAACAATGGAAAAATGTAATTACACAATGTCATATCTTGTTCGGTACAATTTTTCATAAAAAAGCCCTTACATTCCATATTCAAAATTATTATCAAAATAGATAAAATTTATTTTAAGACCAAATTTAACCACTGGCAATGTACTTTATTCCATCATTATTTAAGGATATTTTCACCTTTTGTTCAAAACTCCTTATTTACTGCCTCACATACGTACATTATTTTGGGTAATAATGTAAATCTTCAGTGTTCTGTGACTAAATTAACTAATATTTACACACATGTAATTTTATGGGTGATGTCAAAAATGTGATTTTGGGGTGAAAGCTGAAATATTGGTTTCTCAAATTTTTCTTTTATCTCAGCACCCATGATCACTGTTTCAAGGCTGATTTAATGAAACCATTTAGTACTCCAAAACCTTGCCAGTCATTTATCTTAAAAGATTTGCTTCAGATTTAATCGTTGATAAAGCAAAATGGGGCCATAGCCATAGTCTGAAGGTTCATTGGTCAGAATGTTCACTATAGAACCCTCGGACCAATGAACCCTTGATTAAAAAATACGACAAAAATGATACCATTTTTCGAACCTTTGGACTATCGAGATGCCCCCAAGCAAAATAATGCCTTTATTTAATGAAAATCTGTAGTAGGGGCTCATAACTCCATAACAAAAACATTTTTAAAAACCAAAATGATGGCACGGGATTGTACGGGTGTCTTGACAGTCCGAAGGTTTGTTGGTCCGAAGGTTCATTGGTCCGAAAAATGGTTACATTTTCATCCATTTTTTAATCAAGGGTTCATTGGTCTGAAGGTTCTATTGAACATCCGGACCAATGAACCTTCGGACTATTGCTACGGCCCCGATGGTACTAGTACATGTAGCCTAAATGTGGTAAACTCTGCCAATTTTCATGATAAAATCTTGTTCGGCAATTAATTTACACCACATACTGATTGCTTTCTCACCTCAAAATAGAAAGGTGTTAAATTGACGATTAAAGCTTTGAGTTGCCTATGCTTATACTTTGCAACAACAAAAAAAAAATTATATATATATATATATATATATATATAAACGTCGATATTTCATATTTTTGAGGGTTTTTTCATTGATTTAAATCAGCACAAAGATAGATGCATTATTGAATAATTAGATGCATTTCTATGTCACAAAATTATTTTTTGGTTACAGTGTGTCTTGAAGGTCTATAATGCTACATCGATGTTCAATTATTTCCATTCAAATGTTAAGGATGTGAATTCACTGTGAAGATTCACAGTTTTTAACAGTTCAGCTTTTAAACGAGGGTTTAGGTTAGTGTTTAGAGAAAAGAGATTTTATTAGATAAAATTAAACTCCAGTATGGAATGAATATTACGAGCGTTGTTATATGAACAAACATAGGATATTCAATGTATAATTATGTCGGACGAGGGTGGAAGTGAAAGTGCAGACCTGCAAGGTGGCTACGCAGTAACGTTAGAGGACCAATCTACCCAGCTTTCTCCTGTGTCTGAGCCTGCGAATTCTCCTCCATCCAGTGGCACGGCAAGCCCAGCAATAAAGCTTAAAAGTGGGAAAGGTAGAACTATTTTTTCGCATATAAAAGTTTTGGTCTACTTTGCCCTTTTTAGCACTATACATGTAATTTGTTTTTTTTTTATTATCAAGAATGCACTACCACATGGTAAAACATTCTTCACATCCAACTTGTCCAGTTCTTTAACCCATTATACAATATTGCAGTGGGTCCACAGTATGGTTTTTGAACTTATAATGAGCAAGTCAACACAAAATCATCACATATAAATAATGTATACTATTAGTAATTTTATTGATTTTAATTTAAAGCATTTGGGAATTACTAAAAATGAAGTGAAAAAGCTTCCAGAAGCTGAGCACACATGGAATATTAAGTTAATCAGCCCCTGGCAGCTCGGGGAAGCATGTTATTCAGTTAATCTGATTGCATTCAGCGAGAGCCCCCACGGAGCTGGATAGATCTACTTAGACTCCGTTCACATGAAAAATCTATTTTCTAAAAATCTATTTTCTATTTGCGGTATCTTTTGATCACTCCGAGTGCAGCCGAGAATTAATTACAGCTTTGAAAGTAACTGGCTCGCGCTGCCAGTAATTACGCCGTGGGTATTCAGGGCACAGACCGTGATCACAAGATACCGCGAATAGAGAATTGTTTTTTAGAAAATAGACTTGTCATGTGATTGGGGCCTTAGCACAATACATTAGTTGCAAGAAATGCCAGTAGGGTCCATATGACCCAAAGAAGGATTTAGTGCTGTGGTTATACTGGATATGTACTAGTTAACATTTACCAGATTTTGAAATTCACAGTGACTTCAAAAACTCTATCACTGTTCTGAAATAATTGAATAACAGTGACATAAAGACTGTTAGGTTTTTATGGATATATATTGGATTATTTTTGACATGATAGTGTTCATACAAGGTTATGAATCAGTAATGTGACTGTGTGGCTGTTGTAGTTGTTTGAAAGAATTTGTATTTAAGTTATTGGGTTAAAAAGAGGTATCAGACTGTAAAAATTTAACTTTAACTGGCATGTTACTTTTATTTTCAGTGGATGTTTTGCTAAAAGCAACTGGTGATGCACCAATAATGAAAAAGAAGAAGTGGGCAGTTGACCCAAGCAAGAAAATTGGATGGATTATTGAATTTATTAAGAAGTACATAAAAGCGGAACCCTCAGAATCTGTGGTAAGTCTGTGCTCTTATTTCTCCTAAAGAGTCTCATTTGGAAAAAAATTGTTTAATAAATTTCAGGTAAAACTCCAAAACTCTTTTTGGGATATAAATGTAGCTATCTGACCAAAATTAAATGAGGCAGAGGCAATGCTATGTACTTATAGAAAGATAATTCTCTAGTGTAATGAAGACTGATTTTCGAGTTATTAAAATAGAAATTTGATGCAATTTTCTATCCACCAGTATTTAGGCTTTTAGTTAAACTGACAGCTTTATACAGTATCTTGATTGGAAATTTTATTTTGGGTTCACAACATTGAAGACCTTGTGATGGCCAAATAAGGTTTAGCTACTAGTTCCCAATATTTAATTCTTTTTTTTAGTTCCTCTATGTGAATCAATCATTCGCTCCAGCACCTGATGTTGAAGTTGGCACAGTATATGATGTGAGCTAATAATGACTTGTCCTGTCTTACTGAAAAGTCATTTTTGTTGCAATTTATAAGGAAGTAACAGATTTGTATAGATTATGCTTTTGAATGATAAACATCCTAGTACACCAAAAACTTTCAAAAAACATGTAATGTCTAAAATTTACTCAATTTAAATTTGTGTTATAGTGTTAACACAATAGGTTTGTCAGTCTCCATTTAAATTTACTTGTATTTTGTGATGGCTTTCAGTGTTTTGGGAGTGATGGGAAGCTAGTACTTCACTACTGCAGGACTCAAGCCTGGGGATAGCTGTAAAAATGGAAAGGTTCAAGATGCAACTTCCAAAATACATGGATAATTCTATACCTTTTTTTTATTATAAAAGAAGAACTTAACAAATTGGTTTTAAAGCTGTGGGCAAACACTCCACACATAAGTTGGTGTGCTACTTAATTTATTGGTATATATTTGTAGATATGTAAATCATGAATGATAAAAATGTACACCAACTGTTGTAATTGTCAAACAGTTTTATTTACAAAGAAAGAGTTAAGTACATACAACCACAATAATTCTCACATTAAAAAAATAAAAATGCATAAATTTATTTTGTTGTTTGTTGACCAACTACTTCCAAATCTAAAAATCTGTACATGAAAACAGTCATAAACGGAAGAATATGTGAGAAGTTGCTCAAGCACTCCTTAATTAATTTGTCATGTCTTTTCATCTCTATTAAAGACGTAAGTAACTATGTAAAGCAGAGAATAGAGCTTCTCTGTCATACAATTAGCACTTTTTATTCAATATGTTGTTCCAAAGTTAAAACCAAGTTGGTACTTTGTTTTTAAAATATAAAGGTTACACAATAGTAAATGACATATAATTGCAGGGTAATCCAACAAAAAGTAATCAATTTTCAAAAGATAAATATATGCCACATTTGTTCTATTGGAATGCTTATAATGAAACGTGACATAACTAATTCACACTTTGTACACCTTGTCAATAAATCAAAGCCCCGTCTATAACACACATTTTTCCATATTTGATAGCCTGCTTTGACAATTTATATAACACAGACAACTGGAACAGTTCTTCTTGGTTCAAGTTCAGAATTGTTTGTAATTCCCCAAATTTCTCAGGAAAATACCCCAACCAAGACACTTCCGACAATAAAAGTCAATGATGAAAGTTTAGTGAGGGAATGACCAAATATAAATTGCACCATCCTCACTAACACTCACAATATATTGAGAATTAGGACATATCTTCACCTTGGTTACGGCCATAGCATGACCTTTACCAACATGGGTCACTTTGCCATCATCATAAGACCATACCTAGAAAAATAATAACAAACATGAAAATGTGCATTATTCAGCAGAATATTTTCATACAATGAAATGGATCACATTTTCAGCACCTTGTGTTTGACTGTCAGTCAACGAATTGAATTCAGCAGTTGTAATTGAAACATGAAACAAACAAGAAATAATTATAACTTAAAAGATAGACTCTCTAAATAGGCTAATATGTACCTTGATCAGTTTGTCAGCACCGCCAGTGACAAAGTATTTGCCGTCAGCGGTTATATCCATGCCATTGATATCACTGCTGAGTGAGCCCTCCACCTCACGGATTGTGGAGCCGTCAAATGTTTCCCAGTATCCAATCTTCCTGTCTGTGCCACTGGCAATAATCTGGCATGGCTGTTGGTTTTGCCCGTGGTAGAAACACACACAATTGAACTGCGTGTTGGCAAAGATGATTTGACTTCTAACAAATCGCCTGAAAGGATAATATATAACTTTGAAATATCATAACCTCTGCATATTAAATTGTAAAATAAAATTTATTTCAGATACTTCCAGAAAAACACTGTTCTGGGATAAATTTTGTTTTTGGTGGGTGCCACAATGTTTACTACATGTAAGTGCATGCAATAAACTGTCCCAGCATCTTTTGTATAACCTTTGATAAATTCATCTGCTTGTTTCTCAGAAATGACAATATTTTCTCTTTCAAATTGTTTAAGTTTTGCAAGAATAAATCTGTAAAAGGATTTTTACAAGGTCATTATTTGGGATATGCTTTACAATTTCACTCACTCTAGATCCCACATAATGCAAGTTCCATCCTTGCTGGCTGTGACGCAGGACTTGCCATCCTCTGTCACCTTGATGCAAGACACTGTGGCCTTATGTTCCTTCATTTCCCCCACTAGCTCGTTGGTGTAAGTCTTTCCTTTGTTGGTGTAGCATTCCTTGATCTTCCATACCCTCACCTGCCCTTCCCCGCCACCTGAGATTACATGCATTCCATCAGGGGTGAGAGCCAGCGCTGTGACTTCACGTTTGTGGGCTTGTTTTATGTCAAATATGAACTTCCCCGATTCTGGCAGGAAAAATCGGACTGAAGCATCACTCCATGCTGAAAAGAAAGGAACATTTGTGAATGAATTTAAAGTACTTCAGAAATGACAATTTTGTACCAGTAACAAGCGTTTGCTTAATTTGAAACGGGTAACTTTCTAAACTTACTGGTAAATTTGTATATATCATTGCTTTCCTCAATAAGTATGTCACATTGATTAACTGACATCAGTTACTATACTAAGTACTGTAAAGATTGTAAATTGTGAATCATACTTTACACAGACAACAGAGATTGGGGGGGGGGGGGGGGGACTTACCACTAGCTATATATTTGCCATCTCTCGAAAAGGCAATTGCATTGCAGGTCATATTTGGAACAACAATTCTGCGGAGCTCCTGGGTAGTTGCTCGATGCCAAATGCATATCTCTTGGAAAGAGCTTGTTCCAAACAACTCAGAGGTGCCGCTGTTAATGAATGAAATTAGAGTTTAACTATAATACAAGGGAAAAAATGATTGTACATGGCAGCTTCACTAAAATTTCTGTTATCTGACCTTCCTTGTTTCCATTAATGGAATGTTTCTGCTATCACAGACAAACCTTGTGGACAGGAATGTCAAAAAGCTATAAATAGGCATGCTATTTAAATATAATCATTGAAAAGAAAAGAGCTTATTTTTAAGATAAATATAAAACAAAAAATTAGCCTCACTATGGAAACTCTATATCTGTGATGGCAGGGTAGTGGGCAGTCCGAACCAATGTCTCTTTAAATTCACTGTGGTTGAACTGATAGATGTGGGATTTGCTTGTTCCACAGAAAAACTAGAAAATGGAAAAAAGGAGTAAAAAAACAAATAAAATTGTCTCTTTATTTATGACAGTCACGATTATCGTTTAACTTATTAAAGTTAAAAGTTGTAAATAAATATTTTGATGGAAATATTATTGTTATTTTTATCAGCCACATAAGATTATCTTGTGGAACTTTGAATGACAGACAAATAAAATATGTGATTGCATTCTTATATATACACTTACTTGGTGACCTTCTCCTCGGAGTGCAATTGATGTTACTTCACCAGCCTGGTTAAGTTTTTTGCTTTTCCTATAAAAAAAGATTATTATATAATAAGCATAGAATATGATCTTATATCTGGAAACGAGAGGTACTGATGAAACGCAATATTGACTGATGACATAACAACTGATTGTTTGACCAGTCAGAGAAAAGAACACCTTATCAATCAGATGTCAACAATGTCAGATGACATTCAATGTTATCCTGGAGAATACTGACATTTGGGTATTAAATCATGTAATAAATCCTGATTTTTGCTTTTTATCTACATGCAGTTTTGACAACCTCAGCTTAAGTCAATAATTGCATTGTATTAATCATCATCACAATAACTGTAATTATTTTAAGCAGAATAACAATGAGTTGCATACTTTGTTCTCTTGAAGGCGTTATCCTTTCCTTTCACAGTTGCCACAGTGCTGTCTCCAGCGCCAACTAAGATCTCTCCATTCTTAAGCAAAGCCATAGCAGTCACTCCTTTGCTAAACCTCTCCTTTTCAGGTCCAATGTACTGAAACATCTTACTGCCAACATTGATTCCCAGCAGATCCCCAGTTGTGGTTCCACAGTACACAAAACTATCATCATCAGACATCTAAAAAAATAGAATAGAATAGAATAGAATGGAATGGAATGGAATGGAATGGAATGGAATGGAATGGAATAGAAAGCAGCCTGTAAAGTTAACACTGGTCCCACATCAAATTGGAAAAAGCAAAATTGAAGCCAGTGAAAGTTTGTAAATTTGTTCAGTTACTGGCTGATATAATAATAATAGATTATCATCAATTTTCTTCATGTATCATAATTCACTGCCATATATCTTTGTAAATCCTAGCATATCTATATAGCCAAACAAAGAATGACAAGAGAGTGTTATATCCAATATTTTGTCCAACTTGTATAAATTGGTGTATTTTTTTATTTTTGTGACAAAATATATTGTAGACACATCACAAAGCAAATGAATTTTACTTTTGTCAATAAAAACACATTAATATTATATGCTACACATCACTTTACTCAGCCTGGAATTAATACTGAAGTTTTCTACCAGATCTTGGTTTTTCCTAAATTACTGTATACAGATAATTATACTTAAAAATTGTTTAAAACAAACTTCACCAAAGAGTCTCAAATTTTGGCAAATATACATCAATATTGCTTAAAAACAATATTTTGTCAGATTTAATGAATCATTTGAGAATACAATACCTGCATGCATCTGATATCTCTCTTCAGTTGCCCCATGCTAACTTCTTCTGGTCTGATTTTCCTGTTTGTAACATCTAATGTCCAAACACGTAGTGTGCCTCTGGAATTGAACAAACCAATAATCATTGCTTAACTACATTCTATCCTAAGGAATTATCTTTTTTTTTTTACCACTCATGTTATTATCACATGGAGAGCTTTAATTTGCCTTTATCATTTATGTTTTTGAGGAAAACATTTTAAAAAATGATAATTAGCTTACTTTAAAATATATATGCAATTCATTTTCTAATAATCATACTCACAATCCAGCAGAAACAAAAAGGTCATCTCTGTTGTTTGCAAAAACCACACAACTTGCACTACCAGCACTAAGGACCTGTGCAGGAGCTCCACAGATGGCTTGCTTTGTTTCAATATTCCATACAATAATGCTAAATAAAAATAAAAATAAAAAAATGAAAACAATAATTTGACTTCCTTTAAATATTGTCATTCCCAGTAATAAAAGACCAATAAAAAAAACAGACCATTTCAATTCTATGGATTAAAATATGTTATTATTTATTTAAAATATTTTTATAAAGAAGATTTTTCTTACCTCCCATCATCTTGACCTCCTAGTGTTACCAAGTACAAGTCGTTAGGAGAGAAAGCAAGAGCTTCTATTTTGACTTTGTGCAAAGAACATTTGCAGTGCTTTACTCTCTCAGCATAATTCCAGATAATGACATCAGCCTAAAATTAATTATGAGTACAATTTTAATATCTTAGCTATCAACAAGCATGTAGTTATAATGTTTTTCTCAAACTAATTTGCTCATTAAACAAATAATATGACTGCATTATTCATATGGATTATCTATCCATTCTAAAAAAGGCCAATGTCCTTTCTAATTAAGTCAAAAAGATAAACATTAAGATTATGACCTACCCCAATGAAAGGAGGGTGACAAGGATTAAAAATAACAAATAAACATGGCAGTAGAAGATGAGACAGCCAATATCATAAGGAGTCTTAACAAGTTTATCAATGCACTTACTGCAAATCCCATGTATGTCATCTGCCCAGAAGCTATATATTTGCCACTTTTAGAAACGGCAATAGTGGTCACTTTATTAGTATGTTCTGAGAGCAACACTTGTTCCTGTGTTCCAATGTCTTCAATGATAACTGTGTCTCCCAATCCATAGATCAGGTTTTGTCTATCTGGATGAACTATCAAACCACCTGGGATTGTTCCTACCAAATAAAAAAAATCATACCGTAACCCATAAAATCATACCATACATCCTTATCATACAAGATTATGAAAGGGTAGTTTTTACCCAAACAGTGGAAATTAGTCATATTAGACTTCTGCTTGTGTTTTAGCAAAATTATGGGAAAAATTATTGTACTCATGTGATTTTAGTGGCTAATGGCATTTTGGTAGTCTATATTGATTGTTCTAAGAATAAATCATTTATAAAGTTATAACGGATCATGACATGGACATAGTGGGTAAACTGGCATACAAGTGAGGTAGAGCCAATATAGTAGATATATTTCGCAAATAAAATTGGTTTCAGATCACCTAAGATCATTTTAAAGAACGTAAATTTAAGGGGGCGGTGAACTAAATATGATGAGTAACAAATTTATGTGTACATGGGGAAAATATCCAGTTCTTTTTTTTCTGTTCTAAAACCAACGCCTGAACATCACTGCCATGGCATCAGTTAGGTCTTCAATGTTCAATGGAGACATCATTCCACTTGTGAAACAACATATTAAAGAAGTAGATTTCAGTCCTATACTTACCGTCAAATCCTATCAGTGATAACCTTTGCAATGAGCCGGGATCATCACCATTAGCTATTGGGCTCTGTGCAGCCATATTTTTGGATTAAACTTAATAAATATAAGAATTGATCAAAAGCTACAGTCTCTCGATCGCCTCCACTGCTCAAAATTGTTGTTGTTATTAGCAACGCACTTATACGCATGCGCAGATACAGTGTCGAGCACATCTAACACAATCAAGAGAAAGGATATTGGGATACTGACTGCATTCGTGTTTTTGGGATACTGACTGCATTCGAGTGTCTTTGCGTGTACTAAGATATCCACAGTAGTACGCGATACCTAGTCGCCGGCCACATAAAAATAAACAACGGACATGAGATATGTTACTATGATATGTATGTAGGGCCATAGAAGTAGGGCAATAGAAATGACGTTTTAGTCTCGTGCTGCCTGTAAAACTTTTTTTGGTGAAGATCGTAAGGGGTCCCGCCTTATAGCTTCAACATACAAAAGCTAAGAGAAATGAAAAATAATATCGAGTTTACCTCTTGATACATTTGCTTCAATCCACATTTATTTGTAGTGCAGAAAAAGAAAGAAAAACATTTATTCACTTTGGGTTATTTTTATTTTTTATATAATAAACATTGAACAGGCCTTGTTATCATGAAATATTCACTGAAATTAATGACATACAGTAACAGGGTATAAACTGTACAACAAATCCTTTATGCCACTGTATGACAGCAGGTTAGCAACATGCTTTACACCACCATACCACTACATTAAATGTATATTCATAACAATGTTATCCCTTCTTGTTCAAAAAAATGTTTCCACATTCAAGTCTTAAAAGACATTCTACATCATAGGGATCTTGTTTTTCTGAAATGTTTTGTTTCAAGAAATTTCAATAATACTGTTATTTATACTCACACTACCAATAAGTTTGCACAGTCCCATCAAACCAGGAGAATAATAACAATACATTATAATCTCTTCTGCATAAACCGACCAATTTCCAGACTTGGTTAAACATCATAAAAAGGATACATTAACATTCTAAAAATGCATCATTGTATTTTGTATAAAACAAGCATTGTTGGTATAAGATTTGTACAAGTAAAAGATACATTCCAGGGTTATATTGTGCATACAGTTAAACTGCTTCTAACTAAATCATTTGCAATGTACAAACATTTCTATTCCCTCCCTTCATGTACAGGTGGTACATTTTGCCATTCCCCCTCATATCAATTATCCCAATTTTTGTTACTTTGCAACAATTATTCCTCTACCTAACACCATCTCCTCTGATCTGTCCAGTTCTCAGACACACTTCACCAACACAGTATCCATCTACACAACTAAGCTTGGCAATGACTGACTTGTACAAAACAACTACACTTCTTTTCTTACACACGCACATGTTCACTCTGCTGTATGCTTTGATCAGGGACTTGACTACCCCCATCTTTGTCCAGCCTCCCTTTATGCCAGAGCAACTACACTTTCCATATCCAGGACACCTAGTACAACTTAGGGTAACTGAAACTGACCTTTCTTTGGTATAGTTGTTTACACATAGCGCAAGAAAATTCAAACAAAATGTTGTTCTTATGCAGGCATACATAACAAAGACAGTAATTGAGCTGCTGAATTTTGATAAAACCAAACAGAGCAAACTGGAAGGGGGACCATCAGAGTTCATGTATATGTGAATATTGATCTCTGTTCAGAGAGTACATTGTCCTTAGCAACAGTTTTCAATTATTTGATTCTGAGCACTTTTGTAATTCTATAAACTGTACAGAAGCTGAAGCTAGAATTAAGTAGGACACTTGCTGGCATACACAACACTGTCTGTACTGTCCACTAACACTGCTCATGAGGAGGTGTGTCCACATCTTGTCACAACTGGAATGGCATTGGATTCCATAAGACTTCCACATCAATTTCAATAAAATAGGGCCTGCTGCAAACCTCAGTTTTTATTTTCGTCTTGTTCAACTTTTGCTTTCTTTGCCTCTGAACTTGATTCTGGTTCAGATCTCCCACTTGAATCTACATCCAGGGCTCTCTTCACAAATGCTGTGGACACAGGCACCTGCCCCATAGCTGACGCGCTGCCACTGCTTATCTAGAACCAACCAACCAAAAACCCAGTTAATCTCAAATCCGGCACAGAAGATTATTACAGTATTTCTATTTACTCCCTTCGTGGCATAGCAGGAAGAAAAGCAACACCAACCACAAACAAATTTAACAGAACATAAAATATTACTCCTGGATGTATTCCCTATAAACATGTACATTACCGACTAAGGCTTCGTTCACATGGAAAGTCTATTTTCTAAAAATCTATTTTCTATTCGCGGTATCTTATGATCACGGTCTGTGCCCTGAATATCCCGCGGCGTAATTCCTGGCAGCGCAAGCCAGTTATTATATAAAGCTATAATTAATTCTCGGCTGTGCTCGCATTCTATAAAATCTCATCCTCCGTTGCCGTATCGCTTGCCATCGGATCATGACGGTTGCACTCTTATCTGTTGTGTGTGTAGCTCCTTCATCTTCTACGTCTTGTTGATGCACAAAATCGACAAACACATTTTTCAAAGCAACCACGACCGCCATTAACTTTCTAACTTCCTACTGCGCATGCGTCAAGGTATCAGAATCTCCTCCGAGCACAGCTGAGAATTAATTACAGCTTTGGAAGCAACTGGCTCGCGCTGCCAGTAATTACGCCGTGGGATATTCATGGCACAGACTGTGATCACAAGATATACTGCGAATAGAAAAAAGATTTTTAGAAAATAGACTTTCCATGTGAACGAAGCCTTAAAAAGAAGCTGTTTATCATTCTAGACAATAAGTATAATTATCATTAATCTTTTACAGCATTAAAAAATTTAGGGAGAAATAAAACAGTAACTTATGAGTATTGAGATGAGATAACACTTTCTTGTACTGACTAAAATGGAGCTGTTAATCACTTCAGACATTTCTCTTTTAAAAGTGTCCAACAAGCTATATGCTTACCAGAGGTTGCTGCAAAGGGGCTGTAGGTTGCTGATACTGTGGTGCTGTAGATTGACTGGGAGGGTGACTCGGGGGTTGAAAAGGGGATATCCTGGACTGGGAGGTAGAGGACACAGACCCAGGGAATGACACATGCTGCTGCTGACCAGCAGCATTCACTGGCGTCATCCCAATGTTCGAAGGTTGAATTCCCTGTTGGTTGCTGACCATTTGTCTTATCATCTGTGACGTCTGCTGTTGTGACTGACCAGGAGTCACAACAGTCACTACTAAGAGAGAAAAGGACAGTAAATACCTGAACAATTACATCATGAACTGAAAAAAAAAATTTTTAAGTTAGGAAAATATAAAATAGAAATTTATTTTGGAGCATCGAGATAACAATTTCTTGTTAACTTTCCAAATATATTTACAACAAATTGCCACAGTTTCTTCTGGAAGGGAGACTGCCTATCAAAAACTTTTTATATCAAAACAAGTTAACCCCAAACTAAAATAACACGAGGGGTGTGCCCATACCACCTAAAATCTTTAAAACCATATAACAAGATATGTGCAAAGACTCTTTAATTACTTTCTTTAATTACTCCATTATTATTATTGGTGAAAAGTAGATCATCTCTCCCTAACGAGGTCTTATAGGATCCTAAAAGATCCTATAGGATTCTATAGGACTTCTTCGTAAGGGCTTAAAAGACAAAGACATTCTTTTCTGATGTTTCAATCCTTCAAAAGAGGACCTTGATCATGTAACTGACCCCACAATGTAGTAAAAATATTTTTCATTTAGAAACAATTTACCTTTTTACTATCTGAACAGAAGAGACAAATTAAAACCTATTTCCCTGCATAAAAACTTTATTGAAAGGGTTATAAAAGCAATATGTAACCTACCTTCTTTTTTGACATCATGATGTGTTCCATTAGCCATAAGTGGTCCATTAGTTGTACTTGAAACTGCTGCAGAGTGAGCTGGTTGTGATATGTACACTTTGGGCTTTGTGATCACTGTCGGCAGCTGATGTACAGCACTGCTTACTGTCTGTGGGGGGACAGCAAAGTTCATAGGAGACATAACCCTTGGCGTTCCTATAAATAAATATAATTTAAAAAATGGACCAGATCTCTGTTCGTATAATAAATCCATCAATTAACTTCACAAACATTTTTTTATATCTAAAAATCTTTTTATATTTAATCAACTTATCTTATTTTTAATATACCTTAGTTGCATTACATAAAATAGGCATTGTGCTGTATAAACTGTCACTGGTGAACATATTGATTGATGTCTGGCAGTCTAATATAGATGGAAATTAAACAACTCTTAAAATGACTTCTATCACTTACCAGCTGGTGAACCTGGTGCAGACTGTGTGTATCTGATTTGTTGTGATAGCGTCAGAACTGTCTGGTTAGCAGTAGGATTAGCTGGTGGAGGTGTTTCCGTGGACTCGCTACTCCCTTCTGGTATAGGGCTACTTTCTCTAGATAAACTGTCTGGAGTGTAAGTACCGCTAACATGGCTGGGGGAAGCAGGGGCAGACCTGAGGAGATGATTAAACATAATATCTAAGTACTGAGATCTACTCCTAGCCGTGGAATGGGGTGTTATGAGCAGGTTTTTGTAATCAATTTTCTTCTCCAAGGAAAGATTGTTTATTAACATTTAATTAAAATGGGATAATTGATATACAACTTACCTGGTAGACAGTCCTCCAAAAGGTGTTCTAAAGCAGGGCACGCCCCGTTGTCGCCTTTTACGAAAGGCTTGTTCAGTAAGCTTGGCCTCAGACGCCAAGTCGATTCTCCAGAAGGATCCTTTCCCAGGCTCCTCTTGTGACCGAGGAACTTTTACAAAATATCGGTTCAAGGAAAGATTATGCCTTATGGAATTCTGAAGAAAATGAGGGAGAATTCACATCTTTCACCTGTGGTCTATTTTCAGTGACTCTACCTTTAAGAATTTTCTGACTAATTTTGATTTAAGGAAAATCAAGAAATTCTACTTCAAATAAGGTAATTACATTTACATTCACTACATCCTTTACTTATTTATAAATAATTTCTACTATGTACCTGCCATCCTTTATCTGCTGTTCTATAATATGGATAATTCTTTGTTATATAGGCATAGATGCCACTCAAGGTTAACTGCTTGTCTGGGGCCGACGTGATTGCCTGAACAATAAGCTGAGCATATGAGTATGGAGGTTTAGATTCATCTCTAGGGCTGCCACTACCACTGCTGACTGGTGGGGGTGGGATGCTACTACTGCTTCCATTGTCCTTGTCTTCTCTTGGATGAGCTGCTGCATACGCAGCTGCCATCTGGAGGTCTGGCACAAAACTAAGGCGATGACTTGTACCACCACGTGGACTGGTTGGACAGGAGTTTGCAGCACTAAAATAAACAATGCTGAAAGTTGCAGTACTAAAAAAAACTCAAACTTCCTTTTAATACACCAGCATGACTACAACATATTTGATCTCTAACTAAGACTGGGTTCCCATGCCTAGATCAATCCATCTGGATTGGTCTAACTCCCTGGGGAGTCTCACTAAATTGCTATCAACTTACAGTCTTAAATGTCTGTCACGCCTACCGAATCAGCTAGGGGATAAAGATAATTACCCCCTAACAGCTTTCCTAGGCGTGACAGACATTTAAGCTGGTTAAGTTAATAGCAACATAGTGAGACTCCCCAGGGAGATGGATCAATCCAAATATCTGTAGGAATGGTCCCTAGCTGTACCAGTAGAGACCAAGTTATTACCTTGAATTTAAAAAGGAGATTTCACTTTGTTTTTTCTGAATAAATATGCATATCCTCATTAAGCTATTATATTATATTCAAAGCCAATTGTGGTGCTGTAACAGTGACAGCTAGGGCTTCTACTGTGCATCCAAGCACAGGAATCCATGTATCACTGACATTTAGTAGTTTACATAAGTTGCTGAGCTACCCTGCATCTGCACTACTTGTAACCCCACCATTGCAGTAAATTCAATAACATCTCAAAGGTCAGAACTGGAATGGCATGTTCATTCAGTACAGCTGGCATTTAATATTTGAGATTTAAAACTTTACTTTTCTTGTTGTGACCTTTTCTGAGGTATATAGTACAAATCAATATAAAATACAACATAACAAACAAATGAGCAATTTAAAACCTTTGTAGAAACTAATTAAATTTCTTTCTGGATTTGAAGCATATTATGGTAATCCGTGTGTAAAGAGGACTTATTTTCATGTAAAACATCTGCACAGCCAACAATATGGCAATTTCTTCTGCATTTTAGATTTTATCTGCAACAGCCTATAAACTATAAAACCTGATTTGGCTCTAACAAACACACATAAAAAATTAAACATACATGAACCTAAAAATTATCCATATAAACTTAACCAATAAGAACACAGCATGGAAGAACCATGCTTCTTCCCAAACTTTATCATGACTACTGCTTTTAAACAGCAAGTTTACAGACTGTAGTGGAATGAAAGACCAGTAGAATTTAAACTTCCTGCCTCAGATTGTAACCAGCAGTATTTAGTACAGGCAAATACCAATAATGTTATCAATAATTGTTTGTAAACTAGTACAAATTCTGAATAGACACATGGGGTTTAACATTTTATATATACTCCTCCCAAACTACAATAAGAGAGTGGAACAGCCAACTTGTAAGGCAATCACAAGTTTGTATATCATTTGGGCCACCTGCCCAATCATCAAACAGCAGCCTACATTTCAACATCATACAATATAACATTGGTGAGAATAATGCCTTAAGAATGAGGTTCAAAATCCAGGTACCTAGACAAGAGGAGTAGAAAGTAATTACTCAAAAGCAATTAACAAATCTGTTAAATTTAGGTACTATTTCATATCTCTATGTCCATAATTTGAGCCAGTGATTTCTCTAAAATCAATATCACTCTCTGCATTTTTCTGCAAACCTTATCTTTTAAAACTTTTCATTTCCAAAACAGGTGAACTAATTTTTCTTTATTGTTTTTTATTATTTTCTTGGTCACCAAATACAAATAGAAATTATTTTACGCAGTCTAACTTATCACAATATGTTGATTCTGGTCCACACTGTTCTCACCTTATTGTTGCTGTAGGTGAGGGGCAGGGACTATTGAAGTTAGCATCATTTTCTGGAATGTTTATCTTCAGTGGGGGCATGGGGTTGGGCTTTGGTGGGCTAGGAAGGCGAATTTGTTCTGCAGGCAGGCTGTCATCAACCAATGACTGGAACATGATCTTGATGTTGGTGCTGGGGAACCGAATAACACACCTAAAACGAGAGGTAAAATTCAAAGCAACAGTTTAACACAACATTTGTAAAATCCAACTAGAAAAGCATTCCGAGAGCACAGCCCTCCACCAAGGCAGCAATTTTTGATTATTGATTGATTATTGGTCCGGATCACCACCAAAAACTAATCATTTTTCCTTGGCCCACTTCTGACAGTTCCTGAAAATTTCATCAAAATCGGTCCATAACTTTTTGAATTAAGTTCAGGCCTCAAAAAAGGATTAGGCGTTTCCTAGCACGAGCCTCAGATTCTCCGAGTTTGTGTTCGTTGGCTTTACGTTGTGCTTGTGAATCTGAGGTGCGGCTCGTAAATATTGGCGTTTGCGCTCAGGAATCTCAGGCTCGTGCTCAGCAACGGCAATTATCGTTTCTGAGGCCTGAAGTTGATGAAAGACAAAGAAAAAGACAAACAGGGGTGAAAACATAACCTCCTTGGCGGAGGTAATTACTTTGTAAATCTTCAACTGACAATCAACTTCAGATTGCATAATGTAAGCTGTACAATACAACACTTAATTGTTATCAAAAACATCTAAAAAATCATTTAACATGACCGATTTTCCCCCTTTTTTCATAATCCAGAATAACTATAAATAAAAGAATATAACAATATGAAAACTATCTACAGAAGTTTTTGCCAATAAAAACTAAACTGAAAATTATGAGAAAAAAACAGGCTAAATCTCTCTCTTGTTCAATTCTGGCTAACAAATATGATACTCAAATAATAACTGACACAAAAAAGCATGTAATTTTGTAAAGCAAAATTCCATAGTGCATTTTTATAATAGGTGAAAATACAACTAATGTACCACAATTACCATGAAATTGTTCACATAAATACCTTATCGCAAATATAATCAAAACATAATAATTGACAGATCTGTTTTGTTTACAAATAAGACGTTCTACAATGGTGTTTGTTGTAGGATGAGTACAACCTGCTTACCCTATTCTATACAAGCATCCTTAAATTTTGTTTACATAGACGCCATATTGGTTCGAGCACATGGTTACCCAGGGTATGTTTTGACGGTAAAAACTGCTCATCTAAAGCAAGATCGCGGGCTGAGCTGCAATCCTGTTGAACATCGAATATACCTTGGGTTCAATTACAATACAGAGAATAAAAAAATATTGACAAATGCTAAATAAAACACGCCGGCATAATCCCACTTACATCAGCTGAGACAATCATAATAGCAGTAGTACTCACGTTTTCGGGAGCTGAAGAGGCGGTGCTCCCTTTCTCTGAAACACTCCATCCACAAAGACACCATTCTTCCCATTACACACCATGAAGAAATTAGAATCGTCAAAAAATATTTCCAAGTGAACTCTGGATATAAAGCTTGAATGACCCATGTTTACATCCACTTCCCCTTTGCTACTATTGCGACCGATCGAGATGCGATTTTGACGCATCAAAAATTCGAAGTCTCTGCCTTCTAATCGCGCGATAGCAGTTCCATGAGGCCCAGGGCTCCATCGCATTCTTGATGGACTTGCTGGTGCTGACCGAAGGGCCAGCAAGGCCCATGCGTCGTGGTCCGTAGGCTTTTGCAACGTGGACATAGCGAGAGAAAACACGCCACAAAATGGCCGCTTGCGAAGCAAAACAACTTACCCTGTTCCCGGGTGTTTACAATGTGCTTTTTCCCACAATGCACTTCGCGCCACCAGGTGGCTTGTGATAACATACACAAACCGACGGCATTGGTTCGCCAAACCCATCCAAGATTAAGTACTACGTCACAGAGGTCGGTTTTAATGTGTACAATTTGCATGAACCCTACCCTCCTGACCCTCGCAGTAATAATTTGCAGTCTGCCGTTAAGCCATAGATAGTTGTGATTTAAATAATTGCATGCAGAAAAGTAAATTCAAGCCAAAATAAACGTTTTATATAATTGTGATGCAGCGGCGTCTCAGTGCATTTTTTTAAGAAAGGGGGGAAGCTGACGTCCGGACGCACAGCCCTTAGGCCTATCGTAATATATCATTTGGAGCTTGAAAATTTTATTTATTAGTGCTCCTATCTTTCTTCGGGGGCGTCACCCCGTAAAATGTAGACCTTAGTTGTTGTTGTCGACCGATGCAACGCAAAATGCCTATGCATACAGAGTTAAAAATTTTAAAGAAACAATAGAAAAAGTAATAATAAAATGAATAATAAAAAAATGTGCTATTGAAGCAATGATATACCATGCATGTTCCAAGTAAGACTTGGCAAGATTGGAATTTGATTGAGAGGCAAATATATATAGGCCCCTATATAGGCTATCAATCCGTTCTGTAACATTTTAATTACAAAAAGTAGCATGTTTTTATTTTGATAATTATCATGCCCTTAATCATGGGAATTTAAAAAAAAACAAAGGAAAATAAAAACAAATAGAAATTAATTAAGAAGCAGAGTAGAATATAATAGAATAAGACAAAATGAAATGGAAATAATTTTATGATTCCTCAGTCCAGCACCAAAGTAAACTAGAAGGCTCTGGTTTTATTAAATGCGTTCCAGCACTTGTGTTCATTTTACGAAGTACATGCATTACATTCCACTTTATAACATCTTTGATGTCCAACATTCTCTTAAAAAAAAACTTCTGATTTATTTATTGGTTTATTATTATTATTATTATTATTATTATTATTATTATTATTATTATTATTAGGCCTATCATATTATCAATATTGTAAATTTGAAATTTCATTGGTTAAGGGGTGCGGGCGTGTGTAATCCTAAAAGCAATCTACAACAGCCCTTGGACCAATAATACGAATTCGAATAATTTGTCCAAGAATAGCCAGAGTGAAGGTGGAAAAGGTGTTGCGCGACGCAATCATTGTTGTGGTAGGTGTGCGTGACGTCATAGAATAGGACCATATCGACCTCGCGCTCCTTGGTGACGGTAAACAAACTCGGCTTAATACACCTGGATTCAACCCACAACAGCACTACAATAGTTCGTGTTGTGCCGACAAGACATCTAAACGACAGAAAGAAGAGGAGCCATTTCAACGTGTGAGGTAGATATCTAGATACTAACTGTGACATTTAGAAACATTGTAATGGAAGCACAGGTAGGATTAGCAAGCAGGGAGATGCCTCCCGAAAGGCCCACGGTTGTTACTGAAGTCAACCCGGTTCGTATGGAAACTACGTACACAGGCAATACAGGCAATGATCTTGGTATCGCGACCATGGGTTACAGAGCTGCTAAATACAACCCTCCCGAATGGCATGAAAGTAATTATGCTAAATATTACCAGTCGTTTGCCGATCGCGACAACGCAGAGAGAGTGAGGCACGAGGGAAAGAGAACGGACAAGGAGACGGAAGCGACCACGAACAGAACACAAAACGATGTTACTAAGAAACTACAGGAACGTGTCCATGATATCAATTTTTGGAAATTTGAATTGAATCGTGAGATTCAGGACATCATTGCAGAGACTGATTTGATGCTTGCTCAAAAGAAGCGACTTGAAAATGCTTTGGCTGCCACAGAAATTCCTCTTCACATCTCCACGGACAACTTAAACGCCAGGCAGAGGCGCCAGACAATTGATTTGGTTCAGGATGAAGTAGAACTGGCTTTACTTAAGGTAAGATAACATTTTAAATAATAATTTGTACAAGGATGTAATATGTATATCAATTATAATAAAGCGCTACCTATTTATTTCGTTTTTCTTAAGCCCATTCATTCATTCGGAATTCTACTTTTAATGAATGGATGGATGGGCTGATAAGAATCCTTACTTTTATTTCTTTATGAATTTGTTTATAATTCCCTTGAATATAGTTGTTAAACTTTAGCAAATCATAGATGGGCCAGTTGTAGTATTATTTTGTTTAATAGTTTTTAAAATGACAAAGTTTTGAGCGTTACAGATTTCGTAAAAGCAGTTTCATTTTCCTTACAGGAAGTAGAAATCATAAACAATGTTCAAGATCTCCTTAGAAAGACCATAACACAAGCGGAAAAACAAATAAGGTAAGTTAATTTCTCTGGGGAGACATTCCACCCATCATTTCAACAGATTTATGTGATAAACCAGAGGCTAAATAATGAATCAATTTGCAATTTACTCAACTTAAAAGAGTAGAATCTTACCATTTATTTTCCACTTTCCAGTGCTAACCGTGATGCTAAGCAGAACCTAGAGATGGACTGGAGTGATAAATTGGAGGCCTTTCAGATTGACACGGCTAGTGGTGCCCTGAGGAACACACACACCCACAAACAATTCTATGCCGGCTCTGCCAAGTTTGAAGAAATGTAAGTCAAATGTATCAAATTCAGAAAAAAAACATTGTATTTAGAATCAGAAAATAAATGTTAAATATTAAATGTGCATCACCAAATCTGTAGAATCAGAAACTAAATGCCAATGTGTATCACCAAGTCTGTTTTAATCTAGTATGTTAAACAGGTATATTCTTGATTAATAAATTACCCTGTCATATGTTACAGTCAGTCAACCCCTGAATCTTGGGCCCAGTTCACCCATGACAACATTGTGCGTGCTGAGCATGAGCGCATGGCTTCTATCCAGTTGCGCACACTGATTGATAACGTGCTCCAGGACACATCCAGAGACATGCGGGAGCAATCTGACACTGTGGACGTGGCCTTCCAGAAGAGAATCCAAGAAATGCAGGATGCCAAACAGAAGATGGAAGAAAATCTGAGCAAGGTAAGTGATTTCCTTAATTTCATAAGTTTTTGTAGGTTCTGTATCTATTATTTTTTTTAATAAAATAGTTATTACACTTTCCTTGTCCATCTTGAATAGAAAGTTTCTTTTTCATCAACATGTTAATCTTTATATCTTTATTATTATAGTTTAAATGTCAGGAGGTCACAGTCTAAAATAATAATAATAATAGTGAAATTAAAATAATAATAGTAAAAGAAACACTGATAATGATATAGATAATACATCCTAAAAATAATCTTGATGCAATATTGATGTCAATGTCTTTTGCTTTTTTCAGATTTGTGATGAGATTGCTCAGCAGGAGCGTAACATTGCTGCCATGAAGCAGGCTATTCGCAACAAGGAGAACCCAATGAAGGTTGCCCAGACCAGACTGAACAACAGGACCTTCAGACCTGGAGTGGAGCTTTGCAGAGATCCAGTGCAATACAAGTAAGAGCTTAACAACTGACCCAAGAAGAATAAAGAAAGAAAAGAAAAAAATTGGCTTTTGGCATCTTAATTTTAATTATCTTATTATTATTATTAATTTTTTTTTGTAAATTAAATTGTTGTATAAAAATATACCACTTTGAGATTGAGTAAATACCCCTAACCAAATAACAATCTACCTTCCCTAACAGAAATATAAATAAATAGCATGGTAAATAAGTATGCAACATAAACTTGATTTAGTTAACCACCTTGATAAGTCACACGGTAAACAAAGATTACTTTCCCTTGCTGAAAACATAGGTAACAAACTAATGAAAGTAATTCAGAAATAAAAAAACAAATAAAGGAAGAAGTTTTAAAAAATCAAACTTAAATTAATTTCTAAAAATCATGAATCTTTTTCCCTGCTTCAGGCTTGTTGGTGAAGTTCAGGAAATTGCCCAGTCTGTGGATGCCCTAATGGAACAGCTGAATGCAGCAGAAAACTCGCTCAAGGATCTTCAAGACAACAGGATGGCCCTGGAGAAAGAGATCTCCATCAAGGCTAATAGTTTGTTCATCGATAACGGGAAGTGTCTCACCGTACGCACACGCTACCCGTCCACACTCAAGTTGCAAGGATATCAAGAGTGATTAGGACAAACTTGTAATAGACTGATCTGCATGAGTCAAAATTAAATTATCAAAAGAAACATCTCTCACAATCATTTTATACAAAAAGATATTTTATATTAGAAACTGCCTGCTCAAACCATACTTTACAATACAAGGGCATAATAATAAACAGATGTCAGCTGAAGTAAAAGAAGTACCAGTGTTGAGAAGTCATTTGTCTAAAATCCATTGTTGCTAGTATTGATCCCTTTCTATTATTCATCACAAATTCTCTCTCTGTATTGACTAATCTATTGGTGAATTAAGGTTTAGTACTTAAAAACTGTTCTCAAGATCAATGGAAGCTGGCACCAGCTTAACTAGGTGTTGCTTAAATTTAGTAAATCACATTTGTTGTAAATGTAAATACAATGGTTTCTTCACTGCTGCCTGAGAGCAGACAATGTACAGGTGTGATGTGATGTTCAGCATTTGCTCAATAAAGTGTACATATAAATATGTAATCCTAGACTTTTTTAATTTATTATCAAGATTTATTTATTATTATTATTGTCTTTTGCCCATTTATCAGAATTAAATCTATTCTTAACATAGTCCAAATCTAAAGAAGTTTAATTCAAGTTGTGGTAAGAACTTTTAAAAACCTTCCAGACACAGGATGTTGGGGGAAGGGTGTCAGAAATACCTGCAGACTAGCGAGTGCAATGCGGTAATGAATAGAAAGTGAAATTAATTACTTATGGACATCTTTATGGTTCTTTTCTTTCAAGTTCTGTCAAATTACCATCTACTGAAGAAAAGTATGAATTTACTATGCTTTGCATGTAACTTTTAAGACAACATTTTCAGCAAATAGTTTCATCCTCATCACTTAACAGTAAACTCTACCTCACTTGGATTTATGAATATTTCTTAGTCTCCTGAAATAACCCCCCTTTTTTGACAATTTTCATTTGGGTCTTGGAAGTAGCATCAAAAGATCCCACCTCCTCCCCAAGGTAAACAAAATAAGAACATAAAGGATATCAATTTATTCCTCAGGAAAGATTGCACAATCTTACTGCCAAATTATGTCTATCTACAATTCTATAAAGTAACATCTTACAAACAATATAAATGTAAGATTCCTTCTCATTTGGATCAACTTCCTGACAACATTGTGACAAACTTGGGTCACACTAACCACAAATGTGTCACAGAAATAGAAAAACATCAATGGATGGGTAAATCAATCTTCAAAGTGTAACAGAATAGCTTGCAGAACTGTTTGTAATCATTATCAACTTGAAATTTGTGTATCCCTTTATGGGGTGATAGATATATACTAAAAATATACATCTCTGTGGCATCTGGAATCTTAACACCATACCAGTGGACACTGTGATGTGTGGATGTATTAAAATACACCATAATGTCCAACATATAAAAGAACTTGCCATATTTCAATAAAAAGATGGCTTAAAAAATTTTTACATTTAGTCCTGGTCATTTAAAACATCGGCATAGTTGTAACAGTAATTCACTTCCATTGTGCCATGTGCTGTTCTGACATTCTTTCAACAGAAAGTTTTCTTCCATTTCCTGAGGGAAGGACATTTTTAACCAAATATGTGAATACCACTAATCCTTATAAAAAAGGGACTTCAATAAATCACCATGCCAAGCATTTTCACTATGTTTTGAATCTCCTCAATTGGCTCATGTTAGAAAGTTACCCTCCTTTTCCTGTGGGAAGGACTCTTTCACAGGCATGTGAACGCCACAAACCTTTTATAAAAAACAGTCATAAACAGTCTGTCATATACACATTAGTATCTTCTGACGTTGCCCCCACTGATGTTCCTGTAGGCATCGAACCTGTTGTCCTGGGAGCGGGTGGGAGCAAAAGCACCTGCATTCATCATTAGATTAGCTGCAGCCCCCAGGAACATGCTGGCCTGAGGGGTCTGGATAAGAGCTGGTTGACCCATACTGGACACTGGGATGGCTGTGGGCTGGGTGGCCATATGCTGCTGCTGTAACTGGGGAGTGGGCCACCTCTCCACTTGACGGTTTAACCCTTGGTCTGGGAGAACATTAGCTGGTGGCCAGGCAGTCTCCATTTTGGCTGTGCTGCGGTCACTTCCACTCCACTGGTTACGTCCACTGGATCCTCCGCCTACGCTAGACATGCCTGGAAAGACACAAAGCCCGATTTATTTGAGCATGCATTCATTGTAATCAGAAAATGCTTCTTGAGTCAGATTTCTATTTCAGGAGAAATACATGTACGACAATTAAAAGTATTACAAAGATAACAAATACTAAACATTTTTTGAGAAACAAAGGATAGGTGCCCCTTTTCATGTGAGTAATTTCAAAAACTAAATCCTAAAATAGAATGCTTGCTGAAGCAACAGGTGTGAATTCAATAAAAGAGAGCCCCACTTAAAGGAAAGAATCCACTACACTTACGCAAACAACATCAACTACACTAGACTACGTCCCTCCTTACTATGAAGCTCCTGAAAGCACAGGACGGACATGAGATCACTCAAGCTTTATCGCCATTTCAGAGACACAATGTGCCAAGCAACATAAGTAGAGAAGATAAAATGCGTGCTTTCACAAGTAGTTCACTTAAGAAGAGAGAGAGTGACAGACAGAAAATTTTGTGAGCCTTTTTTCTATTGGCTAGCAAGGGGTATTACCTTTGTCTTGCCGGTTAGGTTGCCTGTGGTTGGCTCTATAGGTGGAGGGAGCTGAGGAGCCGCCTACATTAGAGTAAAGGGTAGACTGCATCAAATCAAACCCCAACTACACATATATTCATATAAACAGCCATCCAATTCAACAATACACACATGCATATCTCTTGTCAAGCAGTGGGCAACAAAATAAAAATGCTGCACATGCACAAAATTAGACATTCTGATATTATAAACCCAAATTCAAATATTTATTTTCTTTTAATGAAACAAATAATTATTCTGTACCCATTGGTCCACCTGTTGCTGACTTGCTGCGGTTGTCGGACATTCCACTGCCTCCGTGCCACCCATCACGACCACCACGCTGTTCTCCATAACCCCCACGATCTCCGCCTCGCTGGTCTATAATAAAATATCATAATATTACACCTCCAGCCTTGTTTTCCTACAACACTTATTAACATCCACTCTTAAAACACTGGCTATCACTACTTTGAATTAGTCAAGTTGGAACAGCTCTTCACTTCGTATTCATTTTTGTACAGTATCAGATTGATTGGGGTCCATTAACACAGTACCTTACAATCTCAGCATTTTATTACTACACTTTTTTTAATCCACATACAAGTAACTGGCCAATCCTTTTCCCTTCCCTCACCCAACATGCCACCTAGACAAAATTCAGTCTCCATATGACTTACCTGTATCTTGGTACCTATCCCTATGACTGTCCTGCACTCCTCGCCTCTCCTGCTGCTGTATGGCCCCTCTCTCAGACTTCCACTCAGCTCTGGTGTCCTGCCTATGAACGGGAGAGCCCCGTACCGGCGCACCACGGGCTGAATCTCTGGACGGTCTGTCTCTGCTGGCATGCAGACCTCCACGCTCTTGTACAGGTTCTCGCCCTCGTGCTGGAGGTGCATCCCGATTGCTTGGTTGGGAGTCCCTGCGTTCATGGCCAGATCCACCACGGTCTGGGTATCTACTGGAAAATGAGGACAATTTTACAATTCTCTTTTACTAGGTTAAATATACCTGTCCAAAGAACATCATCATCTAGTAATCAAGGGAACTCAAAGGAAATTCAAATGCAATTATAATTTCTGCAGTACCTGTCAAACCTATCGTCAGGTCGGCTCCTTTCTTCCACCCTTCTTTCATCTCTATCTCTACCAGAGGGTGCTACCTCTCTCCTAGCCACTACTTCCCTCCTAGGTTCTTCTCTCCTGGCATCTTCATAGCGACCAGCCGTTGCCATGGGAGCTCTGCCGGAAGCCTCATGGCGAGATGAGGGTGCTGCAGGCCTGGAGCTGTCCAAGGGGCGACCATCCCTTCTGTCATAGCGTTCCACACGTCTTGGGAATATTTCTGTTGGTGACTGGGCCTCTTCAAACCCACTGCGGCCTCCACCAGGTGCAGCAATGGGACCCCCTCTGTCTCTGTGGTCAAAGTCCCCATACCTGGTAGGAGCAGGGAAGTTTCCCCCAGTGCGGGAGTCAAAACGCCCAGGGCCTGAGGGTGGTACCCCAGCTGTGGCTGGTGGAGGGTCATGGAGGGATGGCCTCTTGGAGTCCCAGTGAGGAGGGTCATCACGGTTAGCTGGACCTCTTGGCTCAAAGGGTCTTTTGGGAGGTCTTCTATCATCTAACCTACTCAGCATATAAAATTAATGTTGTATGACAATACAAACTCCTTTAAATTGAACTGACTAAATGAAAATGTACAGCAGTTAAATAAAAGAAAATAACCCGTTGAGACAAAAAATATCCAGTGAGAATAAAAGAGTCCATACCTTCTCTGTTCTAATAGCCGTCTTTCTCTCTCTCTTTCAAGACGTTCAAGTCTTTCACGCTCATGACGTTCTTGTTCCAGAAGCCTTAGTTGTTCTATTTTTTCTTTCTCTATTCTTTCGCGTTCCAACCTAAAGCAATGAAGTCAAAATTGATTTTGTTCAAGCTGAAAAGATACTGTTACAGTCATTTTACAATTAAAGTCATCCACAAGCAATTAGATCAAAATATATCTAGACATATAGTAACAATGTTTCTAAAGTCCTTGAATTTTTTTAAGCTCAAAGGTACTTTTTTCAAAAACATATCTTTTAGGGCTTAATGCTGACAACCAAATCAACCAGCTCATGTTTTCAGTAATGAGGACAATATGAGCTCTTGCTTCAAAGATAAAGATAACATTAAAAGAGACCAGCTTTTCTTTTAAATGTATCCACATACCTCAGCTGCATTCTCTCCCTCTGAAGTCTCTCTGCTTCTTCTCTCTGCTTGCGTTCTACATCCCTCATGCGATCTCTGTCCCTGGATGCCTGGATCCTTCTCCTCCTCTCTTCCTCCCTCAGAGCTCGTTCTCTCTGGCGCAAACGTTCACGCTCTCGTTCCTCCTGAATAAACCACAAAAAATCAATTGTAAGTTTTCATCCAGAATTAAATAATTTTCCTTCTCAAACACCTAACTACAAATGTGCTTAACATAAGAAAGAAGCTCAATTGGTATAACCTTGAGTTGAAAATATGAAATCCTGTTTTCAATGATAGCCTATATACTTGCTTTTATTCTTTCAAAAGACAGCAATTCATCCTTCTTTTTGCTTCCTTCTCTTCTACTCCTATTTGTGTCTTGACTCTTAGATCTAGTGCTGGATGTCTTCTTGTCATCACTTTTTTCGCCTTCCTTCTTCTCTGTCTCTACCTTCTCTTCTTTATCTTTTCCCACTCCTTCAGTTTTCTTTTCCTCCTTCTCCTCTTTCTTTTCCTTGTCCCCTTCTGCTTTGGTTTCACTGCTGGTCTTATCTGCAAGAACAGGTGGGCAATTAAGGATAATCAGGTCATACACTAGATTCATATACAAAAAGACTAACTAACCATTCACCAAGAGTTGCATCTAAAGTTCCCCAGTGTTTCAATTATTTATGATGGCAAAAAAACTAAACAGCACAAGTGAAGTGGGTACACTAGCTGTCAGGGAAAGACGAGAGACTGGAGAGATGAAAGGAATACCTGAGGACTTTCTCTTTGAAGTAGGGGTGGTATTGGAAGAGGAACGATGTGGTCCACTACGACTGTCTCTACGACTTCCTGGTCGATGATGGTCACTGTCTCTTCTGTGATGATCATCGCGCTTGCGTTCGGTTCGCTTCTCATCCTTTTTCTCATCCTTCTTCTCTTCCTTTTTATCATCCTTTTCTTCTTTTTTATCCTCTTTCTTTTCTCCTTCTTTGTCCTCTGTCTTTTTCTCTTCCTTTTTGTCTGCAAAATGTCAATGATTGAAATGAAAACATCCACAATATCTTAGTATCACTGGTTTCATAACCTTTTTTTAGAATTTAATGAAACTTTCAGTCATAAAATGTACCAAAGTGTCATTTCAGATCATCCTCTTTAATCTAAAAAAGGCATACCCCTTTCCTCTTTTTTTGGTTCAGTTCTTTTTTCATCTTTCTTTGAGTCTGTTTTCTTATCACTGACAGACCCTGTCCTGGATCTGCTACTAGAGGGGTTGGAAGGATCATTCTTTGCCTGAAAGGGAAGTAAAGCATAAAATGAAAAAAAAAAAATTTTGATCATCTGTAAAACAGGACTACTGCCTAATACCCTAAGGATTAGTTCAATACTGTTATACACCACTGATGCAGTGAGGTTATCTCCGCTAACAACACTGACAACACTACCGTCTCTACAAAAACACCTCTTCAGTGACATTTAATACAGGTTCTGAATAAGGTTCATTTCTATTTTTGCAAGTTCATTCCAGAGCAACTTCTTATCATATAAAACTGTATTCCATTGAAATATTGGTACTACACAAAGGGCAATTGATAACAAAACCTTCAGCATTCTCACCCTTTCTACAGAAATGATCTTCCCGTGCAATTCTGTCCTGTGTAAATTATGGATGCACTTCAAGGCCTCGTCCACTGTTGACATGGTAACAAAACCAAAGCAGCGTGAGCCAGGACGACGGGCATTAGTGACAATCTTGGCACCAGCAACCTACAGTTTACAAGAAAGTTAACACGACTTAATCATTTTTATTCTTTGAATAATGTTCACTTAAACAATTTTCACAATGTTCATTTAAAGTACAATATTTATTTTTAGAACTGAGCAATATTGGTTGCTTGGATCATTATTTGGAATGATCTTGAGGACTAATCAAAAATTGAAAATATCTGACCTTAAAATAGCAATGACCTAAAAATTGCAATGACAAGTTCCTTTGACGTAAGTTTTAAATGACAGAGCATAACTACAAAATCAATCCATTCTTTTTCTAAAGATCATATAAAGCTCAGGTTTTAATTAACAGTAGGATTGTCACCAGTTGACTGGCAAAGCCTTGAAGGACGCACCTTTCCATGTTTGCTAAAAAGAGATTTCAGATCAGTAGCTTTGGTGGACTGGGACAGGCCACTGACCCACAGGTTCTTACTGCTACTACTGCTGCTGCTGCTGCGACTGTGAGACTCTGAGAATGATAAACAACATGTATAATCATCAGTATCAGAGACTATGAAGATTATTAGGCATTCTGCAATCCACAATGCCTATTAATTAACTTAACAAACTTGTGGAGAACTTGGCAAAGGGAGCCCCTTTATCATAATAACATGTTTGGAGCTGTCAAAGTAGATCAGTCCAGTTCAGTGTACAATTTGATGTGAAATGCGCCTTGATAAAAAATTAGTACAAACTGTGTCTTAAACATATTACAGATATCATGGCAGCAAAGGGAAGTTCAACATAACATATTCTCTAGCCTGTCTTTATGCTCATGAACATCTCTCAGTACTGCTGAAAATGAGTTACATACTTGATGCTACTATTTGTTATCCTTTACCTTTTCGATCCTTGCCATCAGACTTTGTATCCTTAGAAGCAGCAGAAGAACTGTTAAAGAAAAGCAAAAATGAAAAAGTTAGTATTTATTATTGGTAACAGGTCTCACACATATTCCCATCCAAAATTCACAAGGGAGTTAGAGGCACCAAAAGGGCAAATAGTATTCCTGTAAAACACACACACACATACATACACACACACACACACAAACAGCTGTAGTAATAGTCATCCAGGGTTCTTGGGTGCTAGAGGCGACTTCTCTGGGACTTGGACTCTTGTCACACACTGCAACCTGCTGACCTGGGCTATGGCAAACCATTCCACTGGCACCATGTACTGTTACCACGGAAATGGAATCAGCTAATGTCATCCAGCAATTCTGATACATCTTATAATTCTCATGGCTCAACTGATCCAAAACTAGGCTGAATGTACAAATCATTAGGAAACAAGAAACTGTCTAAGTGGCATACACTGCACCATAATTGTTAGGAAAGAGAGAATAACCATACACAATTGACTGAATAAAAGACTTAGAAGAGAAATGGCTACTTTCAACTAGAACCTTAAACTTGTTTAAAAAAGGGACTGAATCCAGTAGGAAAGCAACATATGGATAACCAACCTCTTGGTCTTCGAATCTTTTTTGTCATCCTCTTTCTTGTCCTCTCTTTTCTTATCCTCTCCTTTACTTTCTTCCTTCTTGGCCTCTTCAATTTTTTCCTCAGCTGACTTTGCATTCCCATTATCTACTTCCATACTTTGGTCCCCAGTCTCCTTTTTAGGTTCTACTTCCTGTGCAGAGGAATCCTGGGAAGTATTCACTGCACTGGTGTCCATAACCTCCCCAATAGTTTCCTCTTCCAACTTGGGTTTCTTGGCTGGAGTGGCTTCAATATCATAATCCAAGTTATTTTCGGTGTCATCCACATTCACTATCAAAGAAATATCATCTTCACCTTTGCTTTCTTTGGAGCTCATTTTGATTGTGTCCTCTACTGTGAGGGCGCCCCATACTGGCACACTGGTGGGTGTTGGAGGAGCAGCAGCCTGACCCTGGTCAGCATAGGGAAGTTCCTCTGGCTTCAGCATGGACACAGGCTGCTGGGTGTCTGCTGCTGATGGCTGAGTTTCTGTGGGGGATTCCGACACTGGTGCCACACCATTGGCCTCAGTCTTAGGGGCTTCAGTCCCCTGCAGCTCCTCGACTTTAGGCGCTGAGGAGTCCATTGTGCTAGAATCAGTTGCTGGCTGATTTGCTACATAAAATTCAAGGCACAAACTGGTAAATAGTAATGCAAAAGAGAGCATCACAATTCAATATCCAAAGCTTCCTCTAGGCTTGAGAAGAATGAAAAACAGCAAACCCATGACAGGGTAAAAAAAAAAAATTACTGAAGGGGATTTTTCACTTACCTTTTTTGTGACTATGAACAGTATTACAAGTTTATTTTCATAAAGTAATTCTCCATGTGAAAGAGCAATGAAAAACAAATGAAGCTTGTTTCAAACCCAGTTTTATACTGGAAGTTCCTTGAACTTTGTGAAGGGTGAAAATACTCATGTTCACAGTCCAGGAATAAAGGTACAAGGCCAGCAGTAGATTAAATCGTCTTCACAATCATAAGTCCAGGTATGCTTCTTTTCTAGTCCACGTTGTGTAAAAACTTCAGTACAGAAATCAAGCATTTTTTATTCTGGATCTTCCATTTATTTTCAGTACATTGCACTTTTTCGGGGAAATTTCATTCACTGAAATCATACCTGAGGCTATTTCATTTCAGTAGATAAGTGTATCTTCTTAAATACCAGGATCACTTCAGGCTCAGGTGGTGCTGGAACAACCTCTCATCATGGCACAGCTGTAGATCAGTTTGTGTGGCCAAGGCAAACATTTTAGGCATGCTGCACTTTGTCACAGTCAGCAATACATCATTATTTTGGTTACTTTCTCAGGTGTCAGGTACTGGAATACTTGAATATATCCATTGAATATCCACATCATTCATATAAATTTCGGAGAGTCCCACACGAAAAAAAAAAAAAAAAAAAAACTTGGTGTCCATGATTATTGTTCAGAATAGTCCTCTAACTGTTCCTCCTAGACTTTGGTGTGGGGGGATACACAACCTCCTCCATGTCCAACTCTTCAAAGGTCAGCCTGTTCCACCTGAACTAACCACACTCACAAAGGCTGGCCATTGGTCAAAATCCACAATGAACTTGAAGTTACACCTTGGCTGCAGTTTGTGATGTCCACCTCAAACCACTGATATTTCACGTTCATCCTTGCCACATACTCTGCCAGACAATTTGCCCAAATGAGCATTTTTTTACAAAATGGAAGACTTTATGTGGCAACATTTCATATGTCAACTTAATTAGTAAAGATGCAAGAAGCAAAAAAAAATTGCAGAATGTATAATTCAAAAACTGCAAATTGTCTGGCAAAATTGTTGACTGGATTTTGAAACAAGCTTCTTTTTATTGAAAACCAATAGGGCTTTTAAAGAAGAAAATATCTGACTGACTATGAAGATCACCGACTGATAATCATTTAAAATTTCATTTCATAACTGTTTGCAATGTACAGTAAGCCAATTTTATTTCCCAGGCACTTCACACTTCACCACTCCTTACTGTACCTGAGATGGACACAGCAACAGATTCACCTTGGTCTTCTTTTTGGGGCACCTGCAATGACACATCACAATAAAGCATGTACGCTGTTTTTCCCCACAAAACACTCATAAATCGACAATTAAGTCCTACAACAACCTTGCAATCATCAGTCACTGTCTGACCTTACTGCAGATGCAAAATTGATGCATTGCAGCAATGAAAACCACAATACATCACGCTACTATAGTAAGTCCTACATGTAACTCTGTAAACAGAAAGCCTAAATGATTGCTGTAATCAAGATCTCTGTTTCAAACCAACTGATACCTCCAATCTATAACAGAAGCTGCACTGCTAGAAACAAGACATGAATTCCCAGACACCATAAACCAGTTATAGTCTGTGTTGTGATCAGTATTACGCAATGGAGTCAAATGTCTGTTCTTGGCATCGTGGATCAATACTGTGTGTGCATATTGCTACTACAGCATCAAATCAATGCCATCATAATCAAGGCAGCATAACTTAATGGGCACATTATCATAAGGATAAGCAGATAATGGAAATTTCAGTGTGGTTGGGGGGGGGGGGACTCAAAGCTGAAGAGGATGGCATCTAATTTATTAAAGCTTTATTTAACTCATCTTAAATAAAGTTAAGGGACTGGCATATATAAATCGATTTAAATGGCACAATGAAGAGTTCCTCTTTTTCATTTCAGCTACTCTTCACTAACTTCAGTTATTAAAAAAAATCTACATAAAAGAAATTCATGCAAAAGGTCTGAATCAAATATCCATATTTTAAATTTTCATGACATATAAAAAACTATTAAATGAAATGTTAAAACACTTATATAAATTGTACTAATATATCACACAAAACATCCATCACAATTTTATGGATCATTTAGTAAACCTTTGACTGTAAATTAAAGCATAGAACAAAATGTATTTCTTTGGCTACAGAATATGATATATTTTTTTAAATATGAGCTATTTATCACTGGGAAGAAAAAAAATCAGCTATATGGTTTAAACAAATCCTGCTACTTTGAGTACAATAAAAACGAATTACTTTTTAGAAAGCCTGCCTTCATTTTTGCACGACTACTAAGAAAAGGTGCCAACTCAGTTTGGTATATACATCTTTACAAAAGATGTTTATCCGGTCAGACTGGACAAGTAGAGGCACGCAAAAGAACAGAGAACCCTCTACTCGATGACTGAGCTGCACAAATTTTAAGACTGACCTTTATGAAGGTTAAAAAAAAACAACAAATCTGACAATTGGCAGAAGACTCCATGCCGTCTGAAATAACTCAGATTGAAATTGAAAAATATTCAACACTTAAACTCACTTTTAACATTTTAAAAACTTATTTTTCTCACCCCATCTGCCAGTAGTCTGTCCTCCTCTTCAGAGGTAAGGGTTGGCTGATTGTGTTCTTCTGCAGTCAAGGGAGGCACTTCATCCAGAACATCAGCCTAAATAAGAAAAAATCTCAGCTAATATATGTATCATTACAAAAGATGGGTTAGATGGGTTAAAAGACTCTGATTACATTTGGATATCCATGGACATGCTTTTAAACATCCTGTTCATTGTGTGCTATGTATTACTGCTTCAAAAAAAAGGGAATAACAATAATACATACAGCAAAGAATTTATTTCAAAAAAAAGTTTTCCTTCGTGCGGTAACACCCACCTCTCCTTTAAACCTAACACAATTAGTCATCTGAAGATACCAGGAAACCTGACACTGAGACAATGAAATAAGGGGAAATAGAGCAATTTGACCATGATGAGGGTCCTCTTAACATTTTGAAAAATTCCTGCTGACAGATACCCTTTTTATGTGGCATGGCATTGTTTTTTTTTTTTTCAACTACTCAACAAAACAAAGATAAGAGCCTAATCCATCCAATATGTATATCAAATCCTTAAGCTTTTCCCAATATTTTAGCATAAAGTCTTTTTTTCATTAAAAAAATGCCTTCAAAGCATATTCCACACTGAAAATAGTAAAATAATTGCTGGCTAGTATGAAATGTATAGACAGCATACAGAATGAAATATAATTCTAAAGAATTCTTAGCAACCAAAGATTCCATAATACATATAGACAATGACCTACCTTGTCCATGTCCTCCTGCTGAGCTGGTACCTCAAGATTCTCTTCCTCCAATTCTTCTTCCTCATCCTCACCCTCCTAGGGATAAATAAAGTTATATAAATTATACACATCTATACATTTGTACATAGGATATATGCCCAAATGTGCTTAAAATTGGGCAAATCTATTTCCACCTGCTTAAACTTTTTCAGAGTGATGTGTATCATAAGTGTCTATTAGCCATCATCCTAACTGCTTTTGAGTAAGAACAGTCAAAATTTGCTACCAGTCACTCTCCAAGGAAGATAATCTGATTTTAAAGGTGTTTCTCATATACTGCCAAGATATTTTCTTGGACAACAAATGTACATTAGCCAAATATATAAAAACCATAAGTATTTCAATAGAACAACACAATCACTTGAGTAAAATGAAGCAAAAGCACTTTCGCCAAATTGCTCAGAGGTCCAGTGACATATTTTAAGTTACACTTAATGCAAAGTGCTAGTCAAATGTTGGGAGGTTTTGTACTTGAAAAGTAGTGGGCCAACAATCCCTAGTGTAATAAGTCAAAATTTGGGCATACTTGAGGGAAATAAAGAAGTATGAATCATGATTGATATTTGATGAAAATGGGGAGGCGTTAAAATAATTTGCTATTCTTTCACAGTTAGCCACAGTTCACTTTGTTAGAAGTTGGTCATATTATGCTAACACGTCATGGTGATAGGCAACTTAATGATTCAGAATATGCTTTAAACTAAATAAACTACTAGTCTACCTACTCCCACTAACATTTGTTCCAATAATATACAGTTCTTTTCACTATTTATGTATGAGACAACTTTAAACACTGATTTATAAATACGGGAAAAATTCTCTCCTCCTCTTATCAGGAAATTTTCTTTGAATTTTTTTTCTAGCCCAAATTTGACTTGAACCAGTTTCTTCTGAAGTGTGCAGAGTATCAGTATCCTTCCTTGTTAAAATTTCTTTACAGATGGGATGAATGATATCAAATGATGCACAGGAAAGTTTTCAAAATCTTTCACTTCCATAAAGATATATCTTTAAATGTTATATTTTAAGGATGAATATACACAGACATTGGTTCTAGACCATATCTAGTCTGCAAGACGTGTCAGATGGGGTGGAACGTTGGCATAGCTCTATCTTTCACACAATATTTGGGTATTCTTCAGAAAATCTACTGGCTACTTTGCCCAATTGTCAACTTTCCTGTCACCTATCTATGTCCCATTTCTGATCTATCTTAGAATTTGTTACACAACTGCCCCATATTGGAATAAGGTGATTCTAGTAATTATTTCTTGTGAAAAAAGAATCCCCCACTTAAAAATGATACAAAATAGCACTAGGAAAAAAGTCTGGCATATTTGAAGTACAGTTTTTAAAACAATCAAACTTCAAATAAGAAAACACCAAGTAACCAATTCAGGAAGGCAGGACAGGAAACATGTGGTAGAACATCCTACCTATGAGTATTTACCTGAGAGTGACTAACATCAACAATGAGTATTTTCCCTTGATAGAACCTCCATTCCATTATGTGGCGCTGGTCTGCTGAGATCGGACAACCATCAAACCAAACGATAACCACCAAATTTCACTATTTGATCTAACAGATTCCAACCACCCAGCCTGCCATATGCAGGTTTTTAGTCATCATTTATACCAACATTCACTGACCTATTTCACAGCAATAGCAGCCACCCACACACCCACCCACTACAAACCACCACTTAACAGATTACACAGGAAAGGAATAAAATACATTATTTATATTATAATACTCCCTTAATAAAAGAATCTTCTACATTTTCTGACCGCTAGATATTATCATCAAGTTTTCAAGAATGTCATGTCAGTGACACTTCTTCATATTAAAAAAAAACACAGTCTATGTATTCAAGTAGACATTTGTCAAACATTCTCATTACGTGACTGTCAGGCCAAACCCATACTGCGCACTTTCTTAACTGACAATTAAAAACTATATTTCCTTGTTTTGCAAACGAAATACTAACAAAAACTGTCCCATGGATTTCCTGCTATAGCACCACTCCAGCTATCATTTCATTGAACCATATATTTTGAATCTAAATTTCTACATGAAAAGATCACGAAGCTCGTTTATCCTCATATAATTAGTAGTATATCCCCTCATCAACCAAAAGTACACGAGTTGTAGAACTATTTACTAGTAATCTTGTTTTCTTTCAACTTCTATTGTTTGTTGGCTCAATATCTACTTCCTTTCCCACCTGCTTATCGTAAAAAAAATACTCAAGTTTCTTAACTTAGCTGCAAGGTCACAGACAGTTCTAAGTTTATCCTGAGTTATTTTTAAAACATCTAGTATTGGACAAGTATGTGGTAACTTGAGTACAAATCAGATTACAAGCATTGTCTTCTAATAAAAACCCTCTTTGTTTGCAGTGAATGTCGCATCAACAAAATAACGTACAGACGTCACACAGCAGGCAAGAAATCTTGTAAAGGACCTGTAAACAATATTTTTTCTATCTGTGCTACAGCATACAATAAAAAATACTAAAAATTTTGCCAATCTTTCTTACACTTCAAATTCTATACTTACATACGGTATCAGATATCATTACCACTGTTTTCATACCATTTTACTGTTTTACATCTTTCTCAATACAACTAACAAATTTCTATACATCTCACAAACATCTTACAAAGAAACAACATTCCACAACCACAGTAATTTTGTGAAACCTACCTTTCCTTTTCCCTTAATGCCTCCTGAAAAAGTGAAATTAAAGTCAGCAGTGTATTCAATGAAACATCAAAGTGGTAAAAATTAAACCATAGAAAAAAATTGTTCTCTAGTACGGTATAAACACATCACCAATATCACTCTTGAATCAAAAGATTTCTTTAAATTATGACATATTCCATGACATATGAAAACAGTCCCTATGACCACCAATATCAGAAACCAATCCCCATACAATATTGTATCTACAGAATAAATGATACATGTCTCATCAAGTAATGAACTAAAAAATTCATGGCAGATGTGTTGCACATTTATTGACTACAAATCATTTTCTCAGTAAGTACCCCTGCTTTACACCTTTTGGGTGAAGGTACATCCCTTCTATATATCAAAATGGAGCTTAAAATCCGGGTATAATTTGGTTAACACAGTTTTTTGATTGCTTCTAAACTTTGCAATATTCATAAGACCCTATTATTATATAATCAGATTGCTGCCTGGGACCGGGTATAATATTTAATGGCAATATGCTTACTTGAAGTTTGCTCTATTTCACATTCGTACAATAATCCACTACTGAGCAAGATGTAAAAAGTCATTTTTTTGTGTATTATGTCTGAAATCATCAAACTGCTGCCTATGTAAAACTATGAATACATCAAGTAATATGGCTTCTTGGTGTCTGCCTAATTACATAACAAGAAAAATTCATTTTTGTCCCCAATGATTTCTGTTAAGTTTAAACAAAAATGTTAAATGTCAGTCATAGGGCTAACACAAAGACAATGCAACCATAATAATAATACCCCAATACGAGAGAGAGAGAGAGAGAGAGAGAGAGAGAGAGTGAGAGAGTGTTCCTAATATATGGAAGATTTCTCAATAAACGTGTACAATCACAATACTTACTTGTCTTCCCAGTGGGTGTCCCTACTAACCCCAACTTTGACTTAGGTCCAGGAGAAGCCTCATCAATAGTAAATGTGCATGTCACAGGATCCAAACCCTCCTCTTCTAATGCCTGAAACAATAATTTCATGAAATAAGATATTTAGGAATGGGAATCAATGATACAAAATCTCACCATGGGTGAAAGTTGAAAAAAATGCAAAAATCCTGAAAACATAGCTTGAAATATCTTATCTCATTTAGACCATATGAAAAAATTATCAATTTGAAGACTGAAAATCCTGACATAGGGCATAATCCTGGAAAGTTTCACCCATGCACTGCAACATGTTCTACACAATAGCCATGGGGATTCATGATTGCTTTCTTTCTTTCAACAAGTGATCTTCATCAGCTGCCAGTCAGGGAGTAAACTGTTAGTACACTTTGAATAGCAAGGGTGAATTTCATTTAGTATTATTAATAAGGTTTTGCCTGTGAAAATTTAAAAAATTGCAAAAATGCTTGTCAAACGGGCACTGACTCACAAGTTATTAAAATCTTAATTATTCCCTTTAAATTGTAAAAAAATCCAATTCAAATGAGTAGTTTTTCTTTTCCTCGGGAAAAATTAGATTTGCTATGTAAATCTAGTACAGGATATCTTTACATATCTGCTAACAAAAATACTACATCAAATCTCTTTTATAACCCGAGACAAAGTTAGTCTATTTTCAAAATGACACGCAAGGTAAGTTACAATCACAGGATGTAAATGCAATTTTAAGTTCTTTATTTCTATGTACTAGATGTTAAATTTGGATAAGATCTTGTTTATTTGGAGTGTTTGATGCTCTGAAAGTGCCGTTTTTGTGAATAATTTCCACCTAAAACTGCTTTGTATGCCTGTTTAAAGTTACATATAAAGTGAATGTGGCATGGTTTCCCATTAACACTATGGTACGATTTGTTTAATTCATTGCCAAGGACGGCACATGCCAACATTGCAGACAACCCAAAAATAAACAAATTGTGCCAATCTGACAAGTAAGATGAACAACAGTTATTACCTAGTGATATATTACTCTTTAATATCACTCTATTTTCAGAAAAAAATCCTTTCCTCTGTGTTGTTCTTAGTACTGCACATTTTAGGATGAACTTTTATTGGGTAATATAAAACCTTGATATTTCTACAAGTTATGCATTTTGAAACTTAATGGTGGCATCTTTTTCATGTTTTAATATCATAATAAATCTATCTATTTTTTAAACTAATCAATATCTTCCCCTCTTCCACTTGCTCTGCTCCAACAAAAGCATTTCACTGTTTAGCTGCCGCCTACTTCCCCGTCCCACGCCGATAAGGTATGAGAGTATAAACGACGATTCCCACATAAAGTAGATATTAGCACAAGTCACTGCCTGGCTGCTTAAGGAAACCGATCTAAAATGATTTGGATTGATTTCGATTCCTATCCATTAATCAAAAACACGTTTCATTCTGGGAAACATCTTATCTTAGCGAATCAGTGCAAATTTTAAGTGTTTCCTATTAATTTGCCAAATTACCTTTTTCAATCTGTCTATCAAGACAGCCTTAACCCCAGTCTTTTCAAGACTTCGTCGTTCTAACTCCGCCCGAAGGTCCACAACTCGTAAATCTTCCAGCTTTTTTGCAACTCCTTGCTCGCACTCCGACGCCATCATGGATTCTCCCGGGATAAAACGGTCCCGGATGTAGACCATGGACTCGGTTTCGGAAAACTATGGCTGCCTCCAGTGGGAAATTCGACTTGGGGAAGTAAGTTGTTAGTTTCTGTCACAACCTATATATGAAACATGAAAATGAGTTTGAGGATTTTACTCGATCTTCAAAACATCTGGATATTGTGTATGGATTAATGATTCCCAAAGTCGGCCGACCAAAAATGCCGGATCTTGCATTTTATTCAGATCTTTAAAGGGATAATAACTCTTCGTTTCGGCCAAAAAATGAATTTTCCTGGAGTAAACAACAATTTTCCCATACTTACCAATGGTTAATGAATCCATTTTTACATTCAAAGTTAGTCCCTGGTTTTTTAATAAAAAGTTTGGTTTTTTGTTAAAATCTCTTAAGAGATTTTAACAGAGAATAGCCATTAATGGAGGTCACATGGTCTAAAGACCAGCTCAATTATCAGAATAATAGCTATAACTGCCATTTTTGTGGTAAAACAGAATATATTATATTTCTATGAGTTATTCACAATGTTTTTATTGTGAAATATAGATCTCATACGAAGAGTTATTATCCCTTTAATTTTGCCTTTTTCTAGGTCAAGTTACTGTAGTATATTCTGACAGAATATAATTTATAATGTTATATTATTATGTAATATTAAGGTTGATTCCAGTAATGCAAAACTCGATCCTGGCTTACTACCCCTGCCCTGACTCATCTCAGATTTAAGTGCCTCACTGACAGCAGTTTTTCTTCATGAATTTGTAGAGTTAATTGACTGAACCTTAACATGGAAAGAATATTGAGACTAAATCTACATCATATACAAATGACACATACATATATTTAATCAGTAGTGTGGCCTATATTCTTATAAGTTTTATACATATATATTTATTCCAGTGTTAATCATATGGTAATGAATGTCTATCTGTACTGTACATAATAACCAGTTCTCTGGGGTTTTTGGTCATAGTTTACAAAGTGTTTTCATGCATAAGCACATTGAACATTATGCTATTTGATTTCAGATCTATTCAAGGTATTTTATATCTTTTAAATGTGATTGACAAGAAGAGACTGGAACATGAAAGAGTTTTGCAAGATTACAGAATCCTCTTCAAGCCATGGTAAGGAAAAACAATTTTGCCATTCATAATGAGCAAATATGGTATATAAAAAAAAAGTGAAGTACAGTAGTGTTGCAAAGCCAGATTTGAATATAATTAATGTTATCAATATAGATAAGATTAATGAGCCACTTGTTGATCCAGGATATCAGCAGGGGGATGGGGTTGGGTTGGACCCCCCCCCCAAAAAAAAAAAAAAAAAAAATATATATATATATATATATATATACNAAAAAAAAAAATATATATATATATATATATATATATATATATATATATATATATATATATATATATATATACACACACACACACACATGCAAACATGTACACAATAAATTTTTGTAAAGTATGATGCATTTTATTGCATTTTGCAGTCCTTTTTATACCCTCAGAAGAGTATTTTCTCTCCCTTTGAAAATACATTTTGGGGTAGTTCCTTAATTTTGTGTGTATGTGTGTGTTTAAGGCAAATAATTATTAACATTACTGTTCACAGGCCTCTTAGAGGACAGACAGAAAAACTGGAAAGTGATGAAAAAACTTCAAAAGTTCTAACAGAGCAAGGAGAACACATAGAAGGTGATTCGGGATGGACTTTGAATTAAAATATTTCATGTTGTGCTTATTGAAAAAAAACAACCAGAAGAAACCAAGATCATCTCTGTACATCCTACAGTTTCATATCCAGATATATATATATAGAAGTTGGAAACATAGCATATGGGCATGCCCTTCAATACATATCAATCACATAATTTCTTTTATTTACATTTTAAAACAAAAAATTAAACTTGACAATAGTTAAGAACCATGGTATGACATTATCACTGAATTGATTGCAGATCATTCCATGTCTGAACAAGAGAAAGCAGAGGTGAGACTTTTGGATACAATGCTTCTCAAGGCTCAAGCTACAAGAGATAAACATTTAAAGGTAATGTGGAATAAGGCAATGTGAAACATTCCACAGCAAAATAAAGTAATATTATGACTAACATGCTAGTAAAGGAAATGCCTTGAATTTAGATTTTGATAACTAAACACTTTCTAGTAATCTTTGAAATCTTTTCCTGCTTCATATTATTGTTACTGGATATTAATTTGTCTTTTAGCTCAAAAGATATTTAGTATAACTTTTGTTTTTCCTTTAGACACAAGAATCCAAACAATCAACGTCAGACAAAAGTAGGGAGTCAAGGTCCAGTGAAATTCACAAACCTCCACTTCCTCCTATTAGAACAAAATCCCCTGTTGTCTTAGCCACTTCTACTGTTACAAAGAAAGAATTAAAAAGTTCTAAATTGAAAACCATTAGTCAGGTTGGTGAGGCTCATGAGAGAAGTAGTGAAGGAAATACAGATACTGCTTTAAGTAACCTAGAAGATTGTGCAGGCTCAGGTATAGGTGTGATTGAGCAATCTAGACTCAATGCACTTATCGGAATTAATACAAAAGTGAGTAAAGGAAAAGAGGCATACAAGTCTGCTCCTTTCAAAACAGAAAATGTGATATCTAAAAGTCAAAAGACAAGAATAATACAGAGATCTCAAGCCTTTAAGTCGAGGTCTGCTTCCGAGGAAAGGCAAATGCCACCAACTAGTGCACCAAAGAGAGTGCCAAATTCTTTGAAATCTCAGCAACCAAATGCAAAGGTAACAAGGCCTAAATCATTAGAAAGTATATTATCACAAAATAGGAATGTGAAGGTGTCTTCATCATCAAGTAAGAAAGTTTCAAAAACAGCTGAGGTAACTGAAAAAGTTGTAAACAGTATGTCACAGAATATTTCACAATTGGGAGAAAGTTATTTGAGTATGGAAGGCCAGGTGAAGAGGACTACACTAAACCCAGTGGAACAAAACCAGCAACACCAGCCAAGAGATAAGAACAGACATAAAGATCTTGAGAAAACAGTTGATGATGAACAGAAGCCAAAGCCTTTTTGCTTGGAACAGGATGGGTAAATTTTCTCTGTGTGTCTCACCTATGACCCCATTCCCATAGATTTTAGATCGATCTATCCCTGTGGGTAGTCTCACTAGATTACTGTCAGCTTAGTCGGCTTAAGTGTCTGTCCCGCCTACTAAAAGCTGTAAGGGGCTAATTAACTATGGTGCGCTCGGCTGACTGCAATTTAGCGCGAACCCCCAGGGAGTTAGGTCGATATAAATCTCAATCACTGGATCGATCTAAATCTCTGGGAATGCATCCTAAGGCTGATCTTAACAAAACATTATTCAATATTTTTTTTTACTTCATTTTTTGTGAAGAAAAGAGACTAATTAAAGTACAGCAGTAAAAAATACAATTTACATTTATAGGTGGTACATTGATCTATTGCAAATATTTCCTCTAAAGTGAAAAATGGTGTGCTGTATTCCAGTTTCATCAACTTGAAGGTGTATGTCGTTCAATGTGCATTGGATACAGCACAGATTGTAAGGATATTGGACACTAGTCAGATATTTTCTTTTGTTTTCAGTGCCTCTTTGAATATCCCAGTGAAGCTGAGAAGGTGCTACATGAATAATGTTACATTAAGAAAGAAGGTGACCTCTAAAAGATTATCCTCAGCAAACACACCAGACACATCTGTGGAAATGGAGTTTTTTCAAAAACTGGAAATGAAGGTAATTTTGTGTTTCTATTGCCTACAATTTTCTGTATAATTATAAAATTTAATTTGCCTTATTTTACTACTTATTTGTGTAGTACGAGTGTTGATTCACCATAAACATTTCTGCATATTAAATTCATCATCACTTAAGATCATTCACCATGAAAGTGCAATGAGTGCAGTGACTGTGTGCTCTTTGAAGTGGATGTTGGGGTCAAAATCAGAGTAGACACATTATTATTTTTAAGTTGTTAGCACTAATATTTGGAAATTTTGTTTCAATTTTGTGTTCTCATTCTCTATTTGGTGTTTGATTAATGGTCTAGCTACCACCTATGTAATGAAATCTAACCAAATTAAATATTCCTCTAAAAAAGCAGTTCTTTCTACACATGGATCATTGCTCTATTTGTTCCTGCACCTCCTGACAAGAATTGTAATTATTTTTTTTAAATGTCTGAATTCTAAAACAGAAGCAGCATTGCAGGATATTCAGATATAAAGTTCGACTTTGAAACATTTTCAAGTATGTAAAGTTGCTTATTTGTTGTTTTAAAGCTGTATGAGAAACTGCCGGAGCCCCTTCAGAGGATGAGTAGGATGGAGCACACATACCAAGAGCTGCAATTACTGTTTCAACATTTTAATCTGGAGACATTCTCAGGTAATAAGCACCACACAGTAACCATTGTAATATTAGGACATTTACATGCTTAAACAAAATGTATTGTGAATCAATGTGCTCTTCCCTTTTTGACACAAGTTTTAAATCATTTATAAATCTGAACCGTGTCCTGTATGTTTTTAGGTTCGTTACCAGAAATTCATAGACCAATTTTATTATCCACCCTCAGTGAATTTGATTAATTTAGATATAAACCAATTGCAGAAAATTCTCCTTGGGAAGAAGTTGCCAGAGCAACAAGAACTGTGGAACACATCATGATGTCCTTCCAAGAACAAGAGCACGAGTTTACCAAATTATTTCCAGGTTTGTTTCATTGATAATTTGATCAGCAAACAACAGTTCTGTATGTTAATATTGAATGCCTAGGACTACTTATGGAAGTTAATTGTAAGAATAGTGTATGATACAACTGAATCAGAGGTCAAGCATAGGGGCTTTATTAATTCACCTGTAGAAATTGTATAAGCAATTCTTTGCTACACTGTTTTAAAAATTTATACTTGCCATCCAGCTTCCTAATTTCCTTTACAGGAAGAGACAAATTTGAGAAAGAGGCTGAGGATCAAACTTTCAAAATAAATAAGAAATCCCTGCTACCAAGTCAGCATTGGAACCCAGGTAAGGTTATGGATGTATGAAGAATTCATACACTGGACCAAAAAAGTAAGGAAAAATTGTTATTTTGAATAATGATAAAATAACCACATTAGCTGAAGTAAATGTTTTAACCAAATAATGATAGATAATGCACCCACCATTGGTTTCTTTTTTATTTACACCAAATATTTTCCCACTACATTTTATGTTTCTCACCTATTTTAGTCAAGCGTATCAAGTTCTTTTCTCTCAAAATGTGAAGGAAAGGTACAGGTTATCAGTAGGGGAAGACTCTAGTGTTAAGTTATATTTTAAGTTTGCCTGTTCTTTTCAGGTTGTTTACCATCTTCTAATTACAAGTTATGGTACAGCAGCGAAAGAGATTTAAAAGACCATGTAAGGCACATCCACGATGTTCAGGTCTATATGCACCATCTTCAGTTTTTGGAGGCAGTGCAAGAACAGTTACTATTCCTGGATGCTGTGAACCAGGATAAAAGGTAGATTTTTGATTTGTAGTTACTCTACATTTTACTGGTTTTCCTATTTCTATGGAAGGACATAGCATAAGAAGTGGCAGAAGTCCAATAGTAATCAATTCTCACTGACATTGGGTTTGTTCTTTTTCCTTACAGCAAATTTTTGGAGTGGGGGGCAGGGGGTCCACATATTTATAGAAAAAGGTAAAAAGAAGTTTAAATTATTCCTTGTCAGTCATGTCCACTCACAGCAGCATTCATTTCTCTTTTCCAGGCAATACTACGAGGCGTACAGATCAGTGTATTCTCTATTGACATCACATGGCGAACATTCACCAACACTGGTACAGGATGTCTCAGATTCAAGTGACCTTGAAAATTGATACTAACGTAAAGACATTTAGTCTTAGACCGCATTCACAACGATTTGAGCTAGGCTTTACAAATCCTGGGACTAAATATGGCGGACGTACATGAAAGGAAAACCGCCTAATCTTTTAATAGTCTCTCCGCCTCTCACATGCCTCCCCACACATCGTCCCTGCGGGGTACAGTCATTAAATCTCAGCTCTGTTCGCCATGTGGAAGCTACCTGAGAAAAAGAAATGAATTGGCCCGTAGAGCAGCTATGAATCGGGATCAAAATCGTGAAAACACCCCCCCCCCCCCTTTCCAGTTTGACCAGGCATAGGGAACAAGGCAAACATCAGCATCAGAACAAACTGCGCCCTCTGACGAGACTGCATACGCAAAAATTCTGCCCTCCTCCGTCTACTGGGGCCGGGTATCTCCGTTGACAGCCAATTCATTGCTGCTCTACGGGCCAATTCATTTCTTTTTCGTCTCTGTTTTGAAAGATAATAGAACAGAGGAGCTTTTTTCCTTTAGTCACCACGCTTTCTTCACCTCAAGTTTAATTGATGAGCATGCACACTAAATATTTCTCAGGCAGCTTCCGCATGGCGAACGGATCCGAGATTTAATGACTGTACCCTGCAGGGATGACGTGTGGGGAGGCGTGTGAGAGGCGGAGAGACTATTAAAAGATTAGGCGGTTTTCCTTTCATGTACGTTCGCCATATTTAGTCCCAGGATTTGTAAATCCTGGCTCAAATCGTTGTGAATGCGGTCTTAGATGGGAATCAGTGTCAATTCTCAGTTCCCTTTCTGATGGAGCAAGGAAAGAATAAAATTTGTACTGGAGTTTTCCTCCATTGTGCTTTTGTTTCAAACATTTTACAAGCTTCCTCAAGAGGCAGTTTGTCTACTTGTGTCCCCCCCACCCTCAAGTTTTAGGACACTAGAATGGCAGAGGCATGCAAGTAGTACCTGCACATATCTCTCCATTGTTGTACTCCTAGAGAAGTTTTTAAATTGAATGAACTTGTTTTAATAATTTAAGGGACCATTCCCATAGATTTTGGATTGATCCATCTCCCTGAAGAGTCTCACTAAATTGCTTAACTGGCTGAAATGTCTATCATGCCTTGTAAAGCTATAAGGGGGTAATTATATTTACCCTGGCTGATTTGGTAGGTATGACAGACATTCATGCCAGTTAATAGCAATATAGTGAGACTCCCCAGGGAGTTAGACTGATCCAGAGGGATCGATCTAGGCATGGGAACCCAGTCCAACATGCTTAGATCTCTCCCAAAATTCACCATTCCTTTGTCAAAATTAAATTAACCAGGTTTTTATTACTTTTCGATTTTCATTCTTTTTAGTGCTATTGTTGTCAGGATGTTCACAAAACCTGCACAGCATATTTTGCAGTCTTAAAATTGCTGCTTGGCATGCCCACATTGAAAAGTGGTAAATGAATCTTTAATGAGCAGTCTTGCACTTGATTATTAGTGTCTGTCAACTCTTCCTTGCAGAAAGTTACTTATTAAATTTTGATGAGCTTTTACTTTCATAATTCTTAAAATTAACTTAGTTAAAACTGTCCAAAGTGGACCTAGTAACATTTACATTTTGGTGGCCATTCACCAAAATGTGAATTGAGCTGCCTTGCTGGGGGTCTGCACAATCCAAGTGATTCTTTGCTGCCACAGGCATGCATCCCAAGCATGTAAATAAGCCTGCCAAGTTCATGTTTTTCAATGCAACTAAGAAAAAACTCTTATAACAAATATATGTTTTCATCATTTTATTATTTAAACTTCAGTATTCAATGTGTTCCCTAGTAGTGAAGTTCATCTTTGGATTCACCATAACATATGAAGTCCACCATCTGCATACTGTTTGCTCGCTTACTGCGAAATGCATTAGACAAAATAGATGCGACAACTGGGTTTCTGGTCATGTTCCCAAAGATACTTTAATGTCAGGTCTTCCATCCACAAATGCTGGAATGGCTTAAAAGCATGTAATATCCAGTGCAAGACCTTTTTGCTCTTGTAGGTGACCTTTTAATCTGCATCTTGTTGCTTCTTTACAAAAGTGGAAACAAAAGCAAACCCCTGCCATACTGACCTTATCCTTGTTTAACTTACCTGCAGCTTCAGTCTTTGTTCCACACCTAGATCAATCTAAAAAGTTGGAAAGGGAAATGCAACAGCATCTTCCAAGTAGTGAAAAGTGCATTTCTCAGCACTGTCACGTGACAGAAGTCACATGCCCAGTGCAACTCATTACCCAAGGCCCTGAAATTGGGGACATATCACCCTTTCAGAATACTGCCCTGCTCCAAGAAAAAAATCCTGGTGCCCATCGAAACCTCCCTCATCTGCACACAACATGGTTACTCAATTTCAAAGTACCTGTGATATTAAAGGTAAGGAGACAATCACACACTTCAACAATTTAATCAGGAGAATGTCATCATGCTTGGAAAGTGAAAATGTGCAGCACTGGAGCAACAAGCTGGGGCGTACACCAAAAAATAAACCCCACATTTTGATACATTAACGTCAATACTCTGCCCCTCCCCCCCAACCCCCAAAAATAAATGATATGAAAGAAAAATTCAAGGAAAAAAAAAAAAAAACTGAAATATAATCTATTATTGTAGAGTAAATTTTGTCGAATTTTGTCCTGCAACCAATTTCTATTTAAACATTTAACAAAAAAAAAAAAAAAAAAAGTTTAATCTCATATCTGTGAAACAACAGATCTGAACGAGTAAATTTTGATTTAAATGGAGTCCAAACTAAATAACTGCAACATGTGTACAGTGTTCTTTTTTGATTCAAAAATGAAATGGAAACAAAAAATTCGTCTGATGTCACTGTGTGAAAATAAAAATTTCATATGGTTGAAAAAAGTATAGGCCAAAATAAATATCATGCTGCAGTGCAATTAATGTTATTGCAATTCAAGTATTAGAATTGGCATTCTCGGACCTAGTGTGTTGCTGGCAGCATTCAGAGGTGAATTCCTGCCCTTTCCCGCTGGCTCTCTGGGCCACGGCTCTCGGTGCAGCCATTAATCAGACCAGCTCACACTTCAAGCCACTGACAGCAGACTCCAACCCCAAACAGCTAAATTATCTGCACAGCAACCTGGGCTACTGCTCTCGGCACTGCTCATGACAGCATACCCCAACTCAGCTAAATTATCAGCACAGCTACTGCGCCTGAATTTTTAGGAAATAAGAGCAAGTTAATAGTGGCATATACAAAATATGATTTATTACTTGCTAAAACACTTAAAATATCTGAAAATTAATTGAGTTAAGCATATTCAAGCTTCATACAAATCAACACACTGTTATCCTACAAAAATTCTACAGAGCCTTATCTACATAAAAGTTTACTTGAACACCTCTCTCAGTTACGATAGATTAAGTCATTGTCTGATAAGGCCGTCTTTCTTCCAGAATTCAATTCAATATTCTGTTCTTTGCTAAGGTCATGACCTCAAGTAGAGACTATAAGTGTCAACCTTTGTTCTGAGGAATGTCTTATGTTATGTTCAGTGATATTAACCTTTCCACAGCAGAGGAAGGAGATGCAAAGCTGCCAGGTCCATGAGAAAACTGTTCAAGGAAGGTCAGCATTCTTGTAATATCAAAGCATCCAAGTCTAAGATGCTGGAGACTTGGACACAGATCTGCTACGGCTTCTGCTCCTGCTCTTTGATGGACTTCTGCTTGCTTTACCACCACGACTTCTGCTGCGACTTCTGCTGTAAGACCGGCTGCGAGATCTGCTGCGAGATCTACTGTACGATCTGGAGTGCCTTCTGCTGTCCCTGAAAAGGGAATACATGTTTAAATTCATAAAATTTAAAAAAAAAAGTTTTATTAAAACATAATGTACTTTCACATAATTTTAACAACTCAAAATACGACCAAGAACACAACTGCAGAAAAGTTGAACACTGTGCGCCAACCCTTTGTTGTATATATCGTCCAGCAAACAAAGCGGGAACAAAGCCAAAGAAATTTTGCTGCCAACAATACGTCCCTATTCCAACTTCCAAGGAAGCAAGGGCCTTTAACTGTAAAGTTTACAATTTGATGTCAAATATAATTTATTCTAATATAAAAATGGGAGAAACAGGTCATAATGACAATACTACAGTTATGCACCTTCTTCCTCGAGATCCTCTGTATCCGCCACCGCCGCCACCCCCGCCATACGATCTCCGTGGACCACCGCGTCTAGGCTCAGCTGGTCTGCCATATCTAGCCATCTGTACTCTTAGTTCTCTTCCATCCATGATGGCTCCATCCATCGCATCCATTGCATCTTCGGCATCCCGCTTGTCGTAGAATCGAACAAAGGCAAAACCACGGCTTTCGCGGGTAAATCTGTCACGGGGGATGTAAACGTCGCCAACATCTCCGTATTTCTCAAATGACCTGCGTAAATCCTCCGGAGTGGTCCTATAAGTTAAATTGTCAACCTTCAACGATGCCATATCATCCACATTTTGAGGTGGCCTTCCATATCCGCCCGACATTTTCCTGGATAAAATATCAACGACGCCGAACAATCTACTTTGCAAATGGAGTGATATGGGTTCGACAACGTATATTCCACGGTCAACCAGGAAGTGTAATATGACACGTGCCTAAAAGTGAAACAAAACCAAAATGTAAAACTTGAACGTTGCATTTTTCTTTACACGTCTAGTAGCACTCACAAAAATCAATTTGAAAATAAATCGCCTAGTTAATAAAAAAAGTGCACGTCAAAAATATAACATCAATTTATTTGTAAAACATTCTTGTTTTTTTCATCTCACCCGATCATGTGATGTCAACATTCGAAAACATGGCGGACTGGAGGCTCATCAATGTGCTGGTGCTAGGGATTGGTTTTATGTTTATATTTTCTGCTTTTCAAACATGTTCCATGGTAGAGGTGAGGAATTAAATAGGCATTGTTTTCAAAAACGTACAGAGGGATTTCGTTTACTTTAATCTTCCTAATTTTTGTTGTTAGTCTCACTCTGTAACCGAGACAGAAAGTACCGAAAGTTGTATCCCCTGTCCCAGCAGCTGCAGGTGTCTCAGTTTTACCTGACATGTAAGGCCGAAAACGGAGGCAGCTTTTCTTTAAAAAGATCATTTGTCTGGTAGTTATACATGGATTGTTAATTTAATCATTCTACAGACGGGTTTTATCTAAATATTTTCATACCGTCTAATTTTCGGCTCTACTCAAGAGCCTTCGTTAGGACAAACTGGTCATGCGCTGATCTTGTAATCATCGACCAATTATCCTATGAATGTCCCCTTTGGCCTCCTATGCCCAAGCGGTCAACATAGTAGAGTGCATTCCCAGAGATTTAGATTGATCCATCCGTATCGACGTAACTCCCTGGGGGTTCACGCTAAATTACTGTCAGTCGAGCACACACCATAGATATAATTACCCCCTTACAACTTTTAGTAAGCGGGACAGACATTTAAGCCGGCTAAGCTGACAGAAATCTAGTGAGACTCCCCACAGGGATAGATCAATTTAAAATCTGTGGCAATGGGGCCACAGATGTGGGCCAGCTGGTACAGTAGTGCCTCTGATCCCCATTGAAGTCCCAGTTCAGAGAGGCAATGTTCATGACAAATGGATTTCTAAATGCCAAAAGATTTAAGTACATAAAAGATTATTTCCTGCCTGGAACCAAACTCTGCATAATCATTCTGGCCAATGCTACCTCCATTAAACATGATTCTGAGCAGTAGATTGCTTCGTAGGTTAAAAAATTGCACCTCATTATTTCACATACCTTACACATTCACAAGTTCTTTTTTTTCTTTTTGTTTTGTTTTCTTTACTGGGTTTAACTTTCATGGCAACATAACTGGTAGACAAGCAGATTAATCTTTCCTTACTGATAGCTCTGTTGACAGGAAACTGGTTTTAATTTTTGTGCTAGCTAGAATATATATGTTTATACTGGAATATATATCTCACTCTGGGTAGTTATTAGCCGAATGACCCCCCCCCCCTCAATCTTTGAAATTGAAAAATAAATAAACTGGTATTGTGCATTCAGGCCTGTTTTGCAGTTGGTGTGGTGATTTTCTTTTAATTTTGACAAAATTGAAACAATTGAGAAAAGGAAAACATTATTTTTGACTAATTTGCCAAACTGAACTTTCTTCCACAATTAGCAGAACCTCTTCTGTCTTACTCTTAGCATGAAATGTATGGCTATATAGGAAACATGTATGTTTATGATATGATAATCTTATCAGATTCAAAAGTCAATTGCAATTGCAGTCGTTAACCCAATATGAAATGACGTTATCTTTATTGTGTGTTTGAAAGTTTATATACATAGCGTCACTGTGAACATTTGTATTTAGGTTAAAAAAGGTCCTGTGGAAACCAGGTCAGATACCAATATCACCTGTGCATCTACGTATAATTCACCAGTAACATGTTCCAAGATTTGACACTACACTTGTTGTGTGCATAAATAGGTTAAATAAGGAAAGCATTTAAAAAAATTCTTACATTGAAAATATTATTTTTGAAAGATTGAATCCTCTTTTTCTTATGTAAAATAACTCATTTCCAGCAAACTGTCATTACTGATGCACGGGACGCACCAAATAGCACATTCACAGGGAATGGTTACACCAGGTTTGTATAGTTATACCCTAAATGATGTAATTAATGGAAGTTTCGACAAATATAGAGCTATCTCAGTATATGACATACAGTACTAGTATTGCAGCCTCTGAAAGATTATATAAAGGTATTACTTGGTTCAAGTGGCAGCAGAGTTTCTTGTCAACTCTGAAATTCAGAATGTTGTAACAAAGTAGGAGGTAATATGTTTGTTGCTTGAAATGAGGTTTCATTTTTATTTTAACAGAAAGTCACTTTTATTTATTGTAAAATTTTATTATTATTTTTCTTTGTAGTCTTGCAATTATATACATCTTCTCCTCATTGTTCAACTGGGTAGCTCCAGCCATTGTGAATTTCCTCACACCCAAATGGTCACTGGTTGTGTCAGGGTTTACGTATTTGTAAGATTCATTATTTTTATCCTGTATCATCCTTTCACCTGTTGCAAACCCTCTCCTTACACGCCTTAACCTTACTTAGCTTAAAGACATCACTTCTGTTTTCCAGTCTAGCTACAATCTATGTAGTGTTTGCTGCTGCTAACTGGATAGCGCCCTCAGTGGTCGCTCTCTGTGGACCAAAATGGTCCATGGTGCTTGGAGGTTTTTTATATCTGTAAGTTCTGTACATATGGCTTTTGTAACAAATTCTGCCTCTGCTGAAACATTGTTCTAAAATGCAGCATGAACAAAAATATGTTTTGAAGTTTTGTGTGTGTGTGTCTGAGTGTGTGTGAGGAGGAAGGAAAGTGTAAGAGCATACTATAACTTTACAAGCAGTTGATAAACTTTTCCAAACCTGTTCCACACACGCTGCCTTGATATCCATTTTTCTTAAGCTAATTTGGAAAGTTAAAATATTTAAATCTTATTTAAAACCACTTAAGTTTAATTTATTTAAAACAACACTTGAAAAAATTAATAAGATATTATTAGTGTGAATTACCTCTAAAAATTAAGTGCTGTAATATTTTGCAGCTTTTAAAGCTGAGACTTAGTGCCTGTTTGGGTTTTGTTGAACATTAATCATACACGCTCATATTTTCATTCTAGTTTGTTCATAGCATCTTTCTTATATCCAATGACATGGGCTCTGTACGTTGGATCAGTGTTAGTAGGCATTGGGGCTGCAGGTAAAATCATAAAAGATCTCATGTCTTATAGATTTTGTGGTCGTTAAATTTTTTCCAGTGACAGTGTTTATTAGTTCCAGCAGACAAATAAATAAAAAATGATTATCCACAGGATTTGTTTAGCTGCCTTTCAGTAACTGAATTCATTTCATGTCATTCATATAAGTGGGTTGATAATAAATTTGTTTGCATGTAGTTTATAATTTTTTTGTTACTTTAATAAACATTACAAGTAATTTTCAGGTGTGGAACTTTGACTTTTCCTGATAAATTTTCTTGAAAGGACCAAATCTTAGCAACACCAAAGATAAAAGTTTAAGTTTCACATCTGAGAATATTTATCTATTTACTAGTATTAAGGCCTGAATTTGATATATTGATAAAGCTTCTTATTTGGTCTTATTTTCAGTATTGTGGACTGCCCAAGGTAGCTTTCTCACCCTTAACTCTGACGCAGAAACGGTTGGAAGAAACAGTGGCATATTTTGGGCCCTTCTCCAAAGCAGGTAGAAAGTTTTATTGGGGCAACAAACTCTTGAATTTTGATCAACACCTCTGACAGTGACAACTACCATTTGGTTTATGTTATATTTTAAAAATTGATTAAAGAGAGTAACAGAAGAAATGAGAGAAGATGAAAAAAATGTGCTACATTGCCCATGTACTCATTTAGTTCCTTGATTACCCTTCTTCTTAGGACACAACATTATAGTTCAAAAGACATTGCTGAATTTTGGAACTATTTGAAAGACTACAAAAACCTTCAAAATTTTAATTTGCTTATAATAATATACTGTTCTAAGTTGAAAAAAAATCCTTGAAAATTCTATCAGATGTTTGTTTGAATTTTATTATGAGTGAATTTGTAGTTAATATTATATTATACTTATATTGTATTGCAGTCTTCTGATTGGGAACCTGTTCTCATATTTTGAGTTACGTGGAGCCACCACAATATCAGATAGCAGACGGACAGTGCTGTTTGGAGTGTTTTCAGGGGCCTGTTTCCTTGGTGTTCTTAGCTTTGTGTTTTTGAGAAAGGCACCTTTTACTTCTAGCAAGGAAATCCAGAATGTTAATATAAGGTACCTGTAATCATATTTTATTATATTTTAAGAAATTCTGGGTTGGTAATTTTGGTTAAATTAAGTATCTGTTACAGGAAAAAAGAATAAAATTGACACCCTGGAAGATTATCAGATTAAGTGAACAGTATTTTCTTTGAAGATCAATCTTTAAAAAGGTAGATTTCATAGATTGGTGACGTGTTTAGGGTTAGCTGCTGAAAAAAAATATTGTCATAACATTTACTAAGTAGTCAAGATTTTCCAGTGTATTTGTGAGGTTTAATGTCAAGGAAACTAGTCTCATGTTGTAATTAAATAAGAACTGGACCATGAAAACCCAATGGGTGTAACAGGACTTAATTTGTTGGTGATCATTTTGTCAAATTGAGTTGCAGTTCCAGTGGAATAAGAACTGGACCAGGGGAACCCAATGGGTAACAATTTTATTTTACTGAAATGATATGGAAGTTGTTGCTTCCTTTTTTGTCACTGTTTAGATATATATGTCAATTTTCAGTTCACCACTCCAGCTTCCCAATCAAGGCAACTAATAAAACCTTGCCTCATTTAGTCAAAATGTTTAGAATACACACATTTTTTGTGATTCTTTTGTCATTACCTGTGATCAGTTTGATTGTATATGAGGGTGGGTTCAATTTATTACTACTACAATTAGATTTTATCTCCAAGTAGTATGGATAATTCAAGCCATAGTTGCCGGTACAATATGTTTTAATTGTTGAGGGATTCAACCTTGACTTGATTATTAGAAGAACTTTTCAAAAAGTTAGAACCACAGATTGCTGATTTTTGAAGGGTTTGCTGCTGAGAAAAAAATATTGATCGGTCACACTGAAATAAGATGATATGTCAAGGTAACTCTTACATTGTAGAGAATTAAGAACTGAACCAGTTGAAGCTAATTGGTAGTAGAACTTAATTCTACTAATTAAAAAGTCAACCATGCTGCTTTACTTAAAATTGGAGGTAATAGTTATTCGCTTGCTTTTTGACTGTGAAGACATGCTTATTTTCTGCTTTGATTATTTTGTCAAATTGAGCTACAGTCCCACCATTTCTTTGCTCAGTTTGAATGTATATGAAGGCAGATTCGTTTGATTACCACACGAGTTGGATTTGCTTTCCAGACCATATTGATAATTCAAGTTGTAATTGGTACTCTGTGATTTACAGGGTAATGGATTCCTTCTTGCCTTGATTATTTGAAAAAATCATTCAAACAGCCCATTGCTTTATTTTCAAAAGGCTAGATTTAAAGATACGTATGATGCGAGTGCCTTGTATGGTATATAAGTTTACAAGTGCCAGTTTCTTACATGACACAAAGTCCACGCCTCATAACCAACCACAGTAACTTGACATAGGATCTAATTTTAAAATTGGCTTAAGGGGATATAGTTTTGCCTATGTTATCCTATATTTTGTAATTTTTCCAAGTTCATGGTATAATTTTATTTAATGTAAGATGATTGATTGTAAATTTTTGATATAACTTTCAGTACTGAAGTAGTTAATGTAATGGAAGACAGACCTGCTGGCCCTGTGAAAGCTTTAGGTAAGCAAAGATCTACATGTTGTGAAAAAGCTGTTACCAAGTATATTCTTGATATAGTGTGTATCAGCAGGGTATTTTTCTTAATCATTATCATATTAAGAATTAGTTTGTTTATCAGTATGAATGTTTATTTTGTCACTTAAACTTTTATTACTTCCCATTTAAGTTTGTTAGTTTGCATTCACTGTAGATAAGAATTGCTCTGATATATGTTTTATTTCTGTTATTGCAGTTCAGTCTTTCAAGTTGATGGCCACAAAAAACATGCTGCTGCTCAGCGTATGCTTTGCTTATACAGGTAATATCAGCCAAAATATACCCTATAAAGTTTATATATTGCTGGCCTCAGGCTTGTCCTAGAAGTTTTAACTAGCTTTGTTGTTATAATTTTTTCAAGTGGGTGATTAACAACAAGAAGGACAAGGACAGGAACAACAGTTTGGGGGGGGGGGGGGTTGATTTTGGGTGTTTAACATTCTTGGTAATGGATTATTGATAATGTGATTGTGACCTCACTTTCATATGTGCCTTACATAAGTTATGAAATGTCTGGAAAATGGCAACCACTGCATTATTATTATTTACTATATGTGTTATGTAAAGAATGGGTGTATAAAATATTTAGGAGTTGTGATGTAAACTAGTTTTTCCTGTTTATGTACAAGGAATATTTCTGATTGAATTATTTCCATCATGTTAGTCCAATAATTATTAAAAGCCTTTAGGCAACATGTAAATGCTGTCAATACATAAATATAATTTCTGTTTTATATCCAAGGATTGGAGTTAACCTTCTTCAGCGGAGTGTATGGGACAAGTGTATCCAATACCAAAATACTAAAAGACCCGGATGCTCTGATTGGGATCTGTGGAATGTTTATAGGTGCTGGAGAAATAATAGGTAAATATCTGGTAGAATTTTATATTGTTGTATATACGATGCATCTTTTTAGAGTATCTGTACAATGATGTGCTGTGTTGGCCTAATGAATTTTTCAAAAAAACTTAAAATGGACTCTGCTTTAAATGTACTTTACTTCTATTTTTGGTAAATTCAGAACGATTCAGCTCTTAGGTAGAATTTATGTTTAATTTCAGGTGGTGCGGCCTTTGGGCTGTTGGGAAAGAGAACCAACCGGTTTGGCAGAGACCCCATTGTTTTGTTAGGATTTCTGGTGCATACTGTGGCCTTCTTTCTCATATTCATCAACATCCCAGATATAGCTCCAATTCATAAAACTGAAGATGTGGCTTATTTTTACAGTGTATTTCCAAAGTGAGTGATTTAAAATGTACAGATATTTTAAGATATTAGATTTGGTTTCTTAATTTTTTTTTTTTTTTTCATTTTCATTTTGTCTCCACTTTGCACTCCTTCCTATCCTAATGTGAAGAGAGGCAGGTGTCACCTCTTATGCACCTGAGGTGGACACAGACCTGAATAATTTTCCACAGAAAAGCTTAGCAGTGTTCTGTTTGGTATCATGCATCACATAAATTTATGAATTTGATGGTCTGTTTATAAGTGTATTGTTATTTTTCAGCGAATACGTGGCAGTGTTGTGTGGTTTCCTGTTGGGATTTGGTGACAGCACCTTCAACACTCAGGTGTGTTCTCATATAGATTTCAGAAAAAATATGTTTACAAGTTGTGTTATAAAAATTACAAAATAGAATCATGAGATTAAACATGACAAGTAAACACCCAAAAGTAATGGAAAGAAAAAAGAATGTTTGTAATTCTTAACTTGTTTCTGCTATATTTGTAGGAAATTTCCCTTTGAATGAGTTGTACTAGAATTTATTGTACTGTTAGCTCATTTAACAACACTGATTTCAAATCTTTGAAAAGAGTGCTGTAAGATTGGATACACTTTTAAATTTCCATCAATGAGAATATTTCAAAATTCATTTTTCTGGTAACTTTTCAGATCTACTCCATACTTGGCTTCATGTACCCAGATGAGAGTGCCCCAGCCTTTGCCCTCTATAAATTTATGCAGGTAAAATCTGAAGAAGTTACTAATTTAGAATTAATGTTATAGTATAAATTGTTCAGATAGTAGAATGGTATTAATCCCTGACAGGATCTCTCATGATTTTCTTTAAGTCAGTAAGAAGATTTTACTCCTGAACTCCTAAAGTTAATTTCTGTGATGTAATTGAATAAGAAATATAACTTATATTTTCCAAAATGTTTCATGTTTCTAGTCTCTGGCTGCAGCTGTAGCATTCTTCTACAGTGACGTGTTAATGCTGAAGTGGCAGTTGTTGATTTTGCAAGTGATGTGCGTGCTAGGAAGTTTCTGTTTTTTCATCGTTGAGTGGGGTGCATCACATTTGCATGGACCTGGCATGTACACTTCTATTGATTGACAGGAGGTAAGGAAATAACAAATTGAGAAAATCATAATACAGAAATGTATAACAGGCCGGGCTTTTGATTCTATACTTATTTGAGGTGCACTAAGTCTTGTAAGACTTTGGAATGTTATAAGATATTAAACTTATTGTTTTTTTTTTAATATGGCTGTCTCAGCTGTTAATATATTTGAATTAAAAGAAAGAAATATTTTGGGGATTTTCTTACCTGTTGTTTTGTTCAATGTTTTAGGACTCTGATGACCAACTCTCTGAAATATATGATCAGGTATGAAAAGGCCGATATGTGTGGGCATTCTTTATGTGAAACTCATTAAACATGGGTCCTTATCAGAGGTGCACTGTTAACATTATGTCTTTATATGATATAAAATCTTTTATAGAAATTACAGTAAATTTCTTCTAATCACCAACTTGAAGGTGAACACTAACTAAAAACATGTTGAGAAAATTAAAATCTATAAACCTTTTTTGTTTTAGAGTATAACATTTTTCTATTTTTTGAGTCACTATTGTAATCAATATGGAAGCTTGTGAATTATTTATGCAAAAATTTTAATTTGAAACATCAATTTAGACTTTAGATAAATCTGTTGTCTTCTGGAATTTTGTCGTAACATTGTGTAATCATGTGTAATTTGTCAGCAAGCCTAATAGTGCTATAACCATTATGAATCATTTATGATGTATTCATAAAATAGTAAATTATAACTATGTGATAAACTTTGTGCACTGCTGCATGTGTTTTGTTTGAGGTATTGAAAATAGCTGGATAAATATTCTTATACATAGATAAAACCTATTAAAAGTGGAGGTGGTGTGTTTGGAATGTCTTGTGTATCGAATATTTGTGCTGACTCTTTCATATATTTATTATTTATATTTGTTCTTTATTTTTTTTAGTCTGGAGTCTTAAGAATTACTTAGAAATTTCACTTTCAACCTTTCCAGGGTGAAGAGGACCACTTATTGTGAGAAATTATTTAGAATAGATGAAATATAGAAAACATTTACCACTTTTTGTGTCCAAAAATAGTTTTAAAAAGTAGCATGGAGCCTTTATAACTTTATTGCAAAGACAACAACACCAGTAACTTGTGCCCAAGCTTGGAATCATGTCCTGTCCGTGGACTACTGGCATAAATAGAGAGACTTAAAATGAGTGACTGCCAAAGGAAAGTCACAGTAAATATTTATAGGCAAGAAAGTAAGTGCAAGGGTGACAAGAAGTGGTGGCTTCAATTGTGAATTTGTTTTCGAACAAAAATAAGGTGAAAACACTGTTGGGTATGATTTTTTAATGAGCATGGAATTGTTCAAATTTGGCAAAATGTTGATTAAAATGGAAAAATAACTGCCATATTTTGCTACAAATTTGCCCTTTTCTCCTTTAAAATTATATATAAAAATAAATGCAAGAGTGAAAAAGTGAATTGGTCAAAAAATTGGCCAAAATTGTGATATGAATGAGATTTTTTTGTGCAATTTATATAATGTTGAGAGTATAGTTCCTCTTGAGTTTTATCATATTGTATGTACTGAAGATTGTTTTGGCATCAGTGGTGGGTGCTGCAATAAATTGTCAGATCTAACTTATGTTTGAGTAAGTACTAGTTACAACAAGAGTCGTCCACTGTATGCGACATACAAGAGTGTAATTATATCGAGGCGCAGTCTGTAGGACGCATACAGTGGACGACGAGTAGTTGTAACTGACTTACACCACTGCTGGCATTTCGAACAATAGGATGAACACACCGAAGCATATGAAAATACAGGCAAGCCTTTATGGGAAATACAAATGCAATTATCCTTTTGTTCAAAGCACCAGTCTTGGTATAAGTAAATATGTAGTAACTGATCTTGTAAATCTGTCCAAATTGGTTTTTGTCTAGTCCTTGTCCTAATGTATTTTCTTTTAATCATTTAGTCTGTTTATTCATGTATTTTTGTTTTTTAGATAAACTAAACAATGACAAAAATCATCAACTCTTTTTGTCATACACCTGAAGATATTATCCATTCTATAATAACTATGGTTCTGTAGTAGTGAACTTTATTGTTAACTTGTAAATAGCTACCTTACTTTAGGGATATATACTTTTGCATAATGTACAAGGTCAAATAAAAATATGTACCAAGATTCAATTGAATTAACACATAAACAACTGTTCATATGATAATCCAAATATTGAAATCCACTTGTCCAGGAGCAATAATTGTGCTTCTCCTTGAGCACAATTTTTATTTTCAAATATCGAGAAAGAAGTAGCAACATCTTTCTTGTCTATCTCTCCCTAAAATTTATTTAAGTTGAACATTTCAATGAAAACAAATGTATAAGAAGATCTTAGTATTTATTTTAAGTCCCTACCTATTTATCTCATACTTACCTGAAATCTGTGCAAAAAACTGAAAGAAAAAAGAGAAACTAGTTCTTCAAAAATTTTTGTAGTTTATCCAGAAGAGCTACTTTTGATCAGTAAAAAATGTCAATGTTCTGTAAATAAGATTACTTAGATCATACTTTATCTCAGAATTACTGATAAGTATGATCTAAGAACAGCAGAAGATATTGGAGAAAAATATGTTTTAAAATGTAGTAGAAGTTAAATTTCCTAATGAATGTAGATTATGGTAGCTATAGTTTTTCTCCATAATGGCATTTAGTCTGCGTCATCAATATCACTTTAATGTTATGTAAATAAGACATCTCATTGTTGGTGATGAGAAAAATGTTATTTATGTGGAAATACAACACATTTTGGTTATAATTTTTATGTATACAACATATTTATCCAAGGTATCCATATGACATATCTTTACACATAATATTAAGTTATTACGTGGGCTTTTATTCTATTTGTGCCTCTAAATTGGGGAACATCAAGCATTTGAGGGCACTATAATAAGATAAACAAAAACAAGGGTGTACTTGATAGTAATTATCCAATTAAACTGATATACATTCTGTTGATATTTTGTACAGAGTACATTCCACCTTGCTCTTCATAGAAAAAGTTTAGTTTTGGTTTATCACAATCCAATATTGAAAAATGTATTATTTATTTATTTTTATTATTATCATTATTTATTATTTTTGTATTAACTGAATTTTATGAAATTTGTGTAACTATAATCTTTGCACAACTCCGACAATTTTTTTGGTCCCAAGGAGTTGGAATACTAGTCTTCTGTATATGAATACTTTGCAATGTGTACAGGTTGGGTTATGACTTTCTCTGGTTGCAGAGTTTACTTCCTACAACTATTACCACAGCAGCTATGCCAACAGCATAAGTTTACTGGAATGTAATGTTTTCAAAGTGATTTTTGTGTATTTTTATTATTATCCAAAATAAACTGATCAATATGCATTACACAGAGACCTGTTTTGTAAACTAATGCAGTGTTATATTCTGATAACAAGTCTTTTTTATTTGGATTAATTATTGCAAAATATTCTTATGAAATTACAGTGTAGGATTACCAAAAATTTAAAGAAATCTGACATAAAATTTTCATATGAACTGCAGCATATTGTAGGATATTGCTTTTCTTCAACATTGTCTTTAAAAAACAAAAAAAAAAGATCTGGACCCAATAATAAAAACTGTGGGAAAAATATGTCTCAGTTTTTAAAATGTTAGAAAATTAAGAATATTAATCTTTCGACCATTAAACTTGGGCTTCGTTCACATGGAAAGTCTATTTTCTAAAAATCTATTTTCTATTCGCGGTATCTTATGATCATGGTGTGTGCCCTGAATATCCCGCAGCGTAATTACTAGCAGCGCGAGCCAGTTACTTATAGCATATTCTATTCACAAGATATACCGCAAAGATATACCGCGAATAGAAAATAGATTTTTAGAAAATAGACTTTCCATGTGAACGAACCCTTGCTTGGCTATACCACAGGTAAACAGGTCATAAAACACTTTCTACTGGTTCAGTTACAACACAGTAACAATGGTTTCACATCCCGGCACTAAGTTCAAAGCATACACTTTTCAGATTAACTACAACACATAACAGTTATCAGACAAATACTGTGATGCGCAATAAATCAATAAGCCAATTAAAGTTGACAAATATACAGCTCAGAGCCTGTATCAACTTCAACTACAGCACACATCATGATTATATTATTGTTCCTGGCAAATGTATACAATTAAAGGAAATTCCAGTTATTTAAAAGATGCGTCTTTTACATCAGTGCCTTAACATGAAATGCAAACAAGTCTGGTAATGGCTGTCCTGCTCTAAAATTGGCAACTGAACATGTCATTTATATATACAAAAATACCATGGTGCTTTATTTCTCTGCCAAGGAGATGAAGCATTTCCATTTCCTGATTTGTTACTTATTAAATTCTTCACTCAAAAATGGGTTGATTTTGATTAAATTTGCAGGTTATGTAAGAAATGGGCTATCTTAGAATGGTTACATTAAATATGCTAAAAATCTGTTCATGAAATTATGAATAATTTTAAAAAACAATAATTGAACTGCCTTGGCAGGGGACTGCACTCTATGAACACTTTCCTTGTATAAAAATGATCACACATGCCCCTGCATAAAAACTATATCACTTCAGTTCAATGTAGATGGTTAAATGAAAATCTGTAATGTATGTACACATGTGTACAAATGTATATGTAACAAAACGCTGTCTTCTGTGTAGAGCAATTTTGTCATCATGATGTCAAGAAAGAAGTAATAATACATCATCCATGGGACCCTGCACATGTCTTATTCTCTGGGCTTTCTTCTGAAACTTGTTTGAATCACACTTTCTCCATTTTGGTTCTTAAGTGTGACGCTGTAGGAAGGACTTGTAATACACTTTCCAAATGGAGAAGTCTTCTGAGGGAGATCACTTTAGGCAAACTGGGCTATCAATTGAGTGTAGATCCTTTCCCTTCCAGTACATCTAAAAATGAAAGAATTGTACACCAGTATTTTAAATTTGATACATTAAAACAAAAATTTGGTTGGGCCTTTTGGGGCCAACATCCTCTAAATACATGCAAAAAAACTTTCCTAAAATTAATGACATCATGCTGATTTTTAAAAGGAACCAGACTTGTTAAAACAAAAAGCAACTCAATAATTTGAAGTAAAACATAAACATAGTTTGGCACTTATGGGGCGAACATTCCGATAAAACATGTAAAAAGAAAAAAATCAATTACTTTTGTAAAAATTATCCCATCATTCTGATTTTCAAAAGGAACCTTTTAACCAAATATTGCTACTCAGAAAAATTAAAGTAAAGAGGCTGTTATACAGTTATAGGGACTGATGATTCAGACGAGGAGAATATATGCAGACTCTTTCAGTCTTGAGATTCTAAGATTATAATGCTGAAAATTCTGTATGCCATCATTACTAAAGTAATATCATGAATACAAATTATTTTCAATTTTTATTGTTACAAATGTACAAAGCTGTAAGTAAATGGACAACAATTACAAATGAGCCTTTTTCTGAATGAGCTAAAAAATCTGTTATAAACTAGTACCTGCACATCTATTTTGATTCAGTCCCCTTAATGCTGTAATTAGTCCATCCACACTGGCCTCTCGTCCCTTACGCTCACGCCAGGTAGTCAGCATTTGATACACTTGCTCTTTTAAATTTCTGCTATTTCGGTATTCTATATCTGCAATATCAGATTCTTCAAGTCCTAACTCTCTGGCTAGTGACTTCCAGCCCAACAGGTTGCCATAGTACTTCACTGTTAACTGGAGTGTTTTGTGGTTTAAAACTGGAAGAAAACAGTGATAAATAACACTAAATGCATTAATTCACTGAAATCTTTTAAAACAGCCCAAAATCATCATAATTCTTTTTTTTCATATTAGTTCAAGTGGAAAAACAGCCTACAAAACTACTGTGAAGATGGTTCTCAACTGAAACACTGATCGCATTCACAACGAGTTGAGCCAGGCTTTACAAATCCTGGGGACTAAATATGGCGGACGTACATGAAAGAAAAACCGCCTAATCTTTTAACAGTCTCTCCGCCTCTCACATGCCTCCCCATGTGTCGTCCCAATGGAGCCGAGATTTAATGACTGTCCCCCCCGCAGGGACGACGTGTGGGGAGGCGTGTGAGAGGCGGAGAGACTATTAAAAGATTAGGCGGTTTTTCTTTCATGTACGACCGCCATATTTAGTCCCCAGGATTTGTAAAGCCTGGCTCAACTCGTTGTGAATGTGATCTTTGTTACCAGTATATCAGACCTCATACTACAAGCTGATCTTCAACATACCTTCACATTTTTCTTTTGGTAATTCTTCAGGAGTCATGTACATATTTCTTAATCTCTCTTTCTCTTTTAGTTCTGTTAAATCTGTGTCCTCCAGTGCTCGAACTAGCCAATAGTAATTCTCTCTCAGTGACTCTATAAATAGTCTATAAGCCTTGGGTCCTCTGCAGGTCAAAATGTCCAGCAAGGCACAAGCCCTGTCTCTAGCGGTGGCCTGTATTGTAATCCTTTCAGCATCATCATCACTTAAAGCTCCTTCTTGTATAAGAAAAGGAAGAATATCAGACACTCTCAGGTCTTGGACAATGGCTACTCTATTTTTTCTGAGTATAAACCTTTCCGTCTCATTCATTTTGTCTTGCTTTAAATATCTTTTTTAAAACCTAAAAAACAGAAAAGATGTATGATGTTATGTATAGTTTGACATAGATGAAAGCACTTCAGTACTGTCTTTAATGCATAATACGTGTATTTATCTAAAGTAGACAACTTGTTACTGGGGAAGTCTTGTAAAATGAATAAGAAACTTTGTTGGTCTTTAACTGGTACTTCTTAAAAATTAAATACTCAGTACCCAGTATCTTACGTAGTTAATATCTAAGATTATTCAAATGAAGATTTTATAGATTGCATCCATCAATTAAATCTGCTCCCCTGAGATACAGATGTGGTAATTTTAATCTAAACAAAAGGTATGAGTATTGCTGCTGTATCTAAATTGACTGCCTGTATAACCACTTTCACTTTCAAACTTTCAGTTAAAGTTAGTCATTTATTATAAATAAATCTTACCTTCAAGATTTCGAATTATTCCACCGATATTCTATCTTGTGTTGGCTATGTTTAAGTCAGATTCAACTGCTTTCAGTCTTAATTATCACAGATGACAGTAAATAGCAATGTCTGGTGACGCTTCTATTAAACTCCTATTTTGATGTTTGACACAGTTGAGAACAGTGCATTTCAACGTTATTTTTTACATGACTTTGGGCATAAAGTTTGTTAATGAACATTAAATCATGCTGTACAATGCTTTGTTTAGTGGGGCCAATAAATTTCTACTTTCAGAAATCCTCGGTACTAGTATAAAAGTGTCAAAGTCGACACGCTTTTTCACATTCCAGTTTCCAACCTACCTATATACATCAAGAGGACTCTGGGACATTAATGGAAACATCCGGCGGAAGTACCACGTCCTCACGCACGCATGCGTCAGTTGCCAACCTGGAAGTGTAGGAGGGATGGATTATTTCCGAAATTTGGTAGCCCCACAGGGGGGTGCTCAACCCACTGGTGCAGAAACGGTACGAGTTTCATTTGTCTTTATTATGTGCACTCGTCGGACATTGTTGCTTCATACTGTGCACTGTCTTATAGTGATATCCACTGTGCAAACACGGTGTCATATGCCGATGCTCCAAACTATCTATCTACAGTATGTGGCTAATGTAAATGTAAATGTTGTATTATATTAACTGCGCCCCCATTCTCAGAACAGTTGAACCAAGTGTCAGTGTGCTGTGAACAGTATAAACTCTTACCAGAACTGTATAAGATTTTTTCACATTCATGTGGTACTGTACGATCTTGTAAATGTTCTACAGCTGCATTTACGTGTTACTTGATATGATANTATAAATATTGCGCATCAAATAAACTATACTTCGCATGGTTTAATTTTCATGATTTTTTTACATAATATTGCAAATTTCATAAACTTTATTCGATATAAATTTTAAAAAACTGAAACCAGTACTTCCCTGACATTTTTGAGCATTTTGTCGAGGCAAAACTTCAAACACCCTGAACTGAAACTTCTCAAAGACTGCAACACGGGAAAATCACGTGACCGGATTTTACTCTTTGATTTACAGCTTATTTAGTTAATGGCTTGTATTAGTTTTTTTACGCGGCGCTAAAAGAGAGATTTAAAAAAGGGGTGCCATAGGCGAGCTGTCAGCAGGCCGACTTCAGTTTTACACTTCACTGCCACTGGACAGTTACGACTGTAGCGCCCCTAGCGGATTGTGATATACCTATATTATGTAAAGAAATTACTAGAATTGCATTTCATATGGAAACAAATGATGAATTGAATTACATATGGATGTACCATCAGATCTCTTTTACCTGTTGTAACAGTAATGAAATTTGCCAATCATCTGTGTGATCAGTATGTGTACATTTTAACTCATGAATTGTAATATCTTTCAGAAATTTAGGCTTGAAGTGGGCACACAGTCCATGGAAATACTCACAGATGTCTTACAAAAAGATAGGTAAGGAAACAGAAAATTGTATTTTCTCTCATTGAGAAAGGTTATGGGTTGCATAACCATAACCAATAATGACTGCAATGAATGAGTAGTTTTCAAGTCAATTGCGGCTTGTCATGAAGGGAAAATGATATATAAACAATGGTATTGAACTAGAAGTAAACATTTAACAATTTAAAAGTGAAAATTTGTGAAAATTTTTGAAATATTGTTTCAGGTCAGATGCAGAAATAATGGGTTATGCCTTGGATACACTATACAATGTCACATCTAATGAACCCACTGAAGAAGGTAAAGTGTATGTCACCCCACCCATCTACCCGCCCACCTCCACCCCCAACTGGCTGAGCACCTGTAGAACATGCAGTCAGCAAGTAACATGTTGACACCTGGCAGATCTTTTAAGGCTGGGGGGAAGATTGTTTTATTCATAAAATATAGTCTACAGTGTCATGAAATATATGTTTAAAGTTGTTGAAAAAAATGTACTTCATCTGACTATAAATGCATAAAAGAAAAGGGAAACAGATGTATCCACTTTGTCAGTTTGATTTTTTTCCTATTTTTATATTTAAATAATTTCAGAGGATGAGAATGCAACATCAGAAGACCTTGGTGGGATGTTCACAGAGATTTTTATCAAAAAGCCAGAGAATGTTTCCCTTTTACTCTCTTTGCTAGAGGTTGGTATACTATTAAAAAGGATGCTCTGACATTAATAAGTGACACTGATAGTATTAAATGTCTGGCATTGATTTTTTTGTACAATAGCCTTTCAACTTTTGGTAAGAATACTGATTTTCTGAGAATGTTAGGCCTACCAGTCTTGATGGATATGTTTTTTTTTGCAGAAAATTTAACTGTTTTTGGTCTGGCAGTAGCTACAGTTTAAGAGTCAAAAATTTAAATTTAAGCAAAAAGACCTGTATGACAAATTTTTCATAACTTTTGTTTCAAAAATTGAGCTGTTATATAAAATTTTTAGATGTCTTAAGATTCAACTCACTATCTACATGTGATGAACGTAGTAAAAAGACTCACCAGAGTTTGCACATCACATTTACATCTACTATCCAGGAGTATGACTTCCATGTTCGCTGGCCCACAGTCAAGTTTCTTACAGCTTTATTAAGTAATAAAACCAAGGAGGTGCAGGAGATCGTGCTAGTCAGCCCCATGGGCGTATCCAAATTGATGGACCTCCTCTCAGACAGCAGAGAAATAATCAGAAATGATGTAAGTACCATGCATTGAATTTTTCAGACTTAAATCAGATTTTTGTTGCCAGTTTTACACCTTACATACCCCCCCCCCTTTTTCTAATCAACACGATATCATGCCTGAAGTACAAATTTAAGGATATAGTGCAAACAGATGGTAGATGGCCTTCAGATGGCAAAATAGTCATTGGATAAATGAATAATGTAAATAGGATATGTAGTGTAAAATAGCACATGGTTAACTGAAGTGTTTGGTTTGCAGTATGTTATTTTGAAAAATGAGTATTTTCAGTACAGAATTTGAAAGTTAGATTTGTCTTACTAGAGCATTATTTTTGAGTCTCTCCTAGCTACACAGGGATTTTACAGTTCAGCTTGAAAGACTTATCATTTACTTTTGAGACAATTCAACATCACCAAATTAAGATTATAAACCATGCTGTGTATTTCAGGCACTCTTGCTGCTGATACAGTTAACTAAAAACAATGCCAATATTCAGAAGATTGTTGCATTCGAGAATGCCTTTGAGAGGCTGCTGGAGGTCATATCTGATGAAGGAGCGACTGATGGAGGTGGGTCTGCTGCACATTCTCAAAAGCAATTGTGGATGAAATATTACCTATTTAAAGCTGGCTCACTTTAGGACAACATTGGTTTTAGTCTAGTAGCTGAATTATTTGAGACGGATTAGAAAATGTCACTAAATCTTTGATAAATTTGAGAAAAATGAGTAAATATTTTCACATTTTCCAGTGTCCAATTAAAATTTGTTCAGTATTTGGCTTTAATTTACAATGGCAGCACGAGTCCTTAGCAACCTTATATTTTTTAATTGACATCCTTTCAGACTGCACTTTCATATTCATATGTATGACTGCATGTTTTATTAAGTAATTAAAAAGCCAAAGCCATAACTTCAATTTAGACCAGCATCTCTTTAAACTCATTTTGATAACATTCTTATTTTAGGCATAGTGGTAGAGGACTGCCTCCTGTTACTCTGTAACCTGCTAAAAAACAACACTTCCAACCAAAACTTCTTCAAAGAAGGCAGCTTCATCCAACAACTGCCCAGGTTCTTCAGCCTGGACTCGTCCAGAGAGGCTGACCAGGTTGGCTGGTCAGCACAGAAGGTGACCAATATGCATTTGTGTCTCCAGGTGGTGAGGACCCTGGTCTCTCCCAGCAACCCCCAGCAGCACACCGCCATGTGCCAGAAAGTGATGAACCAGTGTGGTATGTAAAACTTCCACAGGTTTTTATTGAAAAACTTAAGTCCAAAGCTAATCTTTACTTTAAGAAGGAAATTTATGTTTAACTTCTATTCTGGATAAATGTAGCTGTAGTTGTTCACTGAAATAAGCAACTAATGGTTTACAAAAATAAGTTACTTCCTGATAAACGATCAATCCCAATGTTTTCGTTAAATAGAGTATTGCTGATTTCTTTGGAGTCCAAGTTGAACAAAATTATTGCCTTGAAAGTTAAAGTCCAGTTTCAACTTTTGCTCTTTTACAAATGCAAAGTTGTTTATGTCAGAAAGGTTAACCTCAATATCTTTGTGATGACCTGTACAGCTGTGCGCGTGTGTTCCTGTTAAATGCCTGAGCCTCATATCTGTCTGTAATGTTTTAGGACTGTTGAAGCAGTTATGCAGTATCTTAATGGCAAGTGGAGTTCCTGCCGATGTTCTCACAGAGGTATTGTTTAGGACTTATATGATGCCACTTCTGGTTAACATTACTAATGAACAGAAAACTCTTTGTCCATTTACTTTCATTTACTCAAATTCTACATTTCTGTTAGTGTTAATGCAGTGTACCTCACAGTCCTTTTAGTAAACCTCTAGTTTATTTTTATTTCATTTTGAAATTGAACCAAGTGATTTTAAAACTTTTGTAATTATTGATTTTTAAACTTTTATAATTATTGATTGTATCTATGAAATGTTTTTAGACAATAAACACAGTGTCAGAGGTCATCAGGGGGAACCAGGCCAACCAGGAATTTTTTGCATCTGTGATGGCACCATCCAACCCACCAAGGTGCAGTTTTTATTAGTTTTTTAAATTCTTTATTTTCAGTTTTCTTTTTTAGTATTTAAAATCTTTGGAATTTTTTAAAAGTTTTTGATTATTTTCATGAGTCAGCATCGAATCGTCAGTTACACTTTTATATATTTATTATTCATTTGTCTGTCCATTTGACAGCTTTTCTGTCTTCTTTATATTTTGCAGGCCAGCCATTGTAGTGCTGTTGATGTCCATGGTTAATGAAAAACAGCCATTTGTCCTGCGCTGTGCAGTGCTATATTGTTTCCAGTCATTCCTCTACAAAAATTCCCTTGGCCAATCCCAGATCATCACAACTCTCCTTCCAACTTCAGCAGACGGTAAGAAAGGGGCTCACTCCATTCTTTTTATTTCCACTGAATATTTTGTTCTAGCAACCCAATACTTATGACTGTAACCAATAGAAAACTAGCTTAACAATTTAACAAATTTACTTTTCAAGCTCTCTCCCATGTTAACATCTGCAGACAATCCATACTCCTGAATTACCTACTTTTACTGGATTATTTTGATCTAAAATGGAGTTTCTTTTTAAAATTATTCTTTTTTTAATTAAATCAATTATTTTAGTTAACAATAGGGTAGAGCAAAACGTCAATCTTTTTCTAAAACTAAAACTCATCAGAAGAAATAAAATTATCATAATTCATTTGTCATATAAACATCATTTTTTAGAAAAATGTATATTTTTGTGACAACCTTTTTTTTAAGTGAGTACTGCTGTTGTATTTCCAGTTGTTGAATTTTTCTCCAATCTTGTTTTTAGTGAATACCATCACAGCAGGTCAGCTACTGTGTGGCGGGCTATTCAGCACAGATGCTGTCTCCAACTGGTTTGCCTCAGTGGCCCTCCTCCATGCTATAGTGGACAACCCCATTCAGAAGGAGCAGTTGCTGAGGGTCCAGCTAGCCACAAATTTAGGAAACCCTCCAGTGTCCCTGCTACAGCAGTGCTGTAATCTGTTAGCTAAGGTCAGTGTTAGTTTCTGATGGTAGCATGATAGTCTGCAGTGCCACTGAATGGATCAGAGTCAATTGAATTGTGGATTTGGTACCCACTAGTAGAAATCTTACTAAAATTTACAAATGTTCCAGTCTTCTTAGACTAGTGGAATTTTCTTTATTTGTCTTAGATTATTCTTAACTCTCTTCTTAAAATTCCATCTTCAATGATTTTGATCCTAACAAGTGGTTTACATTGTACAAATGACCAGATAGTTTAAAGCATAGACTGGTATTGAGAAATTAGCTTTAAGAGTAAAGTTTCAAAATACTGCCTACACAAACACATGCATGCAGGTGCCTGCACGCAATCACACTCTCTCTTTAACTAATTAATGTTAGTTTAACTAGCTTACTTACATGTTATTATTTTCCAGGGTGGTCAGCTGCAGACTCGCGTGGGACTGCTAATGTTGATGGGAGTATGGTTGTCAGACTGCCCCATAGCTGTGTCACATTTTTTACACAACCCAGCAAACGTGCCTTTTGTATCCTTGTCAGATATTGATTGGTTGCCGCTGCTGTGAAAAGGAGCTTCTGAAAAATGTGCATGTGGCTTAACTTAGAAAGACCATTGCCTTACAAAGAAAGAGCACTGTAGTTTTTGTAGAATTGTCTAATGTAGGAAGGAAAGTTATATTTGAATTAAAATCATTATGATTGCATTTTTATGATGCAGTAAAGGAACCCTATAGTATTCTGACATTTTGCAAAATGAGACCATTTCAACCAATTATTTAATTATATTTGGACCATAAAGTAGTGTTGTAAATGAGATGTTGTCGCCCTCTGGAAATGTTGCTCCGTCTATTGTGTGTGTGTGTTTCCCTAACGATGTCTGTAGCTGATTTCTCAGGTGTCAGCATCAGAGGGGGATGAGCAGGAACTTCTGGTGCAAGGACTCTGTGCATATCTGCTGGGGATATGCTTGTGTTTTAATAATGAAGATGTGCAAAATTTTGACAAGTGAGTGTCTGACAGTGAAATGTTTGATTTTCATTTTTATTGGTACTATTTATTAAACAGCTTAATTGTACAAGCACCATGATTAATGTTTTAATGGTAAATGTTTTTCTTTCCCAATTTTGTTGAGTTTCAAATTTTGTTAAAATGTCATCATGCTCTTATATGATAGCACTACATACACATAGTTTGTCTGGATATTTTTAGACCCTCATTACAGCAAGTAATAGAAAGGAGGATAGGATTAGAAACATTTACAGATAAACTAACACAAGTTCCGAAGTATGAAAGCTATAATAAGGCAGCCAAGAAACCACAGTTAACCCACAAACACCCCAGTGAAGTTTTATTTGATTTTGAATTCACAAGGCATTTTAAGGTCCTAGAAAGTAAGTAGAACCCTGTTGTTGTCATTGAATTTGTTAGTCAAATCGTTTTTCTCTGGTACATAAAAATGTTTCATAATTATGTTAAATGATTTGTATTAACTGTTATGACCTCCAAGATTATATCCTTATGGCCAAATTATGATGTTTTCGTATAACAGTATAAATGGACTTAAATACAAATGAATAAAACATAAAAATGTATATAAATATACATAGTTATCATCTATGGTATCAAAGGCAAAAGAAAAATAAAGAAATTATGAAAATAATCCCCTGATGCAAGTGATTCTTGTGTTTCTAAAATGATTGTTGCATATATTCTAGATGATATAGTGAAAGCTGTGCAACTGGACCACAAAGAAGAGAAGAAGAAACAGGCAAACATAGAGCAACACGACAGCATAGTGGCTCAGTATAAAGATTTGATAAAAGAACAGGTCAGTCGCAATGTTTACCCTCTTAGTTTTCTATTATCCATTTAAACTAATGGTTGTTTATTTCACTGTATTTCAGGCTTACAGGCCAAGAGTACATCAGTTGAGTTCTATTTATAATAATACTAAGCTGACTACACAGGAATATATATCATAAACAACACAAATCACTTATTTAAAAAAACATCTCTTAATTTCTCAGCATGATATATGAAGGCCAAAAGTCTTTTTATAAAGTCAACATTATGTGATGACAGAGCAGTCACTAGTGACAATGTTCTAATCTCGGGAATATAGCGTTCCCTCAGACCGTTATATAAACTACATGACATTAACACGTGTTCCTCATTCTCAATAATATTGTTATGCCATCAGAAAGGCATGCAGCACATACTCTATTTTCCCCATCTACACTGGCATACCGACCCTTCTCAACCTGTAAATTGTGGTTTGATATTCTGAACTTGCAGTAGGCCCTTCTATGCTCTGCTATGGACACAAAAGATAAGTATTCCTCAAATACCAAATCTAGTTTAAATGAGCTGTGGGTCCTTAGCTTGCCTGATTCGCGTACTGAGGAATACCAATTCTGCCTTCTTATATCCATTAATCGTTGTCTAAACTGTTCTGTAAAAAGTGGCCTCACCCACAAAATTGATTATCATCTTTTTGTCTGTCAAGCGGTTACAATTGATTGGCTTAAAATAAACATCATAGACGTTAACTTGAGTCAAGAAAAAAAATGTGCTTCATTTACAGTATTATATAAAAATGAAAGTGTAGTTTATAACCTGATTTTCCTCTATAAACTAGATCCCTTGGCTTTACAATTTACACCTGTTCTTTGTAGACATGCTTTGTTTTTCTAATGAATTTTATGGATAGACAATACATGTTGACATGTAGCCATCACCTGTTCTATCATCACTTGTCATTTTTGTCGATATGCACTTTCAGGAGTTTTGCTTATTTTATTCCAGTGGTTTAGAACTAGTTTTACATTTATTATATTTTTTGTGTGTGAAATAGGATGAAGAACTTTCTCGGGTCAGAATTCGATTGAAAGAGGTTGAAGCAAAAAATGCAGAAGCTGAACAACAAATGAAGGAAATGAAGGAACAGATTCAGCAAGTGAAGGATCAAAATGCATTGCTCAAGGCTTCCAAAGGTTAGTTTCAATTTAGAAATACCTCATTCTTTCAGGAGTCTTCAAAGCTCCTCTTAACAAAAGAAAAAAAATGAATATATTGTATGGTAATTCTTTAATAAACCTGTGGATAAATGCTTGTCTTGGAATTATATGAAGTATTATGTGCTAGTTCATGAACTTTTGAATATGCACATTGCACTTTGTGGAATCAAGTTGCACATGAACCTCCAGAGAAAAATTAGATATGCACCATGAAGGATTAACAGAAATGGTAACATCACTGGGCTAAGCTGGAAAATATTAATTTTCAGTATGGTTAAACTCAGTAGATCATGTATTTTTGCTCCATCTTACAAGAGGTGTATGTTTCATTCAAGGCTCTTTAACCAACCAAAATGAAGTAGGAAAAGTCAATGGTTCTGATGAAGTGGCCAGGCTACAAGAGTTAGTGGAGACACAGCAAACAGAAATAGAGGAAAAGAACCAAACAGTAGAAAAATTGGTGAGGGACAAATTATTTCAACACATTTAAGTGTATTAGACACCAGTTTTCAAGCTAATCCATTCTACCATTGGGTACTAATTTAAGAAAAAAATTGCATGATATTAGTATCGAGTTACTAATTTTAGTTCATTACTATTTCAGAAAAATGAGTTAACTATAGCTGAAGCAAAAGTGTTAGTCCAGAATGGGGAGGGGTCCAGTGGAGAGCAGGACCCTGCAGACAGTGCAGTATTACAAGCTACAGTCAACAGGGTGAAAGCAGACATGGAGCAGTTGCAGCAGTCTCTGGCAGCAAAAGATACAGAATTAACAGACATGAAGCAGAAGTTTCATGAGGCTGAAAAACAAATTTCTGAATTGGTATGTCCAAGGAAAACATTGTAGTTAATTAGTGCAGAGGTGTACTGCACGTGTTTATGTGATAAGTATATTTGTTGCTTTGTAAGTTAAGGAGAAGCACCATTACAGTATATTACTTTAAAGCTTACAGTGTGTGTAAATAACTGTTTACTTTTGTCTTTTTACAGAGAGAACAGGCATCACAGAAGCAACAGACAGGTTTAGATGGAACTGCTGTTGTTGCTGAGAAGGATGCCATGGTGACCCAGGTCACTGACTTGGAAAGACAGCTGGCCATGCTGGAGGACCAAAACAAGAAAGTGTGTGAAGAGAAGACATCTTTGCAAGAGAGGCTGAAGAAGGCCAACCAAGACAACCTGAACCTCCAGGAAAAGCACAATGTATTAAGATATAATTTTTCCACTTGTGTTTGGATGTTACATAGTTACTCCTCTCCTGTTTTCTGAATGCAGTGTTTTGTTCAAAAATTCCAATACTCAAGCTTTTATCCTTAACAACATGCATATTATTCTTGTTTTCCCTTTTAGATTGTATCCACACTTGCTTCAATTTGATGTGTTCAAGTTTCACTCCATAATGATATTCTGTCAGCACCTGTAGTTATTATTCACTAATGGTTTGCATGTTGCAGTTTACAAAACAAATATAAGTGTTGTCCATGTGCCTGGCATGCTATTGCATGGCCTTTGTGAAGAGTTTTCTATTGTTTATTGTAGCAGTGCTTTTCTACATAGTTTGTGATTTATATACCTACACCTTTGACAACTGTTAAAATGAGCATACTTTTGTATCCTTGAACTTCATGAAAAATTTGAGATTTTGATAGACATATTGCAAGGCTTTTCTTTATATTTTACCAGATATGTTTTCTGGGTAAAATGTTGATAATTTATTCTCTGTCTTGTGACTTATTTATTTTTTGTACAATTGTGATAGTTTAACCATATCCCACCAAATGATGATGAACTGTATTCCATAATGGTGCTAAATGAGAATATTTTCATTTTAATACACTTATTTAGAGCAAAGCTTAGTAGACTTATAATGTTGCATGCTTTTGAATATGAAATTATATTCATTTTTCTGAAATTTATATTTCAAATTTTATATTTCTCTGTTGGCATAATAAATGGAAGGTGAAGGCATTTTGTTAAATAATAATTATTTAAGTAAGATTGGGTAATTTATTAATTTCATTGGTAGAAAATACTGGAAGAAAACAAGAAAATGGAACTAGAAAGAAATGAAAAAGAAGATGAGGTCAACTCTACAAAGAAAGAAATGGAGGACCTCCTGGTGCTGCTGGCTGACCAAGATACCAAACTCTCTGAGTATAAGAAAAAGTTAAAAGGGCTTGGAGAAAAGGTAAGTCAATAGCAAGTGCAATGAGGAGGAGATAAGAATATAAGGGCCTTGGAGAAAACATCATTGTGCCCTGTTAATAATAATAATAATAACATGAAAATACTAGAAAGCTAATCTGGGATATGTCCTTCTACCATCTATCATTTGATTACCCTAGTGACTTCTCACATAGCCATATGTTGGTGTATGTGTGTAAGGAGGGAGGGGGAGTCCTGTAATCCATTACAAGGTATAAAGTTAGAGAGTTTGAACTCTGCAAAAGTTTTGAAAGATAACTTACCAATAGATTGGTTATTTTATAATTTTTTTGATGGATAAACCTTATCTGATTCAGATTGATGACGACGATGATGATGATGATGAAGACTATGATGATGATGATGACGATGCAGAAGATGAAGAGGATAAAGAATGATACAAAGGTTGAAAATGTAGACATTTTTGTTGGCCTTTCAGTGAGAAAAGGGACTGTTTTAACAATGGGTTGCCATGAAGACCAGAAAATTGAAAAAACAGCATGAACAGAATGAAAAGAACTGCACTGATATAAGGTTTCCCTTAGAAACAATTTTTTTAAAAAGTAGGGCAACCTTGGCAATTCAGCTAATTGTTTGTTTTTTTACTATACATTTGAAGAGATTAATATGCATGAATTTAATTATAGGCTTCAATCAGGAAATGATGTTTGAATGCTGGAAAAAATTAACTTATAATAAGATGACCCATTGGCTGTACATTACATTTCTGGACAAGGTTTTATGTATCTGACCCATAAATTTAGTACCAAGCATTTTGATATTCCGTGCTTTCACCATATCAAGACTTAATTTATGACTAAGTTTATATCGTTATTGTTATGTTCTGTGTGTATCACTGGATAACGTTTTAAAGGTTTGTTAGTGTTTTTAATGAATATGTTCAAGGTTTATGATGAAATCCGTCAGTTTTGATGTAAAAAAGTGAAATGGACAGATATAAGGAGGATGGATATGGGGGAGGCTGTGTTGTATACAGCATTTGGTGCACCTGGCTAGAAGATTTACAAGTGCTAAATGAGTTTCAGCTGTTATGTGTAATTGGTGAATGAGGTGAATTCTAAGCATAAATGTGAATTTGGAATGTAACACCAGTTAGACTATTGCTTCTGACTTCGGAAAATATATTACTGTGAAAAGACAGTGTAACCCCACTGGTATACTTGTGATATCAAGAATGCATTAATAATACATTCTTTATACTATTGACAAGCTATTTCTATTGTGTTTAGGTGTTGAAAATCATATTTGGAGCAATATATTAAAGAATGAGAGGCGGGTGACAGTTGCCCCTCAATTATTGGAATTGTAGTAATTTCTTTGCACGGTTAGGTCAAGATGAGCTGATCCACACTGTGTATAATAGATAAATAAAAAAGATTCTGGCATTATAGACTCTGTATGTTTGCTTACATTTAGAATAAATTACCCCCTACCCCGTGACATCTAATTTAAACCACCCAGTGACAACACCAATTTAAAAGGTTTGTGTGAACTAAGCCATGTGAACTTTTGAGTCCCCTCCCCATTTCAAGTTTTTCGTTCTTCCGATTTGAAACTGATCTGTGTGAAATAAAGTGATATAGGGTTTGGGTCACATTGATATGTACAGGTAAACCACATCATAATTTTTAACCCACTTTTAAGACTTAAAAGTCGAACTATACGCATATAAATTAATGGAGAACAGACTCTATTACATGGACCCTTATATTAGGGCTGAGTGTACTCACGCCATTCACCTGTTTATTTGCTCATTGTAACGGGGAAAGGGGCACAATATTTCCACAAATTATTTCCACATCTTCGGCGACTATATATTTTCTTATGCGTAAACGCAAAATTTGCTGAGAAAATACATTTATTTGTGATAGTCAGACCATTCCATATAATGCCACCCGTCAATCTCGATAGATGGCAAATGGTTTTACAGATATAAACATGAAATATGAATAATGCAATTTTCCACGGAGGTGTTATCCTTCCAGTGCTTATAAAGAAGGTGTTAGATTAATTACTGAACAATAATAAGGATGATCGGTAACTTCTAACTACCCGAATACATGCGTATCGATTACATTTAATAATTCATAATAAGGAAATAGTAACAACGTAGTATAAATCGGTATCACAATCAATATGAGCAAAGAGGAGTATTTAGGAACTCCACTTTTCACAACAAACGACCCGTGATATATATACTAGTATATAAATATATACTAGTATATATATATATATATATATATACACGGATATTTTATAACGAAGTCCTCCTTCCATCCAGCTGACGCTAAACCTGCATTTAGATTCATGTCAGTTTTTGAACATAAAAAATGGAATCTTTAAAAAACTACCGATCCATTATTCACAGACATAAAAAAGTTAATACAAAGTTTGAGCTCATGCCTAAGATGAAGCTAATGCTTGGAGATTGTCCTGCCATCAGCTGAATGATACATCTTAGTATTGATCTTTGGGTGTTGCGTGAAAAGTCATAGAAGTTGCGTCGCTGAAATTCAGTTTGATGTCAAATCCCGAAATACCTCTCACTCTGTCACTTGGGATATTTGGGAGTTTTAACTCCATGGTGTCCAATTTCCCTGTTCCCATTGGCCTGGGCGGTGAAGAGATGTATCTGGGCATGTTGGTGATTTGAGGCAAGGACGATCTCCCGGGAGGCGTTGCCAGGGGGGACAGATTGACCACTGGAGGAGGGGGGACCGAAGCTCGCGCTGGTTCTGCATAGCTCTGCTGCCGCGGTTTTCCGTTGTAAAACTGACCGTATTCCTGGCTAGTCTTGGGATTGGCGCGGTCCACTGGCAGCATAGGAGGGTTCTTCTGCTTCGTAAAATGCTTCACCAGGGAGGATTTTGTCCAGTCAGGCCCTAGAAAATCCCCGTAGGTGTCTGTGGTGGTTTCAGGGAAGTTGTTTTTGGGGATAAACCGTGGAATTTCACCTGGCATACTGCAAGCTATCACTAACAGCTAAACCGAGAACAGAACTACCCTGGAAGTGAAATTTTTAGAAATGCCGATAAAAAAATAAAATTTCGACGATGACAAGCATTTCCAATAGCGTTCCTCTCATTACTGGAGAGAGGTTGAGAAAAAAGATTTATATCACTTCTTTTGACAATGATTAAGGCCATAAAGGACCAGGGCATGTAATCACTATTTATGCTCTCCCTGCAAGACGCCGTATTTCGAAACATGATAAAATAGAACTAAATGGTCAACGAAATATGGAGACCTACTTTGAAAAATGATAAGTTCTTCAAAGAATCAATTAAAGCTCCGCGAGCTCAGTTTTAGATCCAGGGTTGCTACAGCATGTAAAAAAGTAATATGCTTAGAGCTTAGGCTGTGCGAAGGCGATTTATAACCACTGGCTTTCAGAAAGAATTTTTTTGTAATTACTACCACTACTGTGTATATATTTTCGACTAATGCATGAAGAGTCAAAACGACAAAGCAACTACTTGTTGCATACGAACTCTGAGTTACCCGTATTAAACTGATTTTAAAAATTTCATTTTGCTAGAAAATCTTTACATATATGAAGCTGAAACCACCGATAAATCACGTTAAACATAAACCAGGGCACACACACACACACACACGTCTTGCAATTTCTGATAATACGAATTATTACCTTAGTAAATCCCAGATCCCTTCTTAAAAAACGTGCGCAACCTTGCGAGTCTCCTTTTGCAAGTAAGGGATTATCAGCTCGTTAGGGAGGTATTGACCACCTAATGTGGCGTAGTTAATAACGATTGTTTTCTATGCCAGATTTTCATGCCCACTCAATAAATCAACCCCATGGAGAGCAGGGGTATTCAACTGAACAGCTGCGATACAATGGGACAGATAATAAAACTTGGCAAAGGCGATCCGATACCACTAGAGTATCGGTAAAAATATTGAGTAATAGGCCTATATCGAACATAACTAACAAATTTCAAGGACATTTTGTTTTTTAAAGACAATTACAGGTAATAAGAAAAACATCTTGACCAACCTTGAATTGAAGAGGACAATTTACAAATTACCCCTTAATTGGAGTTTTGATCAATTTTTGTGTCACTGGTCACTGGTCCGGTCCACTTTGATATCTTTGCTCCCTTGACATGGGGGTGAGGGTTGGGCGGTGGGGTAGGGGTGGATTCGTTAAAGTGACTCACTTAAGTGACATACCGCGGTAAAAAGTTAGAATTTGTCTGTGTTTCAGAATACACGTTTCGTTTTGTGGTATTTTGTAGTCTTTTCTTCTTTCGTTTTGGATTGTCATTTTCGTTAGGGAATCAATAATTGGATTAGGGCTAGAGCTTTTTGTATTTTTGAATTTAGCGATCCCAGGTTACTCTCTGTCAGAATCCAGCTGAGGGAAGATAAATCGGGATCTCCATGCTTCAGTGCTACGTCACACGAATGTGCTACTATACTTTTTCTTTCTACATGATGTACCGGGCACCTCACGGACAACGAACCACTGAAAAAATGACTGATTAATACAGTGTGTTTATTCGAAGACGGTGTCCCCGGGTCCACACATTAATTGACAAATGACTGATTATTAGTTAGCTTCATACGGTAAAATGCAAAAAGTTATTGAGGGCTATGATCGAGGTATTGAAATTTTCAGGATCGATTGATCGGAAATGGGCTATACAGTACTTGGGTGGTGATAAAGAAGTTACGGGTTAATTAACAAATAACTTATAATTAATAATGAGGCGAATTAATTTACCCCTGTCGCTGATTAGTAAGCTTTATAATAACTGATTGCTTAGGCCCTATAATGAGTACCGAGTTAATTAACTAATTCATAAATGTTTAATAAGAATTGGTTGCCTTTGCAGCGGTAAAGAAACGAATGGCCGGTTATTTAAAAGTAATTTTCAGTTACAAATGAAATAAATTTAAAAATCGAATCCAAATGCATGGGACGGGTCGAGCAATGTTTCGAGGGTGGAAGAAAATTACCCCCCCCCCCCTACAGTATTATAAATAAAAAGGTCATGTTGACGGGTAAATGCAGAGTGCCTTTATACACTCATTCTCGATATGAAGGTCCATTTAACTTTTTAAAATATTACTATTTTATTAAAAGTAAGCGAGCAGAAGAATTGCTTGTCCAAGTGGAAGTTTACTAACATCAGTCTAGCAACTGAGAAAATAAAATTTAAAAAATGATTAGGCCTACTTCATTTATCTGTTCTCACACAAAAAACATAAACGGACTTGATTTTCAACCTTCGCTACTGTGGCTTGCAGCACCATCTTACATTCTCTAATCGATCTCGTTTATTTTACTTAAAGCAGAAAAATTGTAACTTGTCAGGAAGCGAGTATGATGTCTTACGCCCCAGAAAATGTCTAGAATGTTTATTCATAAATAACTCAATAAAAAGGCGTTTACTTTTAACAAGGTCGCCGGCTTGTTATAAAATTTTTAAAAACTCGGAGCATAATTTTTGTTACTATTGATAATATGCAAATATTATCCAAATGGGTTATAATTTTTAAAACTTTCGTTACTAAAACAGCTGAAACCTTCGAAATACAACAATAACAAAAACAGAAAAATCATGGATTAAAAAAATTACACAAAAATCTGGATTTATCATTCTCTGGCATCAGAGAATAGGAAAAAGTAGAATTCACGAATAAATTTTAAACTTCATTTTCACTTTTCTGTTTTCCTGAAAAGGAGCTATGAAATGAGAATTAGTGAATTTATTAATAGGTGTTACAAGCCTCCTTGCTGTCGCTGGTCGCTGGACTTCACCAATGGCCTGCAAGATGCAAAGTCGTACTAGTAAAATAAAATTCTTGAATTTAATACTAAGTTTAACCTTCCATTGGAGCTTAAATCTTTCAAATCAGCATTCATTGCATTCATTGGCTATTCATTTTAAGCATTTTTAAAGCATTTTTGGAATTTCTAAAAAATATTATATCTAATTAAGTTTTGTCAGTATACGCGCGTTTGAGCAGATTGCAGCAAATAAATAGACTACACACGCGGTGCCTCGCGAATTAGGCTTAGAAAGAAATACTATTTTCATGTTCCAGATGGCTTTTGGAGATTCACAGGAAAGTGGAGAGGTAGTAGAAAAAGAGGATAAATCCGATATGTCGTGGATGAAACCTTTGGCTCTATTTTCTGAAAAGAAACTTGTAAATTTATGTGCACCGATGGTTCGGTATTCAAAGTAAGTCAATTAAGAACTGCACGTTGTAAGTTGTATTACTTCAGTCAGATTTAAAGTGATTGTGATTTACCTCTTACCTCAGTATTTTACGTCCGGTTAAGAAATGGTGTTTAAGTTTCTTGAGTTTTGCACGTTTAACAGTTTTAATGACAGCTAGACTTTAAAAAATGAATGAAATATGATTGACATCAATTTATTATTTTTTCGGTACTTTTGTAGTATACCCCCCCACCCTGTAACTTCCTGAAACTTTCATTTTTCAAACATTTTTTTACATTGTCTTTTTCACCTATGTCAAAGCTGTTGAAATAAAATGTTTTTGTAATTACCTGTGGTCTTTTTATTAGTTTTAATCACGTTTAATCCACCCCATTGAAATACAATGTGAAAATTTACAATGTACCCGCAGTCAATAACTTGCCGCGTTTTAGTTGGCTAACTCAACCTTATTTTATGTGAACATAGGATTGATACATTGTATACTTGGACTTCCTCTGTGAAATTATTATGAGCTACTTGTTCACATAAAATTACCTTAGAGTTAGCCAACGAAAACGCGGCAAGTTATTGACTGCGGGTGTAAATTGAAGATTCTAACATTGTATTTCAATGGACTGGCTTAAACGTAATTAAAACCAATAAAAAGTCCACAGGTAGTTACAAAAGCATTTTATTTCAACAGCTTTGACATAGATGAACAAGAAAATGTAAAAAACTGTTTGAAAAGTGAAAGTTACAGAAAGTTACAGGGTGGGGGGGTATACTACAAAAGTACCATTTTTTCTGGGGAGGGGGAGGGTTCAGTTCTTATCATTATTTCCTTGCTTTTACCTGAAAACATAGGTAATAATTAATTGCACTTAGAGATATTAATGAAATATAAAACCATGTAAATATACGTTGGAACTAAGTATTTGGTCATTTTTCTTTAAAATTCTACATAAGAATTTTAAAAAGAGATTATTATTATTTTATTACTGGTGTTTAAACTTCCAGATTGCCATTTAGGACATTAGTCAGAAAGTACCAGTGTGACATAGCATACACACCTATGATAGTGTCCAACTGCTTTGTATGCTCACAGAAAGCCAGAGATAGTGATTTTGCCACATGCAAGGGTAAGGTTTGAAAACGGGTGTCATCATTGCAGCTTTTGATGGTCACCCAGTGATGTACATTATTAAAAATAATATCAGCTTCCTATCACACTGATGGAAATTAACTGACAGCTTCTATCAGTTGACATCTTTAATGGTCCTTAGTACTTTATGTTGTTATGTTGTGGAACCCCTATGTTACAAGCATGATTTTTGGTTCTTGGTTCTACACAACTTGTGGTGTAGGAGAAAACACCAGTAATTAAAAAATGATCTGAATAGTATTCTCTTTCTATATAATATTGTTTTTGAATGTATTTTAAATCCTTAAATGCAGTTTTATATAATTGATGATATATAAAAAAATATTTCTGTTTTTGATTTCTTAAATGATAAATGCTTAATTGAATTTAATCATGTTCTTGTAAATTTTGAAAATATAATGAAAAATGTATATTAAGACTTTATTACTTAATTGCTTTATTTTACCATGAAGGTGACAGACCTTTGATAACTCAGTTTGCTGCTAGTAATGCCACAGACTTGGCAGATGCTGCAGAAATAGTGGCAAAGTAAGTAATGGAAGTAATGGATTTATTGCAGCTCTACATAACATTTCAAATATGCAGTGTATGTGTGTGCAACTGTGTGTGTGTGCGTGAGGGAGAACTTTTTAACTGTATTTAAATATTATGTATCATAATGTTGCTCAGATGATCGATAAGATATGTAGAAGAATTTACAATTCTGTTCCTTATTTTGCCAGATAAAAAAAGATCAAAATGAAATATGAGATGCATTGTTTATTTATTACATGCACGAATAATTTAGATAGGATGAAGCTAATCAGTAAACTTTTGATTGTTTTATTCTAGTTACTCTGATGGAGTGGATTTAAATTGCGGTTGTCCTCAACGGTTCGTTAATTAATGCCAAACTATTCATCATATCAATGAACTGCTTTTAATACATTTAAGAACTTAATTTGTTTTAATTTCATTTAATAGACATGAGTGATTTTACCATCACAGACCAATAAAAAATAAAACATCTTAAACTTTAAAAATATGGCACCTGTAGGTAAATGAGATTATGTTACACCCAGTGAGCAAAAGTGATGGAAGTTAATTGGAGATTTTATTTCTTATTTCCTCCCTCTCAGCTGGGCTATACAGGAGGGCTATGGGGCATGTTTAATTAAGAAGCCAGAGTTAGTCAAAGACATGGTGACACAGGTCAGGAACAGAGTCTCCGTAGACGAGAACTTCACAGTGTCTATCAAGATCAGAATTCACAAAGACTTGAGGTAGGGGAAGTATTCAAGGAAAGATATACCCCTTCCCCACAACTTCCCATGTGCACCACCACCTTGGATGATTTCCATACTTTTAAAATTCAAGTTGAGAAAGTTACAGAATTTTGTATAAGATATTCAGAAACTAGGAATTGCAAGGAGATGAGAGAGTATTCTACTGTATTGAGAATCCACTTTGCATTTTTGCTAGAATTGATGTGATTTAAGCTCTTTGATAGTGTGAAGGTCATGTAAATATTTGTGTATCTGTAATGAAGTGTGTGTAAAATTTGGCAAACATTTCAATTCAGGACAATTCTTATATTATTTCTTCATCTGTATGAAAGAATTGATCCTTGTCAAAAAAGGTTTGCCTTTCTTAAAATGCAATTCATGGTGACATAGGTGGTTGAATGACAAAGTTGATGCCTCTTTCATTTTGATAAATTTGGTATCTCTTTCATTTTAGAGAAACAGTAGATCTTTGTCAGAAAGCAGAGAAGGCTGGTGTTTCTTGGATTGCTGTCCATGGTCGCACAGTGGACCAGAGGTGTGAACCGGTCAATGTGGAAGCCTTGCGACTAGTGAAAGACTCTTTAACTGTGCCTGTGATTGCTAATGGTGACATAAGGAGTGTGGAAGATGCAAAGAGAATACAAGAGGTGACTGGTGTTGATGGTACGTCCTTATTGTATTTCTGTAAACCCAAACCCACATGCACTGGGTATATGAAGTTGCTAGATTCACCAGGGCCCTGCAACTTGAAAGCATTGCGCATTGCGATCGAGCGCAAGCTTCTCGATTTCATTACTCACCCCATATAATACACTGTAGCCTCTATGTGATATCACTATTTGCAATGCGCGATGCTTTCGAGTTACGGGGCCCAGGTTTGCTAAATGCTATGGTTCTTAATGACTGAAAAAATTGGAAAACATATAAATGAAAAGCTAACATTTATATGAGTTAGCTTAAAAGGTAGAAAAAAGAATTATTTTCACCATTCATTGACCGTTAAAATTTTAAAATTTTGTCTGAATTGGTTAATTAGCTAGAATGACCTTCTCTGGCTGCATTCAGAACAGCAGACTAACTAGTCCACAGATCAAATATGGCTACCCATGTCAAAAGCTTGCTGTCTAATCCCCTATGCTGAAAAGATACCCCGCAGGGATTACGCAGCAAGCATTCAAGAGGGTCAACCATATTGGATTCGTGGACTAGTTAGTCTGCTTTTGTGAATGCGGCCTCTGATTTTAACCTGAACCAGACCACTTGCAGAATTTCTCCTGTTTTATCTTTAGGTGTAATGGCAGCCAGAGGTATATTACAGAATCCAGCAATGTATGCAGGATATGATGCCACACCAGTACAATGTGTCAGAGATTGGGTGAGTCTAAGTTGGATTTAGAATTTCCTTTAGTAAGGAGGTCTTGCAAATGTCTAACAATGAATATGCGCTATAAGAATATTCGCATTTCATAGCCATAGTTTTGCAAGCTGCAATTGGTGGACAAATATGAAGTTAACAGAGGTGGGTTACTGCCAAATGTAAAATAGTGTTCAGGGTGTTAAAAAAATCTTGCTCAGTTCAAAATGGTGAAAAATGTTGTCCAGGGTGATGAAAAAATCTTGCTCAGTTCAAAATGATTTTATCGCCATTTACATTTTAAATAATTGGCTGTGAAAACAATCAAATGAACAATTGAGTGTTTATCTAACATGAAATCGTGATTAAACATCCATGTATTAATATGAATGAACTCAATTTGTACATTAATTTTTTGATGACTATGTAAAACGAAGTAATGATAAGTATAAAATGATGACATACTTCACATTTCATACTTTGTATTCATACTTAAGCAAACCTCTTTTAAATCAAGAATTCTTCCATTATATGAAGATCTGGCTTTATCTTGGTTCTGATTTTAATTATATTACCAATTTTACAGTTTATGAATGCTTCAGTATTTCTTCCTTTCAAAAATATAGTGATAAACATGGTGCTTAAACTTCTACATTGGCAGGAATATATTATACTATAAGATGAACTAAATACACCATAATAAAAATTTATAGATATAATAAAATTTTCAAATTTTCTTCTTTTTAAATAGTTTTCCATTCTATTAATAGATGGATTTCATACTTTGTATTTATTCTTGGGCAATTTGCAAAAACTCTCCTAAATCGAGAATTCTTTAGCATTCTTCCATAATACCAAGAACTGACTTTATCTTGGTCCTGATTTTAATAATATTACCTCTCAGTTTAACAGTTTTTATTAATGTTTCAGTATTTCTTCCTTTCAAAGATATAGTGATGAACATGGTGCTTAAATTTCTGCATTTGCATGAAAATATTAAACTATTATAAGAGGAACTTCACTACAGTAAAATTATATATATATATAACAAAATTTTAAAAAAAATTCTCTCATTCTATTAATAAATGGATCATTGTATGGCATAGGTCAGACATGCTGAAAACTTTTCAGAATGGTCGGACATTTAGACTGGCAGTAATGAAAAATTTGCCAGACCGAATGGATTTTTGTCGGACCGAAAATCACTCTATATGTGTGAGACAGATACTACCAGTACGATTAGGTAGCTTACTTTGTATTTGAATGTGATAGTTTTGAAATGGAAGGGAAAAACGCTTTGGGTTTTATATAATTTTATTAGTGAAGTATGTCAAAAGATGACTGTAAATTCAAATGCGGTTCTTAAAACTCTTGTCGGTCCTTTGGACCGACCAAGTCCAATTTTCTACTGGTCCAGACAAATTTTCCCAGGCACGACTGATCGGACCGACAGTTTCAGCATGTCTGCATAGGTGACTACATGTATGAATAAATGAAATGAAAATGCAGAGTTTATAAAATGCAGGTTTATAAAATTGGTGGTTTCCTTGACATAGGTCAATCATCAGTGATGTCATTTGCTGCACTTTTTTTTTTTTTTTTGCTATTTTACTCTATAGTACCCTTCAGTGTGAAATGAAATAGGCTGTAATTAAAAGGTGATATTAGACAGTTATGCTTATATTACATATAATACTTGCATCACTAACATGACTCAGATAGTCATTTTTTTTTGTGGAATGAGCCATATAAACTGGAGTTGAAAACAGCATTGTAATGGCTTTTTTATTCAATTGTTTTCTTATTTCAGTTGGATATAGCATTATCGCAAGGTTTATCCTTCACAACCTTTCACCATCATCTGATGTACATGCTGGAGAAAGTCATGTCAAGGTCAGAAAGACGATTGTTCAATTCCTTGTCCAGCATAACTGCAGTCCTGGATTATCTAAGGGAATATTATGGGATAGGATGATACTTAAATGCTGGTGCAACATAGGTCTTAGGATATAATTAAGCAATGTGAAGGTGGTAAAAAAACAGTGCCGAAACATGGCTAAACTGCTGACGTTGGAGTATTGGAGATTCCTTTACTTGGCAGAATATATGATGGGCATTCTTGGATTGGATGAAGTTTTTGGCACATACATTGGACCAAGGAATGAACAGTATTTGATAATACTGAGTTTAATGATCAGAAAAACCTACAACTGATGTAAATTGAGTAGTTGGGAAAAAGTGCAGTTTAGTTACAGTAACAGGTACACCATAAGAGTTTCTTAAAGTCAGTATGACAAATTTAAAAAAAAATTAAGTAAGGTGTGATGTGTCCTTGCATCACGGCTGTTACTACCAGTGGTAACGGAAGTCTTCTGGATTTATCCATTAAGTCTGACTATTTGGGATTTGTGTTTATGCCCCCTTTGGCGTTTGTATTTTGTTTTCAGGATTTTCTTAAAAGGTCCATTTTCATCCCTGAGTTGAGCTGGACAATTGTGGGGAAAATTAGGGTGGTGGTATGGAGGGTGGCTCTGTTTAGGTGACTCTCTTACAACATAGCCAAGCTATTAATTTACTGTATTTAATAAAAAGGACCTGGCTCAGTTGCACATAACCTACTACTCTGCTCCTGTTATCCTGTCTGAAGAGAGTGGCAAAGTGATATTCACAGGATAAAGTAATGGAGGTGAAAAGACTTGAATTCAGTAAGCTTTGAAAAAAGATGGATTTTAAGCTAAATTTATGTGTACTCTGATTTGTAATGTTATTCCAAGGCACTGGACATTGACAAAAAAATCTAAGTTATCTTTTGATGAACAGATGTATGAGAAAGAGGGGGATGAAGCATAGCCACAAGTTGGGGCACAAGGAAAAAAGACGTTTCAGTTTTTCATTGAAATATTAAAAACAGAAATTATTGTGACTTTTATTTCATTTTTGTAGGATATGCATGACCATTTCTTGTTACTTTAATAGTGTCTCCAACATAAAACTATTTGTGTCAGTCTGCAAAATTATAAAATGGTTTGTCAATAATAATGATATCATTTATAAAGATGAGACATTGTATTTCTTTCGATTTTTAAAGTTTAATTTATATTCCATACTTATGCATTTTTACAATAAACTTTCAGCTGACATTTTTAAAATTTTAAATCAAAGCTTTTGTAGAACTTGATTATGAAAGTCTGATTGACTAAAATCACAAATTGATAGAATTACATCAGGATAAATGATGTTTTGAAATGGATAATTGGTCCAGGTGTCTGTTGTTGGACCAATTATGAAGCGAGCATAGATTCTATGTAACAGCATATAATGTAAATCACTACTACCAGTTTTAGAAAATCTGAATGCCAATTTATAATATAAATTATAAGATACACCAAATTAATTATGCAGTCAATCAAAAGAAAAGCTTTGAAACTACCCCTTCTTCAAATTTCTGGTTGTAAAGACATATCTAAGTGTCCCTCCAGTTTGTAAAAGTCCATCAAATGTAGTAATAAATGACATGCTACTACTTCATAGCATGATCTAGTTCAAATGAAATGACCTAGGGTTATATAAAGCACAGAAAGTAAGAAAATATCTCAAATGACACCCTTTGGTGTATCTTTAAGTTATTTTATTTAAAGCTATATGGTGGCATTTGATCGGGTTTAGTGGCAGTGATTTGACATAACAACTTGCTTCAAATGCATCTTTTATTCAGTATCTAGTGACATTTAGCCCCAGTACCAAGTTTACCTTATATAGTATACTGAATATATATTATATTATATTATATTATATTATATTATATTATATTATATTATATTATATTATATTATATTATATTATATTATATTATATTATATATAACGTAAGGAGGGGCAGACCTGCCTTGAACTATCTAATGGCTTCTATATATAATGAACCTCACAATACTAATTATTTTTCATGGTGGAAGGTGCATTTACTTAACCCTGCCATACCTTTAAATTTTTCTAAATCCCAACTTATGAAGTAAACTAAGATCCCATATTTGATGAAGTTGTGATTGGGAACTGACCTCCAGTTACTGTGTTAGTTTTCTTAAAGGGATAATAACTCTTTGTATGAGATCTATATTTTACAATAAAAACATTGTGAATAACTCATAAAAATATAATATATTCTGTTTTACCACAAAAAACGGGAGTTATAGCTATTATTCTGATATCTGAGCTTGTCTTTAGACCACGTGACCTCCATTGATGGCTATACTCTGTTAAAATCTCTTAAGAGATTTTAACAAAAAATCAAACTTTTTAGAAAAAAAACAGGGACTAACTTTGAATGTAAAAATGGAGTCATTGTCCATTGGTAAGTATGGGAAAATTGTTGTTTACTCCAGGAAAATTCATTTTTTGGCCGAAACGAAGAGTTATTATCCCTTTAATCTCCTTTTAAATACATAGGTAAATGGGTAAATGAAATGTAGAGCACCATAATTACAACAACAAATCTAACGTCATGACTACTTCCCTAGACAATCTGCTTCCCTGTGTTAAACTATTTTGGTTGAATTTTAAGCTCATGTATACAGGACTTTTGTCAAATTCCAAGTTAATCCTAATACTGGAACATGTATTAATTTAATATGGGAGGGAGGGGCATGCATATGTGCACAAACAAAAGTAAACGTGCTTCAAGGTAGTGTGCACGCTACAACCAGGAAGTTGTTTTAAACTTCAAGTTATTTTGTTCAGTGCCGCTAACCCATTGTTGTTGCTGGTATTGTTATTTAAATGAATTCTACTGCATTATGAGATGGCTAAAGAAAAAATTGTTTGGAAAGGGTAGGATTTCAAAGCTGGGTGCTGGGGTGGTAGAATTCAACCACTTACGGGAGTTGGATTGCAAAAACGAGACACCACATAGGTGAACTTACTTAACAGACTGATATACAGAAGACACTGGTGTCCGGAACTCAGACTTCTGAGTTTTACATGACATTGTATCCTATATATAATAGGGGGAAAAAGATGTCACTTTGGTGAAATCATCTTTATTCAGCTTACATGCAGAACACATTTTAGGTGAAGTGAAGTACACTTTTCACAGAAGAAGAGTTTGGATTTGTCTTTAATTACAAAGGTAAGAAGAAAAATAACTACTTAAGTAGCTTCAATTTTACTTCATTAAAATTTGCTGTGCATGAAGTACTATAGAATTTGAGTTTGTAACCAGAGGGAATATCCATTAATTAAAAAAATATTTTGCTTAATAAGATTTTGGACTAAGAGTTTTGTTTAGCATAATGATATAATTTTAGTTATGTATATGAAAAAGATTTGTGCTCCTATGTCATGTTAGGTGTAACATAGGTAAAAAAGGCAAATGGTATTTCTTTGCTGTAGTTCGTTTCCCTTGAAAAGGGTTTCCTTTGATCAGACAACACTTATAAGTGGATAAACAAGTGCGACCAAGGTTAATTTGGAAGAAATCTGTTTTTTTCACCTAATTTTTTCAATGGAAAAATGCAGTGATGAGGATACTTTTTAAAAAGGCCCCAAGAAGACCTAAGGGCTGATCAGTATAAAGTTATCCTGTGAAATTATCATACTTAATGAAATATGGGGTAAATGGTATTTTCTCCAACTAACCAATCTTTGATCCTCTTTTTATGACACTAGCCATAACTTTGTAACAATCTAGTGAAGTGGAGTTTTTCAAATGTATTCAAGATTAATCTTAAAGTTTATAAACACTTATTTTTTATTGAAAAGGACCACCTTTTATTGAATTTATAAAAGGACAAGGAATGCTTTTTTTATCATTTTTAACAGATAATTAAATTCCATGATTTAATGTCACCAAAAAAAATCTAATTTATGATCTCCTTATGAACCTCACCACCTGTCAACACATTTTGAAAGTTTTGAATCTTGAGCAACCCAGAAGTCAGTGCTCAAAGTGATGGCAGAAACTGAATTGGTTGGTTAGCCAGAGAAAAAAATGCAAATTTCACCAGGAAAATTTGATAGGTATGATTTTTGTCTTGGGAAAATGTTTTGCTGGGCACCTTTAACTAAATGAAAAATTTATCAGATGATCATCCGTTTGTATTTCAGGATTTTCACTCAGTATTATGCCCATAATGACATTCCAAATAAAGCAGATAGAAAAGTGTCTCATTCAGAAAAACTTGAGCATTTGACAGATATGTTCTCATCAGGATTATTGCCTGGAAAAAGTTCCATGGATACCTTGGTGTTATGTGAAAAAATTTCTGACAATTTTTGATAATTATTCTATCCTAAAAATATTTTTAAATTGCAGCCTATTTTATTTTTGTTGTTTCAGAGGCATTGCAACAATTTTAAAGTGGGAAGGAGACTTGAGGAGGCTCACAATTCAGATATTGGATTAAGGTAGGTGGGGTGGGTGGGATTGGAGCAGAAGTTATGTGCTAATCCCACCTGTAGATGAAAAAAACTGTGTATGTGTGTGTAGGAATTGGTACCATGGAATGAATCATCACTTTCACTTTAAGTCCTCCAGCTAGAATACATTTATGATCTTTTCTATACGCTATAGTGCAAAGACTTTTTCATATATAGAGTGCTAGGGGCTACTGTCCACTCCAGCTAATTACTGAAGTTGATTTCCAATCTGAGAAAAGATATTTGAAAGATCTAGTGGTGATCACTCTAAGAACAGGCTTGTCGGTTTAACAACAGGGCCAGGGTCTTTAACTCATAACAGAGTTATATTTTGTTTGTAAGTTGAAATTCCATGTAAGGCAGGACACCCCTAAATAAGGGCAGTAGTCCATCACCAGCACAAAAGCCAAAGCAAAGCCATTATTTTGCACATAAAAACACACTGGAAAAAAACAAGCTTCTACATTTTGATAATCTGGCTTTCATTATTTAAATTTTTTACATTTCTAGACACTCAAGATGAAACTTTAACTTGAAAAAATAATCTGTCTGCAGTGGTTTCTATGGACATTGTACCATGTGATGTCTTTTTGGAAATGTTTTAAGAGTCTTGACCCAGATTTTGTAAGTCCTTCCACAGTGAACCACCAAACAAACCTGTTTAATACAGGTGTAAACGTAACGTGAAAAAAAAATATTTACCTTGAACACAAAAAGTAGTGGAAATCAAAACCAAATGCCTTTGGAGGCTGCTACCCTGCTCCAATATTATTATAGACACAGGCTGAATAAAATGCCTACCTGAAATGACAAAATGAGAAAAGAGAAAAGCCTTCTGCCTAGATTCTACTTCAACAACCCTTTGCATAGCAAGAAAGAGTGACTTTGAGAATAAGTAAGAGATTTGTTGGTAAACATGTAATACACATATTTTGCAGTGTTCTTTTAATGCACTGATAATTCAAAAGAAAAAAGATTACAAAAGAAAAAAAAAAGAATTGACACACACTGCATGCCAATTGAGCACTTCAGTTGGGCACATTGTACAGCATAAAACTGATTGTTTAATAACTGGGACCACTCTGTAGCTCAAATTGAAAGAAAATATGAGGAAACTGTCGGGAGTACATTAATTGGTTTCTATACCTGACATTTCATAGTAAGAAAAGAAGAATACCTCTTTCTTTTTGGTAGCCTACCCTTTTGATATGAATGTAAAGAAATTAAATGTTCTTTAAAATTTTGAGGTAATGCTTTATGCAACATTACTGACACTTTTTTCCAGCTGAAACAGTTAAAAAATAAGAGTAAGAAAAATGAAGTTGCTCATCTTTTGTGTACTGAATAAATATTTTTTGTAAAGTATATTTTACACACCTTGACAGCATGTAAAATTTTAGTTTGATAACTTAAAATTAAAAAAAAACAGCAATATCTGTTTGGGCCATGACAACAGAAGGTTAACTGTACTGAAACACCTAATATTTCTTTTCTTTTTAAATTTGTTGACTGCTCTTCAAATGAATTGAACTCTGGTAACTCGCAAAATCTACATAACTTAGTGAAATACTATGCACACATGCATACATTGGTCTTGATTTTGTGGTATTTTTGTTCAATTTTGCTGAATTGACAGATATCATGAATTGATATGTCAACGACAAGTTTAATATCTATGTCATAAGTTTTTAAGTTATTTATATAGATAATGAAAGGAAATCAAGACCAACCCTGGGGCACTTTCCCCACTAGCTGGACCCTACAGCTCCAGGTACTGGGACATTTAACTCTCACTGGGTTTGCTGGTATAAATAAGGAAAACATTGTAGATAGCCAAGATGTTGAAACATCTAAAATATGATTGTATTTCAAAATTATTAAATTAATTTGAGATTTTTTAAATGTTAAATAACTTTTTTCTATTGATTTTTAGCCCATGAGAAGGGTTGAGTTGAGACAAAATTGAGGATGGGTCTGAAATGCTGTATAACCGTATGGATATTTTGCACTGCTATACTGGGATGTTTTCCAATATCACTAGAGTCAGTGTCATCTGCATCAGCATCTGACTCATTATCACCTACAGCAGCATATGCATCATCATCTGCAGCAGCATTTGTATCAGCATCTGCAGCAAATTCTGCATCACCAGCATCTTCGACGGCATCTGCAGTAGCAACTGCATCAACATCTTTAGAAGGGGGAGAGACATCAACTGCTACAGTGACAACATCTGCTGAAGATACAACAATTTCAACAGTAGAGACAACATCATTCACAGAGGAGACAACATCAGGTGCAGAATCAACAATGTCTACACTAGAGACAGCAACTACGGAGTGGACAACATCAGCTGCAGAGTGGACCACAACTACAGGCTGGACAACATCAAGTACAGAGGAGTCAACTATTTTAGAAATGACTACATCTACAATAATGACAACTACAGATGGGGTAACATCACTTGCAGAGCAGACAACAACAGAACCGCCTACATCTACACTAGAGACAACTACAGAATGGCCAACATCAACTGCAGAGGAGACAACATCAACTACAGATTCATCTAAATCTACATTAGATACAACAAGTACAGAATGGCCAACATCAACTGCGAAGGAGACAACAACGGAATCACCTACATCTACACTAGAGACAACTACAGAATGGCCAACATCAACTGCAGAGGAGACAACATCAACTACAGATTCATCTAAATCTACATTAGATACAACAACTACAGAATGGTCAACATCAACTGCAGAGCAGACAACAACAGAATCACCTACATCTACACCAGAGACAACTACAGAATGGTCAACATCAACTGCAGAGCAGACAACAACAGAATCACCTACATCTACACCAGAGACAACTACAGAATGGTCAACATCAACTGCAGAGCAGACAACAACAGAATCACCTACATCTACACCAGAGACAACTACAGAATGGTCAACATCAACTGCAGAGCAGACAACAACAGAATCACCTACATCTACACCAGAGACAACTACAGAATGGTCAACATCAACTGCAGAGCAGACAACAACAGAATCACCTACATCTACACCAGAGACAACTACAGAATGGTCAACATCAACTGCAGAGCAGACAACAACAGAATCACCTACATCTACACCAGAGACAACTACAGAATGGTCAACATCAACTGCAGAGCAGACAACAACAGAATCACCTACATCTACACCAGAGACAACTACAGAATGGTCAACATCAACTGCAGAGCAGACAACAACAGAATCACCTACATCTACACCAGAGACAACTACAGAATGGTCAACATCAACTGCAGAGCAGACAACAACAGAATCACCTACATCTACACCAGAGACAACTACAGAATGGTCAACATCAACTGCAGAGCAGACAACAACAGAATCACCTACATCTACACCAGAGACAACTACAGAATGGTCAACATCAACTGCAGAGCAGACAACAACAGAATCACCTACATCTACACCAGAGACAACTACAGAATGGTCAACATCAACTGCAGAGCAGACAACAACAGAATCACCTACATCTACACCAGAGACAACTACAGAATGGTCAACATCAACTGCAGAGCAGACAACAACAGAATCACCTACATCTACACCAGAGACAACTACAGAATGGTCAACATCAACTGCAGAGCAGACAACAACAGAATCACCTACATCTACACCAGAGACAACTACAGAATGGTCAATATCAACTGCAGAGCAGACAACAACAGAATCACCTACATCTACACCAGAGACAACTACGGAATGGCCAACATCAACTGCAGAGCAGACAACAACAGAATCACCTACATCTACGCCAGAGACAACTACAGAATGGCCATCATCAACTGCGGAAGAGACAACAGCAACTACAGATTCATCTAAATCTACATTAGATACAACAACTACAGAATGGTCAACATCAACTGCAGAGCAGACAACAACAGAATCACCTACATCTACACCAGAGACAACTACGGAATGGCCAACATCAACTGCAGGGCAGACAACAACAGAATCACCTACATCTACACCAGAGACAACTACAGAATTGCCAACATCAACTGCAGGGCAGACAACAACAGAATCACCTACATCTACACCAGAGACAACTACAGAATTGCCAACATCAACTGCAAAGCAGACAACAACAACTGTGGAAGGAACTACATTTACAATAATGACAACTACAGAATGGCCAACATCAACTGCAGAGCCAACAACTGTGGAAACTATGTCTCCTATAGAGACTACTACAGAAGGAACAACATCAACTACAGAGACATTCACTACAGTGTGGGGTACGTCTACAATAGAGGCAACTACAGAAGGGCCAACATCAACTGCAGAAGAGACTACATCTACAATAGAGGCTACATCCTATGATCAGACAACTTTTACCGCAGAAACATCTTCCATTGTAGAGACAACAAATACAATTCCCACTCAAATGCCAACAACGACCCCGCCTCCAATTAATAATCCAGGTAGGCATGTAAAGATATTTATAAATGTTCACTCCTTTTTCATGGGTTTATTAGTCAGGCAATGCTCTTTAAAGGTGGTTTGAGAATGTTGTTGTACCAGTACATGGTTCCTGAAATAACAAATTCTGTGTGGTTACAATTAATCCTTTACTCAATGGTTCCCATCTGAGGATTTTCCTACAATATAAACTAGATTTCTAATATTTTGTAAGCTCCTTTATTTGATTTGAAATTTTTTAGAAGTATGCATTATTGTCCAGTGAAAAGATTAAAAAAAACAATGCATTTTTTGTTAAAACAAATGCATTTTTGCCTATTCCCTGATATCAGATTGTAGTATTTATACCCCCGTCACACTAGAGGTGGAATGAGCAAGAATGCCATCCAAAAAACAATTCTTTGTGAGTTCCTGGATTTTCGAAGAGTATTCTAAAAATTCCGAGTGCATTCCAAATATTTTTACCCATTCTTGTGGCCGCCGGAATGTTTTGCTCATGTTTAAAATTTTTGTAGTGCATTCCAAGTGGAAAATTATCAAATGGCATTTAAATAGCATTCTAACTGCACTATGACTGCATTCTAAATATTCTCACGGCATTTCGACAGCATTCGAAACCTTCTGATCACATTGGAGGGAGAACCAAAATGGCAAGACACTTCAAATCCTGCTAGAATGAGCTGAAATGCAACTCGAATGCATCTCAATCCTATTTCAGCCAGCAATCGAACTACACTCGCATGGCATTTGAAGTGTATTCTAGATATTCTGACTGCATTCTGACAGCATTATTGACAATACAAGGTGTGTGTCAGATTGCATTACACAGTATCAGACACGACACCGCTCTTGCCTAGTACGCGATGTGATAGTGACGATTCTCAGCGGGGTTGAAAAGCATTGCATCACCACTCAAAATTTGTTCAGGGTATGATACTGTGTAATGCGATCTGACACACACCTTGAAAACAGGTAGTGTGGTCTGATCTACCAGTGAATTCAGGATCATTCGGTGCTGAGTCTGGTAGTTGGGTAAGCCTGTGCTTGATTCCTGCTGATTCCGAATAAGTGTGACGGGGGGGGGGGGGAGGGGGGGGGTAACTGTTGTGATTACATAGGCATTCAAATGATGTTGATTGCCATTTGGGTGAGAGAGATATGTTTGAAATAAGAAAAAACAATTTGCTGCTGCTGCATTATCAGCTTGATTGCAACATTTACATTGATCTTATTTTGAAATGACAGTATTATCTCATAACCTGACTCTGTTTGTATTTACATTTATCTAAGTGGATAAGAAATGGATCCTTACATATCAATCTTCCTTAAAGTGGATGAAAATTCATAATTCAGTTTCATTTTAAGGGTTCTATTAGGGTTAGCCAAAAACTCCCTATGTATACTGCCTTACATACTTTTTTGGATAATAGATAAATCTTTAGTTTCACTGACTAAATTCTTGAGCATGTACGTACACAAAACTAATGTCATCTTACTGATGGGATCATTATTGTGATTTGGGGGTAAAAACTTAAAAATGAGTTTCTCAAATTACTCTTTTACCTGAGCACCCTCGAATACCGTCTCAATCCCAATTTAATGAAATCATTAAGTACTTAAAAACCTTGTCACTGTTTGTCTTAAAAGCCTCAGGTTTATTGTTTAAATAGCAAAATAATGCTTTTGTTTAGTAAAAGTTTGTAATGAGGGGAACAACGTAACATAACATAACATAACATAACAAACCTTAACATAACATAACATAACATAACATAACATAACATAAAAAACATTTAAACCAAAATACTACAAGAGATTGAAGCCTAAATACTTGTGGCAAACAATGCCAATTTCTGTGAAAAAATCTAATTCAGGAATTAAATTATATCCCACACTGATTGCTATCTTGCCTGAAAATAAAAAAGCTGTTAAATAAAATGTTTAGAGGTCTTACTTTTAATTATAATAGATGCCAAAACCTGTTATCAGTGTGTATATCAGATAACCTTTCTCAACACTGTTGAACACACTGTAAATTGCAAGAAATAAGATGAATTTTATTTGACAGCCAATACCTGTAGTCTTACTTCATAGGCATAACTCCTGGCAAAATGATTGATAGCTGGGGTAGGCACCCATTACAATGACGTCATAAGCATGGTTTCTCCTGCAACCACCAGATCCATACATGTCATTGACGATAATAAAATATACTGTATATTTGTCATTTTTTATTCTAAATGACATATAATACAATGAACCTGTGCCATCTAGGGGTGTTTGAGGAAGTGCAAGAGCACCAGAAAGGGTACAAGTAAGACTGATCTTATAACAAATAAAAGTTGCAAATGCCAAACTCAGTTTTGCGTAGATGAATTAAGGACATGATGGGGTCGGTGGGATGTGTGATATGCAAGATAAGATGTCACCAATTTTTTTCCTCATGGCAGACTGCATGGGTAATCGGACACTTGAGAAGTTCATCTAACAGCCCTTTGATGAAGTCACTACTGCAACAAGCATTGTTAGGTTTCTTAAAACCAGGTTGTCTAAAACAAGCAAGCTAATACCTTCTGGGCAGGATTGTACAGTTTTATCATACCTGTCCAAAGCTAACTGTCAACAGCTAACTTTTTTCTTTACCTGGGGAGAGACACACCTGGATTTGTCTTTTGTTAATCAGAGCAAGTGTATGCTATTAAAAAAACATTTCGTGAATAAGCAGCACAATTTCATCAAATAAATCAAATCATAAGATATCTTTTGTCTGCAGCACTATTTAGATACTTGAGATAACTTGAGATAACCTACAAGCCCAAGTAACCTTTCAAAATTGTGTTATACTGGGTCAGAGTGAGACAAAGAGAAAAAATTATGTTGAATGATTTAACATGACATTTATCTCTTCATTTTCAACCAAAATAAAAAAGATTAGTAGAGAATCTCATATATCTGATTGTGATAACCCATTACTTTACTCTATAAAAACAATAGTTTTACAAATGATATGCATGATATAGCAATGGTACAGATATCATGAAAATATAATAGAATGAAAAAAAAAATGCATTTACTCTATTTATAGTTGCATTCACAGGCCCGTAGCCAACAATTTCAGAGGGGGGTTTGTTTTCTGAAAAAGTGGACCTTTTACCATAAAATCCTCAAGTACATAGATCAAATTTTACCCAGAGTGGACCTTTTCCCAGCAAAAAGGGTGGTTCTTTCGAACCCCCCGAACCCCCCCTGGCTACGGGCCTGATTCAGATAGACACATCATACTAGCTGGGTTGATCTTAATCTGCAAGGGATTCTCTCTAAGTGCAATCAGTGAAATCAGTTTGATTGTCTGTTATGCCACCTTGACCTGCACAGTAGTTTATTACCCCCACATGGCTGCTGGAGGAAGTGTGTCCTGATTCCTTTGATTGCACTTGGAGAGAATCCTTTGGTCATCAATCTGAATGCTCCTTATCACTATTACATTTTACCGCTTACACTCCATAAGAATTATGACAGTTAATTCTTGTGACTGCATCATACAGGTGTTTGCATATCATGTTATACCATAGCAACTACCAGTAGCAACTGGCAGTATCTGTTGTGTTAATGGGAAATATAAATGCCAAAATCTTATTTTATGAGGAGATTGTCATTGTTTCAATCATCAAAATGTGCATGAAAAGCTATTTTTATGATTATAAACCTTAAGGTTGCTTAAAGGATATTGTAACCCTTTATTATCATCTACCGGTAAATAAAATTGTGTCTTTGGGAACTTGTAGTTGGTTAAAAGAAATAATTGAGAGACTGATTTTTTTTCATTTTTACCTCAAAATTGCAATTATGACATCCAGGGACAGATCCAGACATATTTTCTGACAATCTTCCAAATTATCTTTGTTGATCTATTCTCCATTTTTGACCGTCTTCCAACAGAAAAAACTAGGTACTCATCAATGTAAACTTGAAATCTGACCGTCTTCCAGAAGACCCAGAAGATGGCCTAAATCCGCCCCTAAGGATGACATGTGTAAATGTTAATTAATTTAGTAACTGAACATTAAAGATTTATCTGTTATCAAAAAGAATGTAATGCAGGAAATAAGGAGTTTTCTGCACAGGGTAACAATATCCTTAAACGTATTTCATTATTTGAAGTGATAAAAAGTTAATATAATTTGGAATTTTCAACTTTCAGATGCAATGTATTTGCTGTTCCTTTTAAAATGAAAGCTTGAGCACAGTTATTATGATAGCAGCTGCACCGAATAGATTGTCTTGTGTTACTTTCCTTACAGTAGCATCTTATTGTTTACAGTTAACCTCACTGCAGTAGCTATAAGCTGGGGCCAGGCTAACGTGTCTTGGGGACATGTGACATTTCCTGGGCAAGCTTGGACATACACAGTGTATGTGTATTGGTGTCATGATGAATATTACTTTTATTATGGCTATAATGTGAGGACCATACAGGATGTACAGGTAAACTTGCTAAGCCTACAATTATCAGGAAAACAACTGATGTTGGCATTCCAAAAAAATTGACTTATGGACAACCCTTTGAAATGTAACCTGTTGCTAATAAGGAGTTGCTTTGTATCGGCTGTTTCACAATCAGGGGTACAAAATAGGGGTCACATTGAGAGAAAAATGAACTCTGATGCAATTGTTTAATTCTGTAACAGATAAAAAGAATAATGTCTTAGCTATGACATCCAACATTTTTAGAACACAATATTAATCATTTTTTGTGTTACGTTCAAATTAACAGAGTTCAAATTAGGCTATGATTTCAGGGTACGGACACTATACATTCAAGTAACTGATGCTTTTGTAACTGAAATATCATATTGTTTACCAGTTATTTTTGCCAACATTCTAAAAATATCAAAATAAATATATAACAACAGTACTTTGGCCAAAATGATACAAGTAGTATTAATCAAAATGCTTTTTGGAGAAACACCACACCTGGCGTTTGGTTGTGTGTCATTCAGTTTTACTTTCATTCACCAGACTTTAATTTAAACTTTTTCTTTCTGTTGCTTGGTCTTTTTTATTTATTTAAATATTTATTTATTTATTGATTGATTTATGTTTCAGTCTTGATTCTTGTTTTTCGAGTCTTTTCTTCTTTTTCATCTCTCGTTAATTTGCACCTCTTGCTCTGCTGTTTTCAGGATTGTTGGGTTTCTGCTTCTCCTTGACTATCTGTCAGTATGCCCTAATTTCTTATCTCATCTTTAGTCTTTCTTGCTGGGCCAGCCTTGGATGATTCTTCATTTTTTGCTTCTCTGCTATGTTACATGCATTCAACATTTTCCTTACGTGCTTCAGCATGACCATTAGCTCTTTGACATATTTTTTTTTCAAATTATTTTTGCTGACAGTAAAAATTTCAGGTTTCCCTTTTCTTTTCCTATTTGACTTTTGTTCATTGTCATCCATGTTTGATACTTCATCCACTGAGAGTATTATAAATATACCTCTGTTAATTATGCATGTATTGTAGTGTCCGTACCCCCTCAAAATATATCATATACATTAATCCATAGAATATTAATCCATATACAATTTATTATTTTGCAATTAGCTATATTTGGCAATATATTTGAAGCAATATTGTTCATTTTGAATGCAAAGAGTGACATCTTTACACATATTATTTTTTTGCAAAATGTCTTGCCTGACTCTTATTAATTAGTATCACTTTATCGAATATAAATTTATATACAATGTTTTTTCTAAACATCATAGGACATGAATGCATTTTATACAATATAGAACAATATTTTGTACCATATTTTGAAGTGTTATCATCATTAATAAGTAGCCAGTTATCCAATGGTTAATGTATAATTTGGGGGCACGGACACCACAGTAGGGGTACGGACACTACATTTGGCACCAAATTCTTGCATATCTTTCCTGAAAAATAAATGTCAGTGTAGATATTATAGAATAAGAAAATCAGACAGAATATGCTGTGATTCCTAAATAAAACAGATAGGGGGGGTACGGACACTACAAAAATTAGGAGACACCAAGGGGCTCATGATTATTAACACCATAGCATTATTAATAATGGTTTCATATGCACAACTCCTTTATTATGTTTAAGTCATAACATGGTAAATTCTTCTTATTATCACATAGGTGATTTCAAAGTAATATTTGGCCTTATCAGATATGTTTTTCATTGCATTAACAAAAATAAGTAAAATGTGTACAAAAGCCTGTTTCAGCAAAATGGTTAAAATAAATTTTTTCTCAGAACATTTCTTTGGAAGAACCTGCTAGAAGAGAAGACATATGTTGTGGGAATTATATACCAATATCATATTCACCATAAATCATTGACATAAAGAGCTAGTGCATCATATTTATGACCTTAATTGTAAATGACCCATCTTTTTGGACACATAATTGGCTATATTTTTGTAAATTGTAGTCCGATTATTATAATTCTTTTTTTATTTTGCTTCTATGAACAGTGTCTTTGATATCAGTCTATTAGCAATCTCTAATCATAAATTGCTAATTTATCAAACACTTGTAAAATTAACCACATTTAATTGTTCACCCTAATTGTGAAACAGCCGTATGGGTAGATATTTTCAGTAGTTTCAAGCACTACCTTGAATGTCTAGTACCTAGATCTTTCTTGTTTTTTACAGTTGCTTCATCATGGATTATTTTATATGATATTGATTTAATACTACTTGTTGCTAATAAGGTAATTGCATATTGTCGCTAATGCTACCTATATAGATGCACTTTTAAATTACTTGATAATTTCAATCTGTTCAACAATTTATTTTGGTCTTTAATGTTTTATTTTTATGTACAGACACAGATGTGTCTGTACGTATAGCTGTCACCTGCATCTGTCGCTGTCGCCATGCACTTTCACTGATAACACAATAAGTGAAAAACCATTTTACCTTTTGGCTTGAAACTTACAGAACTGATGAATATTCATAATACGTAGGCCAAGTTCAAAATCAGCATGATCGGGCCATTTTTATGGAAGTTATGCTATTTATTCATTCTTTTCAGCATATGTGCAACACCGATAACATGATAAGTGAAAAACCGTTTTGGCTTAAAACTTACAGAAATGATGAATATTCATAATACGCAGGTCAAGTTTGAAAATCAGCCTGATCGAGCCATTTTACCACCAGCGTTGGCGCTGGTGGTACACATGGTTTTAGTCCCGTCCGTTCCGTTCCGCCGGCTCCGCCGCCATGTTACCGTTACCGCTTCTCCTCCTAGACTACAAGGGCCTGCATACCCATCTCCTGGATTTATGTAGGTCACCTATAATCTCAACTCGCTCCACATAAAATTTGGGCTTTGTCTGTGCAGGGGTCTAGGTGTGGCGCTCATTGCAATGCACCCTTGTCCAAAAATTGGCAAAATTAAATGCTAATTATCTACCATACTGAAGGAATTATGGGAAAAATTTCTATAGACGGCTGACCGAAAGTCATATGTGGAGATTTCAAATATGCCCTTGGATTTGAACTTTGACCTTTATTTCAAGGTCAAACAGGCCACAATTTTCAAAAAATGAATTTTTTTACAAAAAAATATTATTTGCGCTAATATTCAGAAACTACACTGACGTAACCTATAATATTATTGGCAGGTGTTACCCTTCAGGTCATCTTTCATCTCTGTGAGTTTGGGGTCAATCGGTGCAATTTCACGGGAGAAGCAGCCATAAGATACCGAAACTGAAAACTGTCCCTTATTCGGGAACCGTTAATGCTAGAAACCTGTTCTTTTTATTGCATTTTGTAGAGCATGTTAAGCCCAACACCTCAGGTGGTCTCTGTTTTTTTTTTATTTCCATACGGTTTTCCAGTTATACTGTATCAAAAAGTACATTGTGGTGGTGAAAGTAAAATGTGCAATACGGAAATTTATAATAAATTTGAACCTCTGGAAAATAAAACATAAGGCTTGGCGAGGCAGACAACTTCTGGTCAAAAATGACATTATTTTATGAAATTTGAACATCTGGAACTTCTGAGCACCTCCCATTGCAAGAATTTAAATCAAAATGACCTTTTCTTTATTTCAATTAATTTCTTTTGTAGGAAATTTATGGCACATTATTGTAACTCCAAAATTGTAACATTTAAGGCGCATTCCCATAGATTTTAGATCGATCTATCCCCGTGGGGAGTCTCACTAGATTACTGTCAGATAATCCGGCTTAAATGTCCGTCCCGCCTACTACAAGCTGTAAGGGGGTAATTAACTTTCGTGCCCGCTCGGCTGACAGCTATCTAGCGTGAACCCCAGGGAGTTGCGTAGGTCGATCTAGTTGGATCGATCTAATCTCTGGGAATGGGGTCTTAGTCCCTTATATCTCCAAAACTGGCAGAGATACGTAGGTCCATAGTTACTATTGAAGTTGAACAGGAAGTCATATACTGGCAATTTAACTGTGACCTTGAAGTTGACCTTTGACCTACTTTTCACCATGATCTGAACTTTGCAATATTTAGTCCCTTATATCTCCAAAACTGGCAAAGAAATGCCCATAGTTACTATTGAACTTGAATAGGAAGTCATATACTGGCAATCTAACTGTGACCTTGAAATTGACCTTTGACCTACTTTTCACCATGAACTGAACTTTGCAACATTTAAGTCCCTTTTATCTCCAAAACTGGCAAAGAAACGCCCATAGTTACTATAACACTTGAATAGGAAGTCATATACTGACAATCTAACTGTGACCTTAAAATTAACCTTTGACCTACTTTTCACCATTAACTGAACTTTGTGAATTTTTTAATGTTTATATACTTTCAAAACTGGTAAAGATACACCCATAGTTACTATTGAATTTGAATAGGGAGTAATATACTGGTAATTTAACTGTGACCCGTGAACCCAAAAACATGTAGCAGATCAAGGTAAAAGAGCATTGTTTGCTACTGGTAGCGGGAGTTACCCAATTCTTTTAAGTATGAAGCTACAATTTTTTAATATTGTTTTCAATCCCCTCTTTGAAAAATTGTATTATAGCACCATGCCATAAAGATCTACTCAAGAAAAGAATTTGCTTGGGTAAAAATGAGTACGGAATAAACTGAAGACACTTGGCTTGTCATTAAGTTTTCACAAAAATATGTCAGATAACTTTATACTGTCCTTGAAAGAGTAAAGATTGAAAGATAATTTTAGACAAACTTTGACGGGGGAAATATCCACAAAGAGTAAAGGGCTATTGCGCCAACATCTTGTTGAAAATTTTACACTGCAATTCTATTTAAATAAGCTAAGGAACTAATTGCCAAATTTAGACTTTCATCACATAACTGGGGCATAACCAGACCTGCAAAAATTGTACACACAGATTTAAAAAAATTACAAGCACGTACAGCAAAATGTAGACTAACGCAAAACATGAAGGACAGCGTAATCACAGCAAATGTACCTCATATAGTAGCTTAATTTCC